CACTTTGGAACATAAGAATCACATCAAGTATTTAGGTGTTTTAATCAATAAAAATCTCTCTTGGAAAAACCATTTGGACTGTGTCATCACTAAAACAAGTATGACCATAGGAATGATTGCTAAGCTGAGACACTTTGTTCCAACATCTGTAGTCATAAATATCTATAACTCCTTAATTTTACCTTATTTAACTCAAGGACTTGTTGCTTGGAGTAATGTGTCTAAAAACTATCTAAACAAAATTGTTGTTCTACGATATGTTTCGTACACTCAGAAACTCTAGGACATTTTATCCTTTGCTATGAACATCTGTCATTTTCCTATTTTCCTTCAAAGGAATATCTTGTAAATATGGTAGAAAATAAAAGTGTGTGTGTATAAAGTGTGTGTGTAGGCATCATGCTTGTAATTGGACAGTGTCATACCTGTGTATGTGGACAGTATGTGTCATGTGGGCATGCTGTTGTCGTGCATTTCCCCGAGTTATCTGTTGTCTTACTTCAAAAACATTTCACTGATGTCTAATTTCTTTCTTGAATTTTGGATTTTCCATTTCACAACGCTTTTCAAGTCTCAGGAATTCTGTAAATGGCGCTTTAGAGGGAAAAATCGGAAACCTTTTTTTTTGGCTCCGGACCCCGTAAGAGCTCGCGTTAGAGGCACGGGGCCGTCACTCGCCTTCCACACCATTGGTGTTAAAGGTTACTACAATAGTGTAGAACCCCCCCTTTGAGAAATTCTTGGATCCGCCCCTGCATTGGCATGCTTCATGGCTTTCAAGGCATACAAGGCTTTCACGGCTTTCAAGCGTTCGCGACTCAATCCATTCCAAAAGTACCGCTCAATAGCATCTTTTAGTGTGGATTGGCCGCGAACAATACGACTTGTGCATGCGTCTGTAAGTATTTTGAGCGTTTGCACCATAAGCTCCAGGTAATCGTAAAAACAAAAACGTTGAACCTCCGTCGCCAAGACAACAACCCCAGAACAAATACAAAATGGCTGACAAAAGAGTTCTATAAGCAAAAATCTCGTGGTTCGACATGTAACCCGGCCCTGTCCGTGCATGACAACGTCAATCGTTATCAAGATAACGCACGTGATCAGCATGTGAACACCTTCACCCTCAGTGGATCACAGTTAGTTGACATGGTGTTGAGGGCCCAATGAACATTGGGTACTATTGCGCAATTTTTCCATTTTGTGGTGGAGTAAAAAAAGAAGACGACAAAAAAACAAAAGCGTTTTATGACTGGGCTACCACAGGTATCCCAGTAATAACATCCAGGTTAGCGTACAGAGAGTGGTATGTTGCTCGCACCAATCAGATCTTTTGTAGTATGTATCTCGCACCAATCAGATCGCTGCATTAGGATATGTATCTCGCACCAATCACAGCGTCGTTTTTTGTTCTTCGGTTTGAGAGGTGTTCAAATTTCAACGAAGTAATGGGGATTCGAAGAGAGGTTCGTAAAATGGAATCATCATTTTTTAGAAAGAGAAATGTTGGCTTTTCTGTATTTTTAACGTGTATTTTACCGCGCTTTATGAGAAATGTGATACTACTGAACAGATGAAAGATATCAGATTACCTATACTAAACGTGTTACTCAAGCCGTGAAAATGGTGGATAGTTGTTCGAGAAAAAATGGAGTTTTGTGCAATGTAACATGATCGTGGTTATTGTTCCTTCACGACGAGAGTGAGTGGAAAAATTTTGAATCAAATATTGCTTGAGGTGTTGATGAATTGCACCAAACATTTTGATTTGAGCAGTTCTTTAACGGGTGTCTCCAAAACGAAGACCGAAGACCGAAGACCGAAGACTTGGAAATCAATTAGATGAAATTGTGTTCGTCATGGCGTACCTCAGGGTTCAATTCTGGGTCCCTTGCTTTTCATCGCCTTTATTAACGATCTTCCGCTACATGCGAGCTCGGCTCAAATTGACCTATACGCAGACGACACGACGTTAACCTCCGCTGCTAACTTTGATTCCGTTGGTGTTCTACAAAGTTCACTGACTACAACAATTTCTGAGGTCGACCAATGGGCAACAGCTAATAAACTTCCTCTCAATGAGGGCAAGACAAAAGTGCTTATCATTACTGGCAAGCGACTTTCTACCAGGATTAACCATGACCTTGCTGTAGTTGTTAATGGAAAACAACTTGAGAATGTTCGTTGTGCAAAGCTTTTGGGACTAGAAATCAACCACGAACTAACATTTATCCCTCATGTGGAGAAATTGAGTAAAAAGCTCTCGCAGCGGATAGGCATTTTAAAGAGAATTAAATATTGTCTACCTCTAAAACATCGACTTATTTTCTATAACACCATGATAAGACTGGTAATTGATTATGTAAATGTGGTTTGGACGAGCTGTGATAAACATTGCCTTAACCGTGTTCTAAAGTTGCAGAAGAGGGCTGCTAGAATTATTCTAGACGCCGATTGTCAAGCCTCCTCCGTCAAACTATTCAATAAAAAAACTGGATACCATTTTTCGAACAGGCTAAACTAACTAAATGCTGTATTATATACAAGCGTTTACAGGGGCATGTACCAACCTATCTTAAAAGCTTGCTTAAGCTTACTAGCGACACTCACTCACGGCAGACTAGGTATGCCAACTTCAATATTGCTCGCCCTGTTATCAAACGCAAAACTGAAGGAGGAAGAACATTTACTGTGACTGCCTGTCAAGCCTTGATCAGCTCACCGCTATCTATGCGGAAAATAGCGTCCCTTAATTCTTTTAGGAACTCTCTTTGGAAAAGAATTTTTGAAGAACAGCAGCTTTTAAATCATTTTATTCTATGATTTAGTTATACTTTTGTACTTTTAATTGATTTCATCTCTTATCTCTTGTATTTTTATTCGTTATATTATTTCATAGTTATGCCATAGTTTTTAACATCCGTATTGTACATAATTTTAGAGGGCCACTGGTTTGTTAGTATTTCTATACTATTTTAGTGCTACTCTCTTTAAATAAAGTCTTTACTGACTTACTTACTTAGAAAATGGAGTTCTGTGCACTGTAGCACGATCACGGTTATTGTTCCTTAACGACGAGAGTGAGTGGAAAAATTTTGAATCAAATATTGCTTGATGACTTGCACCAAACATTTTGATTCGAGCAGTTCTTTAACGGCAAGCTGTGTTGTAAGATTCATGATTTGTTGAGTGTGCAGATTATACTTTTCTGGATTGGTTTGCTTGGTGCTATCTCTAGATGAATGTCTGATTAATCTTGCCATGGACGATTTTGTGTGGTTCCTATTTTTCTCCGATTTTTCTACGAAAGATGGCTGAGTTTTCTCTTTGGTGGTTTGGTTGCAGTCAATCTCGGGGTAAACATCGTGGTGAGTTACGCTTGGATCGGGTCTTTCGATGTTAGAAGTTTGAACAGTTGCAAGTGTGTTGCAAGGTGGATTTTGTATCATTATTGGCTGTTGAAGGAAATTGTCTGGCTGTTTCGAGGATAATTTTGAGAACACGGAACGAATGGATATGTTTTCGATGCCTGGAGAAGTGATCTTGTGGAGTCGTTTAGGTTCGGCTAAGGACGATTTATTGCCACGACAAATTCCCATTTTTTTGAAGAAATATTCAGCTATTTTCAGAATTGTTGTTTGCGAAATACAGAGTGACCACCTTTTAGCCTAAATTGCGTTAATCTTTATACTAATGCTTCAATTTGTTACTTTATTTTTTTATTTCAGTTTTGGTAATAATATTTTTTAATATCTTACCTGACTTCCTTGCAAACATTTTTTTCCTACCCTATAACGTTTACAAACAATTTATTTGTCTTTTCAGACCCTGCAAACAATTTTTTTCAATATTTCTCATACCCCTCCTCCAGAAAAATAATAGTTCATCCCTAACCTGCAAAATGTTTACTTTAGTGACTCTTAACTCTGTCAATCACCGCCCCTTCCTTCCCCCGTGATAACTTGGGACCATGTCCAGCTTTGCTGACTGGGAAATACGCAAACCACAGTAAATTGCATTTACCATGTTAGATTATCCCAAACTGTACCACATTTAAGTTTTGCTTTTGGAGTTTTGGAAGTGGTTTTCTGCATGCGGAAAATCACTTCCAAACTCCATCGTGCTCTGCCAAGTGTTTTCATGAACATGTTTGGACTTAGCAGGTAATTTAGTGTTAACAAGTGAGTTGAAAACGTAAATTGGCCACCGTAAATTAAAGGGTAAAAAAGCTGACGTTTCGAGCGTTAGCCCTTCGTCAGAGCGATTGGAGGAGTTGTGGGCTGTGCGTGGGTTTATATGCAGAAAGTTGAGCTACGCTATTGGTGGGAGCATGGTGACGAGAAAACAGGAATAAATTAGTTGAACGAAAAGCGCTCGTTGATACCGTGGGGATTAAGTGTGCCGATTTGGAAGATACATTTTTGTTCTAGTGTTCTACGGCTTTCCGAACTGCCTAGATGTAAGGAGAGGCCGCAAACTGCCATATGCTGTTTAGAATGATTATGGAGATTAAAGTGTCTAGCGACTGGTTTGGATGCGTCCTTGTCATTTCTTTCCACGTCGCGAAGGTGTTCTCGGAATCGGTCACCTAGTCGTCTTCCTGTTTCGCCAATGTATAACTTATTGCAATAATTGCAAGTTATGCAGTAGATAACATTGGCATTAAAGCCTTTTTTCATGACAAAGAGGATGATTCTAACATCTCGGACAAAGATACTTTCTAAACACTCCAGATTCGAAAGTCTAAATGGACACGTAAAGTGATCAGTGATCTTAATGGATCTTTTGGGTCCCGATATTTCCTCTACTTTATGAATGAAAGGACAAGTTTTGTATCGTGGGCGAGTGCATTTGAAAGTTCCAGATTGGTCATTGGTTTGAAATGAACTTCTGACCAAAAAGTTGCCTATGTTTTTGTCACGTTTGAGGGAAATAAGTGGGGGTTGCGATAGTGCCATTCTCTGAATCGTTTTGGAGTAATTTAAAGTTTTTAAGAATGATAGATTTCACTGCCTGGTTGTGGGGGTGAAATGTAAGAGTAAATGGAATGCGGTCAGTGTTTTCCTTCTCAGCCGTTTGTAGTGCTGACTGTCGATCAATTTGTTGGGCGCGGTGGTGGCCCGCTTGAACGACAGAAACAGGATAGCCACGTTAATCGAAAACTGGCACATTGCCTCCGATTTTTCGGAAAAATCATAATCATCACTACATAAACGACGAAGTCTGAGAAACTGTGAAAAAGGTATGGAGTTCTTGACGTGTGATGGATGTGAAGATGAATACAACAAGTAATTATGTGAATCTGTAGGTTTGTAGTAAACACTAGTGCTAAACCGTTGCCTTCAATTGAAATTTTGATGTCTAGAAAAGCCGAAGAAGTGTCGGAAATTTCCCAGGTATATTTAAGAGCCAGATGAAAGGAATCGACTCTGGCGAAGGGCTAACACTCGAAACGTCAGCACCACCCCCTTTATATATTTGGACTTGGAACGGAGGGGCGTTACTAAAAAATCTGCCTCGCCGCTCATTTTTCAGAGATGCCATTGAATTTATATCCGGGTAAATTTTAAAAATAATAACTCCAGTAAAAAAACATAAGCTGCGATCGACTGTGAACGCTCTATGCAGCTGTGGAAACATTCACAATTCCAAAGCTTGTTTTTTCTCTCACATAAATCGACAATAGAATGACAACCACTGTGTTAGGTTTGTAAAACATCACAGGAACATCAATGAATCTTCCCGGCGCTCATTGACATATTTAAACTAAGGAAGTCAGTTTTGCAAATACTGACATATACTGATCAGATATTGACAGCGTAAAGAATTCGAAAATACTCTTTGTTTGCTTTACGTGCACGTTTTTCATTTTACTCCGTACATGTTATTAGAACGAGAGAGGTCGAGGTTACAGTGTAGAGAAATGTTTATTTGAATCTTAATAGATCCAATATAAAAGTGCAATTACCCAGTAACCAACATTTAACTGCGGATGAAGAAGTCTCAGAGATGACGATTAAAACCCGAAATTTTCTCAAGTCCATATAAATAACTTGACCCAATTTTTTTAAAGTCAGGAATCTGACAGTCACTAAATTTTCATTTCTTTTATCTGAAGGTAAATAGTGCAGCCTATTAATGAGAAAAAATCATTCACGCTATAGAAAATATGGATGTTTTACACAGCTGCGCTGTTGCCCCGTAACCTCGCATCTTTTGAGACGTTGAATATGAATGTAAATCAGCGAGAAAAAAGACAACGCATCAATTATGGTTTGCCTCTTTCAGGTGGAAAGTTTAATTGATCGTAGAGCTCAGGACATCTTAATAGTTTTCATAGAATCAGGAGCAAGGTGAGTTGTGACCAACCAAATTAAATTTAGCGATTAGCGGGGAATTTTGGGTTTATTCCTCAACTTTTTTTTTGGTTGTCATGATGCTACTGAATATCTGCTTTCGCTAAACAGCTGATTCTGGTGCGCCTAATCATCGCGTTTTCACTTTGCAAAATTTACTACCGTTCGATTTCTTGAATAATTTTTGTCAAATCAATGTCTGCTTTTATTTAATGCACTTGATTGTTGCAATGATTTACCTTTCGATAAAGATTTTATCTTCCGTGGATTTTTAGGCAATCCAGGATCGACTGAATATTTCTGACGTATTTAATGTAATTTCATGTGTTTTTGATAAGCTTAGATAAGAGAGAATATGCGGAAAAGATAACTTGATAAACGTATTTTGAATTTTGGCCGTAGACGAACTTAATTCATAAAATCGTAGAATCCTATTCCATTTTTTACACTGTGGGGCATTGTGCGACCGGCATCTTTCGATATATAAAAGTGAAAAAGGCTCATTATGTGCTCGGGTCAAAGTCGAGGGATATCGCGATGTCGTGAAACTGGAATAAATATTGATAAATGCTATACATTCTCTACTGTACTTGACCAATTATGGAATATATATCTAGTTTGGTGGTTTTCTGCTTACGAGAGGATGGACGGAAGTTAGAAAGTTTTAATTTATCGTGATAACTACTCTCGTCGGTTTGACTTTCGAGTGTTCTTGACCGAAGTATAGCTGTGAGGCTACGGGCTAGAATTTGTCGGCTCAAAGAAGGAGGATGTCTCCAGCAGTAGTTTGGAGGGTATCAGTTAACAAAACGATCCAACCGCTTTGGTATGAATAACTACTCAAGACTTAAGCCTTGAATCTGGCACCCTCACATGAAACAGGCAATCATTGTTGGTAAACATTGTTATTTGTTAAGTTGCAGTTTTAAAGCGCAAAGGATTGCGAGTTTTTTGATTTGAGCCTCGAACTGCTGTCGTATCAAACTCTGCGGAGTGCTCCGGTCCCCATTCTCCCCCGGTAGTGGTGAGATTTCAGTTACAGGAAGTTCATATCAAAACTGGTGACTTGAATGAGCGCTGGTAGGGTTTCTCAGTGTTAAGTTGTCGGTTCGATTTAAACTTGAAGCGAGGCTAACTAACTCCGGACGGAGTCCGCAGCAAACCGGGTTTCTTTGATGCAGATTTGGTTGAACGAATGAAACCCAGCCAGGAATAAAAACAAATCGTTGCTCTTAATGAATAAAAAGAAACAGTTGGTTGGTTACGGTACCAACAATCAGGTTACCTTTGTTTTCTGGTAAACAGGAGAAAACAAATGGCCCACCAGTATGTTTGCACATAATTAATATAAATCCGATTGAAATCCGCTTGTGAAAGGGAAAACTGCTTTAACGGAGCATCAACTTTTGAAGACTGGATAGTTGATACACAACCTAAATAACCGAACTATAGGAGGAGAAACTTCAAGTTGGCAATTTTAAGAAAATTATGTCGTTTGGGTTTTCGCAAAATGGCGAACGCTCTTCGGGTAGGTGCTATCATGTGACGATCATCACAATTTCTGTGAACGCAAGGAATAGGATTTACAAATCTTATTCGCTGAACATCAATTATGTGAGAGAATGGCAAATTTATGAATTTTAGGTCTACTTAAGCAGAGATGTTCAAGGATAGAAAACTTTGTCACTATTCAGTGGTTTTCCGGCCTATTGCTGGCTCAGTCGGACACTTTTGGCAATCAACTGTGATCAAAGATAATCCTCGAAAAAGTGAATACTATAATTTCATTGAGGGTATCATCTGAATCTAAAAGGTCCATGTAACATAAAATCTAACCCCTTGCACCCGAGCAGGTCATAATTGCTGTTCAGTGCTTTTTATATATTTTTTACGGCGAGTACGGTACCTGTTTATGGAACAATCGTGAATCGAGGGTTGAGAGTTAGCCTGGTTTGCATAGCTTTTGATTTTACTTTACTATGCGATTGGGTAAAGTGCATCGCACCACTTTTTCAACCAATCAGATACAAGACCTAAGCACTTGCATCGCATTATTTTGGTTTTGAGTTTTTTGTCTTTCTTGCAAAGGGCCATAAACGATAGACATTGCATTAATTAGACGGCTTTCGCTCGTCAAGCCAACTAGCAGTATCACTAGCATAAGTCATTATAAATTCGCTTTGACGATCGAAAGGTTAGTTTTAGATTCTTTCGACGGTGGCCAATTCACATTATCAACTTCACTGATAAAACCAAACTACATCATAAAATCGGTCACATTTGCTTCGCACTCTTTGCTGTAGGTGTTATTTAGCGCGTAAGTACCCTTTAAGACTCTGCAGTTAACCCGACAAGATTCTTCCCGTCAACATTTCTGATCATTTTACCTCTTTCTTTTTTCTGCATGACAATCCCACGTTAACAACCCAGGTCACGACATGTCTAAAGAGAAGAAAACACCACGAAACAGTCATGACGAAGATAAGATTAAATCTAATATTCCGAGGCCCTCGCATTGCTTATGGCGTCCACTCCGTACTCTGTGGGAATTATTTGATACTTACTACCTCGCGATCGGAATGATACTGATGATGGCCGTTGGTACTCAGTGGCCGGCATCAGGCAACTTTCTCTCCAAAATATATTTTTCTCAAATTTGTCTTTGGGTGTGTTTTCTTCTCTGTGGATTGCGCACGACCACGGGAGAGCTTCTTACAGCCGTCAAGTCGTACAAAGCAGTCGTCTGGGGAATTCTTACAATACTCTTGGTGGTTCCCATCACAGGAACGCAAATTACAAAGACTATACAGTTTGCGACGATGAGAGAGGATAATGTGACCACTTCTCAATCTACAGTTGTTGGAAATGTCACTGCAATTGGTCCCACGGAATTTGCTTTTGCGCTTCAAGTGTTTTTCACCGTGCCAGCAAGCATGTCTGGAGGTGCCATTCTGGTAAGTTAGAAGGCTAAAAAACGATCAGCTGCTCTTTCACGCCTACGCTGGTGAGCGATGAGGCGATTAAAGGAATTCTCCCTTTAACGTTAGGGGCTCTTAAGAGATTCCATAGGTTAGGACTTCGTCAAAACAGCCCAGTGTCTATGTAACTATCTTTGTCATTTCTTGAAATCGCACCACAGGACTCTTACCTCTAAGAAAATTTCGATGTGTTTTTGTGAGATGACTGGCTGAACTTTGAGCTTTGTAACCACGATATAAATTTTCTTATATAACAGCCCTTATAAGGGAGTGAAACTTGAAAGACTGAGGCTTGTTCTCTCAGTACCCATACTAAAATTCCCCTGAAAATAAAAATCGACAGCTAGGCTGTTTGATTTCCCACTGGCATACAAACGGAAAGAAGTTCTTAGATGAACAGAAAGAAAAACTTATCTTGACTCGTTTTCCGGCTCATATGAACAGGTAAAATATTTCAGAGTACCTTGTTTTTCCTTTTTTTTTTCAGTCCTTGCTGGCCGGAGGTAACTTTTCCCTTGCGATCTTACTTATGGCTATAACAAACTTTGCTGGAGTGTTTAGTGTGGCGCCTATGCTGATCTGGATGACTGATCTCAGCAGTGGCGTAAATGTGAACAGATTTGGAAATATCATGATTGTATTTGCTCTAGTAACTGTACTACCGACCATTGTAAGTATTAGTAGGAGGCTTATAGAGAAAACGTTGGGTTGAGTAACGAGAGCATACCTTCAGGCGGGCTTAGCGAACACTGTTTTTTTTTCAAAAAGATTTTTATTTCCTCCCCAACCAGTTAATGATGAATATTCGTGGGAAAATAGCCGTTTCTCAGTGCCATTCAGTACGAGTCAAAAGTATTTTTTCCCAACTAGCAACTTTGACCAAGAACAAAGCCCCTGCCGAAAGAATCTTAGAGTTATTATTTGTTTGCCAGCAAACATAATTTTTTTGTAGATTGTCAGTCTTTGATTTATTGTTTTTGCCCTATAATGTCTTGACATTGTTCGAGGAAACTCATGCCACTCTTTAAACCAATCAGATGCAAAATTACAATCAACGTTTAAGGCATTTCATGTATGCATAAATGTTCGATAATAAGCGCGAGATTTCTTTCGTAGGACAATGTTGCTAAGGGCGAAACCCGAATCAACCATCAAACATAGAAATTAAGAGCAAATATTCAGTATTCGGTTCAGCCAAATAGTTCATAAATATTTAAAAAAATCATCCGTCTGTGAGTGGTGCAAACCATTTCACTTACTTCACTTAGTGACTGAGCGTCCAAAAAAAAATGTTGTCGCTTGAAGAGTTGCGTTGCGGGCCAACAAATTTTTTTGTCAATATGCACAGGTTTGAGTCAGGGCCCAAATAGAAGGATCGTTAGAGAGGGCTGCATATGTCGTTCATTTTTACGCGTTTATTTGGATTCCCATGAGCGACAAAGACAGATCTTTTCCTCAAAATCAAGCACACAAGTGATTAGAATAAAGAAGAACATCAATCAGGAATTATTAATTGATCCAATACCAAATTCTCCGAACTAACCTCATAACAATTTTATGGCAGACAGTTTGGACAATCTATCGGTTCTTTGCATTCATTGACTGCTTGCTACCTTTCAGATCGGCAAGTTGCTGAGAATTTTCAATGCTGTTGCCGAAAAAATCGACTCATATAACAGAGGAATCCACTACACTGTAATAACGCTATTCCTTCTCTCTACGTGGCCTGAAGTGAGCAGAGCGCAAGTAGAGGAGAAGTTTAATAACATTGTGTCTATGAACATTCTCATTATCGTTGGATACTCCTCTATCATGCATATCATGTTTCTGTTGCTCAACTGGATCGCGGGAGGATTTCTTGGCCTTGCTCTGCCGGTTAAGAAGACAGTTGTGATCCTTGGAAGCCACAAGGCATTGTCGTTTGCTCTTAAGGTGCTCAGGTTCCTGTCGACCAATGTTGGCTCAAGGAGACTGATGTCAATCGTTTGTATAATCTCATATTTGACGCTTCTTGTCCTCGACTCAATCATCGTTTGCAAATGGGCCACAATCACGGAGGACGAAAAGGACAAGGATAAATCTGCGGCTAGTGCAAAATATGGAACGTTGCCACAAGACAGCGACTGACGACTGCGATATAAATTTAGTTTCATTCGAGTATTGGAGGAAAATTGGTTACGGGCTGACAAATCTTAGTCAACTGCGCCCCTTTCTTTGTCTAACATTTTGGGAAAGCACAAAAAAACTAAGACAATTGACACACATCGGCGAAATCGTAAATGAAAAAGGAAAAAGTAAAAAAGTAAAATTTAAGAGGCACTGACTACACTTTAATTTCTGTGTTAAACAAGCTGAAAGAATTCACGAAGATCTACAACCGTGTGTTAGATCACCCAATCTATTGAGGTACCGAAACTGACGGAATTTTTCGAGTACATGCGTGCACTGTATTCCGGTTGACAAGGATCCTTGAAAGGTTATCTAACGACCATTTGAAATCACTATCTTTGACGATGTTTGATAATCATGGCTTAGTTCTGTTTTTATCTTTCTCGTGCGCAGTCTTAATCAGTGGTGGAGTATGGGTCTCCGCCCCACGCCACAGCACGCTATAGCGAGCTTCAGGGTAATTTAGGTGCCACCGCCATGTATCAAGATTCCGTTGCGTCGCCCTAGTTTCTTGCTCATCCATTTTCTCAGCTTTTTCGGATCGCGATATTTCAGGGGACCATTTCCTTAATCTTGAAGTTCGGGAAGCTTCTCTTTCTAAACATTCTTCAATAAATTGATACGAATTCAATTTTTCGGTAAGTGCACGTGAATACCTCTTAACAAAAATTTAACGGACATGCGATTTGGCTAGATTTGTACATTTTGTTGATGGGGCTAAATTTTTAAATCAAGGATAATTTATTTTGCTAAGGAAAATCGATGAAATAAAGTGAGGTTAATATATATTTTATGTTCATGGCGTATTGTATTTTGCTAATCACACATATGTTCTCCACAAGTAAGTAATTCAGAGATATTTTGATCAACAAGTCCGAGAATTTGTTGATGAATCTACGTTTTAGCAGCCTACTAGCAAGCAGGCCCTCATTATAAGAGCCTGGGAACGAGCGCTCCTCCACCCGCGGGAAATCGTGAAACCTTGTGCAACGTGAGCCAGCGAGAGGTCTATTAATAATAAGCACCAACATTTTAGGGACGCGCACAGCAACCGGAAGTTAAAAGTTCTTATTCCTGGTGCTCTGTAAACACCCTTTTGTTCAATACAGTTTGGTTAAAAGTGCTAAAACGAAGACCCTACGGTCGATACATTAGCGTTAAGGTGCGCAAGAGTTAGTTTTATCCTTCTTCCAGTTTTCGTTCGCGAGGTGCCAGACCCGCGGTAGACCTCTTCCCGACTCGTCTCACATCTTCCCGCGGGCGGAGAAACACGCGAGTCCTGCAGCGATAATGAGGGTCTGCTCGCAAGCCGGGGTTTACAAAGAGAATGGCCACCTGATCGCAATTTTTCACTTTACATTGGAGTTCATTTTTCTTTAAGTTTACGCATATTTTGTTACTGCATGTAATATTTCACATATTTACAATGGTGCGACTACACTTTTTTAACAACTCTGTACAAAATACAAACCAAATTTTTCAAATGATATTTGTAAATTTCAATCGAAAAAGAAAATAATCCTTCTTTTTTCTAGATACCGTAAATACAATTCAGATCTGTACTGGTGCATCAGAGGCAGTTGTGCATTAGCTGAGATTTGTACCCTCCAAAAATTAAGTGGTAGCTAGGAACTAAGCAAAATGGTATCTCTAGTGAATAGTGATCAAGACTTGATAATCTCTTGCAATGACTTAAAGACTTTTTGTATGGAGTCTTTATGATGCCATGGGTAAGAATCGTGGGGGGGGGGGTGGGGGGAGAGGAGGGGATAGGGATGGTTGGTCCTGTGTGAAGGATAAAGGTATGCCGACAACCAACGGATATGTTATTTATTCTTTCGGGTTTCATTGTTTTCAGGTCTGATATAAGATAAGAAATAACACTCATTTCTTTTGATCTGATGTACCGTGGTGAGAAAGCACACCAAATAACCTTCTCCATCCTTCTTCCCTCCCCTCCCCTCCCCTCCCCTCCCCCCACCCACTCGAGAAGGGGGAATCCAAATACCGAAAGCCGGTATAACTTCTCGTCCAGACTACTCCGCGTGACCTTCCGTCTGAAAATAACGTCCTCGTTCTGATGCTTAAAGAGAACTAAGGCAGTGAAGTTAATCGGACACGTGATCGCTAATTTGGTTCATTTCTCTGACACCTCCAAAAGTGACGGATTTCTGCTCCACTTGCTGTAACCAGGAAGAATGCCTCTGTGATGTAACACATTGCCGACGACTTTGTTCTGCACACACACAGACAAAAGAGACTGTCAAATTTTCATTCCTTTCCAAAAAATATTCACTCTTGGGAAGGCAAAGAAAAACAAACATGCAAAACAACTGCAGAGACAATCTCAGGAGCCAAGATGAGCTAGCCGGCCTTGCAATATGTATAAAAGCCTGCGTTCTTGCAAAGTATACTATTCCATGTCAGAGTCTTTTTTACTAGGCTGCAACCCTGGATATTTTAGTTAAATTAAATGCAAAAATTTGAACTGCATTTGACTGCAATTTCCAACAGCGATTTTGCTTTGATAACAAGACGCAAGCCGATGACGACAATATGTGCACGGTCGTAAGCGCAACTAACCAATGCCTTGCCGCAAACTCCTTTTCAACCATTTTCTATTCACTTTAGTCAAGGAACAATCAGATGTCAACAAAAATCGTTTTTGGCTGCAGCGTATTAGAAACAGAAACGTGGATTGTGGCTGCGCAGATGAGATCAAGAGGAATACGTGTGACAGTTCATAAAAAAAGACGAACAAGAAGAATAATATAATTTTACAATAAGCGCTAAAGAGGTACTAAACTAATTCGAAACAATTCTACCCACCTTAAACCTGACCCATTCCTTCTCTTTCTCCTGTTCGATATACTCCTTTTGTATCTCGTCCTGAAATGTAATGATTCATTTATGTTGAGTCATCAATTTACATAAATACAAGTTGTCGTTAGAAGCACACAGAATCCATCAACAAAACGTATCTCATTGAAGTGTACGCTACCTCTGTTAAATTGGCATCCATCACTGAATAGGACTGCGAGAGAAGAGACCTTGTGACCTCATCCAAGTCTAAAAAAAAGCGATTCAGTAGTGGTTGGTATTAAAAATTATTCAATTTGTAAATAGAATAAGAAAGATCGTAAATTTTGAGCTCAGTCTTCGAATGAGGGAAGATGTAATTCGACTGTAACAGGCGTGGGACAAAAAAAGAAAACAGGTCTGAGTATCCCACAAGGAATTGAGCTCCAGATCTTCGAATTTCACGCACAGATACTGTACTACAGAGCCAAAGAGACTCTATGGTGAACCAGGCTAGTACTCGGTTCAAAGGTGACACGCATCCTGCACAGTGCCAAAATCAGCAGTGTCAAAAGCGTCGTGTGTGGAAAAGATCAAGAAAGACTGTAAATCTTAAACTCAGCCGTCGAATTAGGGGCAGGGAGGGAGGGGAGGAGGGGAGAAAGTTGATCGGGTGAGGGTTGGGAGGGGGGAGATGAGGTGTCAAAATACCTACCATGGACATCGAGTGTAGATATGGTGCCTATTTGTACATGAGTGTCTGTGATGACTGAACATGGCATTGGCAAGCCCTTCAGGACTGTTATCTCACCAAACGAGTCTCCAGGAGACAGTCTGCCAATCATTACGGACTTGACACGCTGCTCCTGATCAAGATACAACAGAGACAAAGTTTTTTAAAAAAATTATCCCACGTAGAAACAGTCAGCAACAGCAACTTCTGGAGGCCTCAAAGCACCACTTAGAAGGAAAATTCAATGGAAGCAAGGGCGGAGCATTGCGTGGGATCATCCTACTGATATTTGGGGCATGTCAAGTCTTTAAAGGGTCACTTTTACCCACAAGATCCCTCTCCAATCCCTAACAACAATTTACTTCATGCCTGGATCCCTTATTAGAAAACAGTCTAACGAGTGGGGAGCAAAAGCAAACACATAATGACGTTTGACGACACACCCGGTATCATGGTTTTGTCTCGTCCCAATCTTCAGTCGCCAAAAGCTTATGTTCGACATAGACAGGAAAAAGAGTTTTTGAAGTCTTCTCTGTGGAGGTGTCTACTTATTCTCATAAAGGTACTAATACAATATGAAGCTACTTGCAAACTATTTCCAGGTAAATGAAAACTAAGATGCTCCAGTGTCACTGCGCTTTTCTCATTTTAGAAAAACGAAGAACTCTGTTCTACCAGTTATCAGGTTGGAATTGTTAGGACATCAACCACTTCCTGAATAGATTGTAAGGAATAATTGAAGAGTTTTTTGTAACTTTCTGGGTTCAATTCAAAGTTCATAAAGAGACAAGCACTAACCTTTCTACCGTTTGGAAATGTATGTGCTACATTGATGTAACGTCTCAGAAGACACTCCCCACTCTTAATGAACCCTATCACTTCACATCTTTCACCTTCGCTCACCAGAACTGTGAAACATCATAGAGAAGTGTCAGTAATTGATCCTACATGTCAAACTGGGAAATCTAACAATAGCCCAGTGATTATGACATGTGACATCCCGTGTATGATACTTAATAAGACTTCGGTTAGTTTGTACGCAATAAATTCTACTCTGGTTTACTTGAAGGTACCAGTGTGTTTCTTAATGAGGGAAGCGCTATGAGTCGAGATGGGTACCAATCTTCCCACGGACAGTAGCCTCCATACTTCCTTCGTGCAAGCTCTCATTGGCATCGCTGCACAATCAGTTCCCAGGCTCAAATCCCGAGGACTGCAAGATTCTCGTGAAGCAGCGCTACCGGTAATCAGAGTCTACTCGCAGGCTACATGAACAATTGAATTCTGGAGTTTACATTTCAAAGCTCACTTCGTGTGGGATGGGTGTGGCTTGAGAGGTCGTATTTGTAAGTAATGACTTTATTTTAGACAGCATTACAAGTACCTCAATGGAGCATACGCATTCTGCTCTGTGAACTAGTGAAAAATCATACAAAATTTTGCTACAAAACATGCTTTTCCAAGACTGTTCTCCTGATAGCAAATATTACCTTGACCTGGTGGGAACTTTCTCCACTTGATGAGCCCAGCGATTTTTTTGAGTGACAACAGAGGCCAGCTATTGAACAGCTTACACACCTTTGCTAGGGACAACTTCTGCTCTTCCTCTCGGGCTTGAATTATCTGAAGGAGAACAAAGGGAACAAATTAAAACTTCAATTTCATTTAAAATTATTGATCTAATTGAATTCCATCATTTCAGCACTGACCTGTATAACTCTAGCATAGTCACTGGTTGAAATCTTCAAGAACTCACATGGCTCCAAGGAGACAACAGAGAGAAGTCTAGAAGAAACATGCTTTAAATCAGATTATGAAAATTCACTTAGGAAATGGCAATTAATTTCCTTTTTAAGAAAAAGGGGTCTTTTTCCCTAACTTGTCTCAATTTTCAGTTACTTTTAAGAAGCTGTGGGTCTTAAGAGACTAGCACTACTACCCCAGAGGGATGATGGGAAGGAAGAATAGACATAGTCTTACTTTGTCTACCTTCCCACTTTCCAACATGTGCACCCCTGGTGCACATACCTTTTGCATGCTTCCTTTGTTGATATTTAAAAGAGATGACTAGAGAAAAGTTAAACTTTTGTCATGTTAACATACCAGTACCTAAATCTAAACATGAAGGGGAATGGGATCTAAAACTTTAAAACCTTGTTCCCAAAATCTTACCCACATAGTAATTCAACCTTACAATGACCAATGAGTGCAGGAAAAGTATGTCAGTTGATTGATCAAAAAATTGATTTGACTATCATTTCCTTCTGTCCCATGTAGGAAACACTTTTATCACTGGAACATTTTCCTGAAAACTAATTTCATTGCTTGAAGCTAAGAAAAGAAATCTAAGAAGCTAAGAGGAAAATAAACAAACTTACTTTGAGTTTGCCTCCTTTTCTTCAACTTTGCTTAGGACTCCAAAACACTGGCCCACAGTGAGCTGTAATTTAACCAAAACATCTTCATGAAAACACTTCAGTCAACAAGTTGAATAATTTCTTTAAGATGCACATAAGTATTCAAATTGAAGATAATTTCTAGACACTAGTTCTTCAAAAAAGCCACACTGTCTCATGACTTCCAAGTAAATTTTGAAGGGCAAGAGGCAAGCTAAAGAAAGAGAAGAGTAATCCTTTACACCTTAACATCGGCTTTCATATTATCTCCACACTTTTCTCTTTATATTTGCTATGGCACTGATGAGGAGAATCTGTTTGATAATCAGGGGATTTGTTATCATAACCTTCCCACTTGATTCAAGGCTGATACTGTAAGGAGAAATTGGACGACAGTCATTCTTGGATATTTAAATGGACTGCAAATGATGAACTTGGAAAATTTGATTGAATTTTTTTTGGGATTAAATTTCATAGAATCATGGGATTATTTGTTTTAATTCAAAGTGCTTGTTAAATGAATGGAAGTCTCTCTCAGTTTACTGTCATCAATGTTTTTCTACCTTTTCTGAAATTTGTAGCTCATCTTCTTCAAGGATACAGGAGGGTGATGGAGAGGAGACCTCAGTCGCTTCTCTTGAAAGTTCAGGTGAGAATGCTTGCGTTGACTGCACCATAACACTGCCACGCAAGATGAGATGCAGTCCTGTGTTCCCAAATACTGTGGGCAAAAGTTTATATGATGTGAGATGCGATGTTATAGACTAAGTGCTTTAATAGAAGTCTCAAAAAATTCCACCTCATATGAACAACAATATTTTCAAGTCAAAAAATTGAATGCACTTTCAAAATGCAGCAAGGGCAGGAATATCATTAAAGTCAATAATCCTAAACATCCAAAGTCTTTGCATCAACAGGGATGTGTTCCTAACCTGTGTAATCTTCCTGTGGACATTTGTCAAGCTGTGCCACTGAACACAGTTCCTTAAGCACATGTCTTGATACCTGCTCAGCTATTTCTGGGAAGTACTGCAAGTGTTTTAATAGCACCTCATTCTCCTTTGATTTTCTTTCAAAGGGTCTGTAAAGGCAAATGATGCAATAAAAAATCATTAAGTTTCTTTGTACCTGATAAACTTGAATATCTTCTGTATTGCTAGTTTTGCAAGCTAGAAATCACAAACTGAAGGCCCTCCACTCCTTCAATGCAGAAAAATCTGCAAGCACTACATGAGCAAAAAAGGTTTAGGGCTCAGACACATTAAAGCTGACCCCCCCCCCCCCCCTCAACCATCACCCTTGTGCTTTAGGTTGTTATCTGGAGTGCATTCACTGTTACTATGTTTGATTCACATGTTCACTAACCTCAAAGAATGTAGCCTTCAGTTAATAATTGAGATAAGTTTTCATTTAATTTTGTAACTTCTCATGATCTAAAATATCATTTACCACTCTTTCCACTACATTTCAAAAGATACATACATTTTTTACTTTTCAAGTAAAAATTTTCCATTCCAGGAAATGGATATAGTTATAGCATTTGCATTATCTTTGCCCAAGGAACTTACTGTTTCCGTAGCACTCTTTTAATGGACTTTATTCTCATGTCAAGTAAGGCAGCTGCAGACATGGTGATGACTGAATGTTTATGAAGCTTGGAAAGGTGTTCTGATATGTTATGACTTACTGGAACATCAAATCCTTTACACCAGTGAGGAAATAACCCTTTGTCTGAAGAAAGGAATGAATCACATTACCATAAGTTTAAATACCAGTAGCTTGAATGAATTTAAATTTGAAGCAAAGGAAAAAACATGCAAACAAACAACAAGTTAAGAAAACTTACCATGTGGTATTTTGGTTTCTGAAGCTTTAAGTAACTGGCCATCACCAAAATTGAGCTTTCTGTTGGTTGTAATCAAATAATGGAGAAAAGTGAATGTACATTTATATGTAAGAAAAACAAAATCTTCACCAAATAACAACAAAAAAGTTACCTTAGCAAATCAGACCTTTTTTATCAACTTAGTTGTTATTTATAACAGAAGAAAATGAATTTAAGAAAAGGTCCCCACAAATTCAAAAAAAATAAAGACAGGCTTGTTCAGACATTTTCATGACATGAGACAGGAATTTTTCAAGGTGTTTTCTTTGTAAGTAAATGGAAATTAATTTGTTACCTTGGTTGTGTAGAATTTAAAGATAAGTTTAAAGCTTGCTGTCTGGGATTGTTGAACATCTTTGGATAGTTGGCTAAAAATAACTCATGAGCTTCTGATGTGGATGGCCTGTCCCTGAAATTGAAATGCAAACAGCCAAGACACTTGAGAAACTTTGAACCAGAGTCTTTATGAATTTAAAATTGAACATTAGCTCTTTGCACCTTAACATTGGTGTTTATATTCTCCACACTGTTCTCTTTAAATTTCTAATAGCACTGACAAAGAGAATTTGTTTGACAATCACTAGCTTCCTAAGTTAGTGATGATTTTCTTTTCTTTGATTTTCATTTGATTTTAAGTTTACATTTGATTTTAAACAAGGCTGACACCACCATCCTGTGAGATGATTTCTTAACTAGCAATCAGTCAAAATAGTTGCTCAGGGTGGAGGAGCTTAAAAACATGCAGTTGTTATTAAACAAGGCCGGGTTGTGGGAGGTTTCTGGAGTGCCAATGACCCCCTGCCATCCACCATCCTGGTGAGATGATTTCTTAACATCAAGGGCAAAATTTAACATACAAAATCACGCTGCAGTCTAGTCTATTTTTATCTGGGAAAGTTTAGCCAATCATCAATAGTTGCTGGTTTGGTGTGGAGGAGCTGTAAAAACATGCAGTTGTTAATTAATTTAATCATGCCCTATTACTAAAAATTAACCAATCAGCGCTCAGTAATTTTGCCCTTTATTGATAAAGGCAGTAATTAAGTAATTAAGGCAATAATTTAGGGTGGAAGAATGGTTTTCCCATTTTCCTACCTCCCTCCTACATGTAAATTTTAAGGCTTAATACTCCTGAAAGTTCCATGACAAACACAAATCTACCAGCTATGAAGGGTTATTTGGAAGAAGAGCATAGAAAAAGGTTGATTTTATCACTCAATTGGACATACCTCTCTCCAAGGCCTTCAATATCACACAACCACCTCAGACCATTGTAGTTAATAGCAGGAAGGCCAATAAGCTTTGGCACTAAGTAAGTAAATTAAAATAAACATTTGATGAGATGATAAATTATAATCACTGACAGAAAAATAAATTTTTCACATTCATATGGTTAAATCTTGATCAATTAAATTACCACAAACATTTATTCCATGTTTTTATTTAAAACATTTCCCCAAAACACTTAAATCGACACAGAATGGTTGTATTAATTTGCACACAGCACCAGACGGTAGTTAAATGTCCCGCTCGTCGACATCAGAAGCCTCTTGAACAACAGTCAAACTTTCAGATCAACTCTATCCATGCATAAGACTTACTAGTAATCTCGTGTACATATAGAGTTGATCTGCAATCGTGTTATTAAATTTGTAAACATGCCAAAATCTCTTTGTAATAAACATCATCGAAATGATGAACTGTTATCTATGACCAGGCTTACCACGATTTTTCAATGATTCACTCATATATCTAGATAAATACGATAAAGTTAAGTTATAACAAACACTAAACAGTGTCGATAAAGAAGTTATGCCTAATCTGGATTTCAGATCTTCAACTTACATGGATGCCTCTGTTTTCTTGTTTGTTCTCCAAACTTTGCATTCCAGCCTCCGCTTTCTTGATCGTATCGAGACGAGGTTTTCATTTCTTACGATTTATAAAAAATACAAATTTATGTAACCCATTCTTTTAAGATTTCAACCTTGCTTATTTCAAGTTCCACGCAGAATTCGCCATCTTGAAATTAGAAGCATGATACGCGCCTCATCATATTACCATAGTAACAACGTCATCCGCTGTGCGGCGCTGGGTAGCTCACTAGACTGCTGAAAAGTTGCTTAAAAATTGCCAGAAGTCCAGAAAGTGGCAGCCTGAATTTCAAAAGTAGTTACCTAAATTGCATGTTATTTTTATACAAACGTTGGTTTTATGAAAGCTTTATTTTTCGTTTTTCAAGGCAATAAATGCTAACATCGGTCGAGATTGTGGTAACTGTTCATTAGTGACATTTTGGCTGGGGTACCAAGATGAAGAAGGTGAAACTTTTCAATTTCAGTTGTGGTTACCATGACAAAGTGTTCCAAATGCGAAAGTCAGTTTCCAGTTCAGCAGACAATCTTTGATGGCCTCATATCGGAGTAGAAACAATAAGATTGGATGTAGAAGGGTTGGAGGGAAGCATTTTTGCGACAACCATAACTATTACTATGGCTAGACTTGGAGCAGAGGTGAGAAATTGTGGCGCTGCATTGGAGGGAAACTTGATTGGCTGCAGTAAAAGAGTTTCTAACGCTGACATGTCTATTATTATCCCTTCGTCAGAGTGAAATACGAAGGGCTAACGCGGGAAACATCAGCTCTAACATCTCTTTACAGTGGTCAAATTACATTATCAACTCAACTGATAAAACTAAATTGTCAGTCTAGGCACCTGCCATTTAGAAAATCCTTCAATTTTTGTTTAAACTGATAGCAACATTTGCATCTCAAACATATGTGAATTCTAGCATTTTGTTTTTGTTTGCACAAGTTTACAATGGTGAAGAAAAAAACTTGATATCATAACCAGTTAACAGTTACACTATTGCACAATATTGTACAAGGCAGTGTTGTTCAAAGCTGGGTTTGGACAACTTGAGTTTTGACCTCTGACCTCTTTGTTCTTATGCTGCAACCTTTGAAAACCTTTCACATCAAAAACCTTTAAGAAATCCAGTTCTTGGGAGCATTTAAATCACACTATGGACTACATGTTATGTAAGCTTCTCTTTAAAACAAATAGTTGGTAAATGTACAAGTCAATAAAGGCCAAAGACATCAGAGTATACTCTGCTGCGCATCACCTTCAGCTGTTAATCAAAAACATATTCAGGCCTTGGTAACTTAGTATGTTGGTCACATGGCTGTATTGCTTGAAATTTGAGCCAGACTCCCAGTCAGTTGTGAAAAAAGAAAAGTCAGGCACATGTCTCAACTTCCCTGACTCGGAGCCTCAAAGAGACTGTTCCCCCTTGCATTTTCACTCTTTTTCTTTTGCTTGTTGATGAGCTTTGGCACTGAAGTACTCCTGGTTGAATTTAATCCTAAGGTCAGTTTGAGGAGCTGGTTTCTCCAGTCTCTCCAACATTCTTCTTCTGTTCCTTCCACGTTTGTCACTCTTTTTTTCACTGTCAGACAAACTGAAAATCTCCTGGTTCTGTTCAATCCTGGGATTGAACTCGTATGTTGTTTCCAAGGGGGCCTCTCCCAAAGCCTTCAATCTCTGTTTTTTCATTTTCTCTGCATGCCTCAGTTTTCCTTCTTCTTGTGAATTTTGAAACCCTGGTTAGAGAGTTTAGAATTTGTATGTCAGAGCATTCAAAGTCACAGAGTCTCTAGTAAGTTAAATAAACAAGAAGATCAGAGAAAAGGTTGGAAGGTACAAAAGGATGGGTAGCTTCTGAGCAGAGGGTTACCTGATAGGTCACAGGTTGGCTAGCTGTCAGTTGACAGTTAAAATTTTTAATGTTTAGCAAATACTACAGGTACAATCATTTTGGTAGCTGGGGGTAGTGCATGAGTAAAAACACAGGTAGGTCTTACAACTAATCCTATGTACTGAAATTAGTGTAGGCTAATAAGCTGAAATGCAGATAGGCAGCTTGTTTGATAGGTAGGTAGACATGTGGGAGATCATTGAACAAGTATTGTATGAAAAGGAGGAAAGTGAGGGGAGAGATGACGGAAAGATTGAAGGAGGCAAGAAATGATGGAAGAAAGTAAAGGGAAAAGGTGCACAGTTGTAACAAAATGAAAAGGTTGAGGGAAAGAAGGAAGTTGATGGATAAGAAATGCTTAATTCATTAACTTAGATAGTTCGTCATAGCTCACCAGCCTTCAAGTTCTCCAAAAAGCTTCCAGCATCTTGTAGATTTTCATGCTTTATCATTTCAGGGATTCCTAAAGCTCTCCTTACTGAAGGGCTCTTTAAAAATCCTACTTGAACAATTGTAAACAAGTTGGATGTTACCCAATAACAAAAAATGGCCTGTTGAGAAACAATAAAAGAACCTATTGAAAAATGTTAAAAAAATATATCATAATCATATTCTGAATGCACCAAGAGTAGCATTCTTTTCATGACAAAAAAGTTACTCAAGTAATTGCAAAATCCTCACAGTTAGCTATTTCTCCCTTGCATTTAGTTTAGTTTTCTCTGAGGAGTTACAGAGATGTTATAGTCAAGTTAAGGAGGCATGGATTTGAACCCTGGCCAACTATTTGAGTGACATACTTGGCATAAATCTCCACTCTTATCTCTCTTACTGTAAACTAAAGTAGCTGGGAGTATTGCCACTCATCCCCAACAAGATTCTGGTCCATCAAATATCACTTCCAAAAGTTTCCCCAAGGTTTCTTGACAGTTGCAGATACCCCTTCATAATCCTTGTGTCTTGCCCAAGAATACAATGCAGTGAACTGGTCAGGGCTCCTAACTGGAACTTTTGATCTAGAGAACTATGCACAAGCAAAACCTAACCCCAGCATAATATATGCTAGAAAGTCATGGGTAGCAGAAAGAGTTAAAAATAAATAAATAAATAAATAAAAAAACCCTTGGTACCCCTCCCCTATTTCTGTCTTGCTATTCATCTTAGACCTTCACTTTTTCTGCATGTACAAGTTATTTCAGAAAGTGTAACAAAATAACTTCACAAAACTGTCTTACTTATTCAACATCTCCCTGGGCAACCCATGAGCATTTGACCATCCCCCATACCCAGGATGTGGGGAATTTGAACCCTACCTGGGTGAGGTGGGGCATTAGAACTGGAAGTGTCAAGTCTTTTCAGTGTAATACAATGAAAACCCCGAATACACATCTTTTTATGGAGCTGCACCAAAAACTAACGCATGACTTTGCTTAATTCCACAACATTTGTTGAACACACAAAGGATTGTTTGATATTGGGTGGGGCATTTGAATGCGATCTTGGCCTGGGGGGGGGGGGAGGAAAACTTGAAATAGCCAATCTTCAAAAGTTCAAATGCTTGCAAGGTTGCCAGGGGGGATGTTGAAGCTTAGACTTGATTGACACATAAGAAACAAAAGACAGGGTGATATTAAACATACTGCAGGAAAATGTGCTGTGAAAGGGATCAATGCAACAGCCATGATGCGAAAGACTGTCTTCATTGTCTCCATATGGGGAGTCCTGACTCCAACCTCGCCACCTAACTACAAGAAAAATAACATGCAAAATATGAACATTTAAATTATGATGCTTTCCTTCATTCATAGGCAGGTAAGGTCTTTGAGGCTCACTGACATTTAAATCGTTGTGCTCATCCCCAATTAATAAAAGTAAAAATAACAATTATAATTACAATTATAACAGACAATAGATTAAGATAATGATGAAACCTAACAATAAAAATAACAATAATGATAACACTAATAATAATAATGAATAATAATATTAACTATGGGAATTTAGTAGCTGACTTTCCACTAGGTGGCTCTTCAAGTTCGCTGTTTTCCAGGTCAAATTGAAATTTGGAAAGTTAATTCTTGTGGAAAAAACAAACCACTCACTCAACCTGCATATAATATACATATAGTGCCAGGTTTAGAAATGTGTAACATGAAGGCAATGACTCGTATGATTGCTAGTTTACTGCTGATAACTGGAAAGGTATATAAACTTTTCCTTCTGAAGCACATTTTTCTTACTTCTAATGATGCCAGCATGGAAAAACTGCACATGATAGGTAATACATAATATGGATCGCATAATGTTAGGTCTTGAAACCAAAGATATCCTCCTGTCTTGAATGATTCTACCGGTAAATTAGCCATTCCTCTGATTGCAAAAAAGAATGAGATGAAAACAGGAAACTGGGCAACAATGGCCAATAAACTCTGAAAAGAAACAAAGAAATTGCTAAGTGTTAAACAAGTTCAACAGTTCAATGACACAAAATTCATGTTCACCAAATAATTAAATGAATGGGCCGATGTCAGTATTTTAGCAATGGTCTTTAATTATTAAAGATGGAGAAGCAATTATTCAACCCAGATCAATGAATTGACCACAGGATTAATCAAGATCTTGACAACAATTTTCTCTGCAATTACCTTAACAGGGTGACAGTTGTTCTCACGGTAAATTTTTCCCAGCATCGCAGAAGCTTGTGCTTGTGCTGCTGAATCAGTAGAGTTTGACAGCTCTCTCATTTTAAGCTCTACCTCCTGTAACTCTGGCCGTGCATTGTTCAGTCGAGCTGTGTTGGCCTGTGACTTGACAATCAGAGGAAGAAGCAAGAGACGAATGCACACTGTTGTCACAGCTATGGAAGCGCACCATGAGAGACCCCCAGTAACATGGATAAACTCCAGGCCTTGTTGAATGATGCCGGTTGGACCCCAGCCACCTAATCCTAAACTTGCTAAGCTTGGCTCGCCAACAGAGGTAAGGGTACCTGCCAAATCATTGAACATTTCGCTTCCTGTGGCCATGGACTCTAATACTGATCCTGAGTCATTCTCTTGTACAAATGGATTTGTGACCTTCTCTTCTTGCAATAGTTCTGTGTTATCTGTCAAAGAAAACAAGTTCATAAATAAAGCATGTAGAATTAATCAAAATGTCAGTTCAAGGCTGTGCAGATGAAAATAAAATGGATGCATGCAGTTACTTGTCTGAAATTGTTTTTGGTGGGGGTAGTCCATTCTAGGGTAGTCACAGGGGTAATCCACTCAAGGGTACTTATGAGGGTAGTCCACTCTAGGGTAGTATGGGGGTAATCCACTCCAAGGTACTCATGGGGGTAGTCCACTCAAGGGTAGTCATGGGGGTAGTCCACTCTAGGGCAGTCATGGGGGTAGTCCACTCTAGGGTAGTCGTGGGGGTAGTCCACTCTCAGGTAGTCACAGGGGTAATCCATGGACTGGAAGTCAGTGTATTTCCCTGTATTTCAGGTCGATTACTTTCAATTCTCGATCACTCGAGATTTCATCAATTTCCTCGAAGACTCGAGTTATCGAGAGTAGACTGCACAGCACTTTATTTCACGTCACGTCATTTACAGCCAATACACCTTACCTGGACTTGGGGAGGAACTTTGTGATCCGAATAGCGAAAAACATCTCGCTCCTTTAATCCAAGGCGACAGTTCGTGCCTAACACCACTGTAACCGTAAATTTTAAAGTTTCTTGGTCTTCCAAAGTTCACCCTTCGGTATAACCCAGTCGTTGAATAAGTGCGTGAGGCAACATCTCTGATATAGCGATTGAGCATCTGCGAGATGTAAAAAAGAATACGACATATTTCATTCACTTAGCCATGCCTATCCTACGTATGAAGTATCTCTTCCGTAATTAAAAATATATATTTTTACCTTGTTAGTTGATTGCCCCGAGACCCTCAAAGTTCTCAAGCATGCTGCTGCCCGGCCTATTTTCCAGTTCCCAAAGCGTGCAAATACGGCCGCCATCTTCAACACAGCTTTACTTCAAGTACGCAACAGAAAATGTCCTTAACTTCAACCGGGAATTGCAGAGGGCCTTGGGCCCAGTAGTCCGACGAAGCAGTTACAATTATTTTAGAAAAGGCACGCAACGGTCGATATGAGGGCAGACAAAGATTTCGGAAACAAATTGGGTAAAAAAGAAAAAATAACTTTGGGCATTAAGAACTCTAGAGTTTTAGGGAAGGGCGACCAAAGAACTTAGACGTGACTATCAGGGTCAGAGAGATCATGTATCACCCTGAATGTCTGCTATTAAGCGGTCCTCAGATTGTGAAATATCTGTTACAACCTCCTTTTCGTAGAGGAAAATAATAAGACCACATCTACCAGTTCCGTGATAACGATTTTATATTGCACTGGTAGCTCTTGAGAGTCCTAAGAGGCCGAGAGCACTTTGAATGTGCCAAAAATTGATTTCTGTGTTTTCTGTAATCAAAACGAACCAAGCTGGGTTCCCTTTTTCTATTCCTTCTTTTTTATCATTGATTTTATTTCACTCGTCTAGCTATGTTCCGGCCAAAGAGTGTGCATGAGTGTATATATATATTTTTATCGTAATTATCACATAAAAATAATAAAAACGGCCTGTATTTAGGAGCTTAAACTAGAATTATTCTGATATTATACTATACTGGTTCGTTCCAACAGCCGCCAAATTTCAAAACTTTGTATGTGTTTGAACTTGCCCGGCGAAGTGGGATTCTAAAAGAGGTTGGGTCAGATTGTATACTGTTGCTTGGTGACGTCATCGTGAAGGAAGCCGGGTTTCACATTAAACGGTTTCATGCCTTCGTTGATTGAGTAAACTATTTATTATGTCTTCCACCTGGACCCAGAGTAGAAGGAATGGAGCTAACGTCAAGCTAGTTGAAGCCACTGCCTAGCCAAAACATAAGCATTTACGTGAAATACCGGGCGGGTGAAGATTCATCCAGAAATTAGGGGGATTGTGGTAGGAGTAACGAAATCAACCGGAAAGAACTGTAGTAATCTGAAAATGTCGTTCACTCGCGATCGAATGAAGGTGAGCTCAGCACAAGATTCACGTTATATAAAAGAAGTATCGTATACGACCATGCCAGCAAGAATTCATGTTTGTTTCACTTTTACATGTCATTCTGTGTTTTCCTTCAGAGACAAACTTCACCATCATTCAAGACTCCGATGGTATTCAAGCCTGACTCGAGCCATAAACCATCTCCGTCGCGAAAAGATTTGTGGAAAGAGGAGTTAGGATTCGATGGTAAGCTTAATCGATCTTGCCATGGCTTTACTATAGCCTGTAAATCCTAAACTGTGCCTATAAGACATGATATGCTTTTATTTGAAAAAGTTACATTTTGAACATCGCTTGTCTTCGCTTGGCTTTCTTGAAACTTATCCTTTCTCTGTCTTTGTTCGTACATGTAACAGACGATTCTAGTCCGGAAGCCGGACAGTCATCAAGCGACGATGAAGAATTGGAACCTGAAGCTGATCAGCTGTCCAGCAAAGGTGAATTGTTATTTTACCTAGAGACAATTTTATCTTTAACTACATTTCACTCTGCAAACCGTACACAGCGTTTTTCGAATGGTTGTGAACATATGTTGTCTTTAGTTTGCATGCTATTAACTCTGGCCTGCCATTTAATTAGCTAACCACCTGTTGCGCTCATGTCAACAACCAGCAAAATTAAAATAGTTTCATGCTCCGTCTCTCCTGGATTTGTAAGATTATCTGCAATGTCATCCGAAGCACTTATTGTCTCTCTCCTCATTGAACAAACTTGCAATATTATTAATTAATTTGTATGTCTTCTCCATTGGAAAGATTGGAACTTTGATTGTAAAATATTGTTTAATGAATTTTAGGACGATTTAGCCACGCTTCTGTTAGAAAATGATTTAGGAATAAGGAAAAAAGAGTTGATTATGTTTTCGTGAGAGTTTCAAAGTAGGATTTTCTTTGACAAGCAGCAAAATATCACGAGGTGATAGAATTGAAAGATTTTTAATAGGTTTTTCAGTAAGCTTAGATTTTTCAAATACACCGACAGTTTGAAACGACTCTATTTTAACAGGCTTATTTACCATTCTGTGTTTGTTTCTTTTGTTTGCTTTTCCGTTGTGATTTATTCTTAGTGCTTTTTGTAGATAGCTTTTTAGATCAGCTTTGGTATACAATTGTTCCCGGTGAGAATGGATTGACTAATTTTGGAGATTTTTCCAATGTAACTCGCTGCAAGACATTTAAAAAATGTGTAATCACATTAATAACATGTCCCAAGTCTAGGTAACAATTAAATTGGTTAATTAGGAACACGATTAGTATCCGAAATATGTTTATTTACAAAAAAGTAGTTTGAAATTTTCATTTTTTTAAAACTGGCAGAATCATGATCAAAGTTGATAAACTGGTTTGTCATTGTTTAAGCCTCAAAATTCTGCCTTTAATGATTATAAAAAGTCCACTTACCTAAAAAACATTTTAGAGATGATATCTATTTCCCCTATCCATAAAATAGTATCTTTTAGGAAAGCAAAAAACATGGAAAGGAAAGAAAGCTATAAAAGTTGTGGTACAATTTCAGGTTCATCAGATGTGGAGTATCAAGCTCTGCTTGCAGAGTTAAAACAGAAAGACAAGCAGCGTGAGGAACTTCTTATGAATCTAAAGGTTTGTCTAAATTTTATTTATTTGCAATATTTAAACAGGCTGGCTCAGTTCAGCTCAAAGCTGGCTTTGTGTATTTGTTCATTTCCTGTCAAAACTTGCCTGCCTTGTATGTGTTTTGAGACTGCATTAGACATGTTTGCTCAGTGCTTGTAGTAGTTTTTTTTAATTTGTTCACAGACTTATGTCATACTGTGTATTATATCAGAGCATTACACTCTTAATCTAAAAGTAGTCTTTCTTTACCAACTTGGTCTGGTGGGACAAAAAAAGAAGCAACATAAACAGAAATAAAAAATCTGTATGGAAACTTTTCGGGGCTCGTTTGACTTCAAAATTCAGCGTAATAGGACTGCTTGTAACATTTATTTCAGTCTCATTATTTTTCTAATTTTAAGATTCTACTTTTATTTAGTCACCATTCTCCAGGTGTGCATGTGGTTTCAGCTGTGTTAAACCATATCACCCCACACAACCTTTGCAATAACACAGTACTGTTACTCTTTTCATCTCAGTCAAGGAATTTTGTTTTAATTCCTTGAACTGTTAGTAGATCTTTTCTAGTCAGTAAAATCATGTAATTTCTGTCCATTTTCAGACTTTCTCAGCTGGGAGAAGTTTGTTTAGTGAATTCTTTCATTGTTTTTGACAGTGATATAAATTACATTGCTATGTACCTAAACTTTCACTCAACAAAACGAGCACTGTGATTGGTTGATCCTGACTGGGATACAATTGTGCAGCTGTTGCTTGCGCTGATTTTCAACAGCATGTATGTTAGTTGCCATATGATTGTTTAAGGGAAAGTCTAAATATATAACAAAGCATTTATTACATAGTCCCACCGGAAACTAGTTAGTTTTGTTTTCCCTTGAGTCCTGATGTTTCTTGAGATGAAGTCAAAGGAAATACCAGGACTTGAGGGAAAATGAAACTAACTGTTTCCTTCAGGACCATACATTAAATGTATATTATATAATAATATACATTTAATGTATGGTCCCGAAGGAATACTTATAATATACTTTAAGAATACACGTTCAACTTTTGAACAAGCTTCCATTCCTTGGATGTAATAACTTACTAAATTAAATAAATAAATAAGTATAGATAAATAAAGACAAATTAAATGATGTATTTAATGATTCATCTGAATTTTTTACTCTTTGCTGTTTACCAGGCCATGACAGACAAAACTGCCAACTATAAGTCAAAGCTCCAGAAGGCAGAAAACAACAAAAAATCACAAATAAAAATTCTGAAGAAAACACATGAATCTCAGTTAGCTATGAAAGCAGAGCTTATCCACAATTTAGAGGAACTTATTGAAGAACAAGAAACCAAAATTGCTGAGCTTGAAAGTCACATCAAAGGTTCAAGTCCCACACAATCATTGAACGCTGCTAACACAAAAGCTTCAAGTCTCAGGAAACTTGTTGACTCCATAAATGATCTCCATGCAGAGAAAAGTAGGATTCATGAAACATGGCTGTCAACGCAGTCAGAACTTGAGACAGTTAAGCATGAACACAAGGAGAACATGAGTCGTTTGACAGAAAATATTTCAGAGTTGGAGACAAAGCTTCGCAAAGCTCACGCTGAAAATCTCAAGTTGCAAAGTTCAGAAGCAGAAAGTGTAAGTTCTTTTGGTTGTTATTTAAACAATTTATGTATAAGGGATCATCTTTGTTTCATCATTTGGTTCCACAAACTAAGATAAAATTAATCATACAGCAATCTGATCATATTTTTTCCTAGGTCTTAAAAACCCAATCTTATGGCAGACATTTTTTCTTGGCTCATGCCATCTTGTAAATTGCAATATTAGTGCAACATAGCATGGGGCTGGGCTTCTTTGTTGGGAATATGGTGAATAGCAGGGGGCTGGGATTCCCCTGCAGTAGCCTGGTCTGGAATGTTGATGGTCCCTCAATAGAGATGTATCTGTTGATATATAGAAATGTGTTTTATCTTACAGGATAAACCAAGAGAAAACAACAAACAAGTGTTTTCTCTCCAAGAGGAAGTCACTACTTTGAAAAAAAAGATTCAGACATTGGAACATGACTTACAGAGTGCTCACAAACTACATGTAACTACAAAAAATAAACTTGAAGAAGAAGCACTAAATCTTAGAAAGAAGCTTCGAGACACTGAAGCGAAGTATAGTAATCTGGCTGCTACACCGCCAAAGGTTAGTCAAAAGAAAGAAGTAGAATTTCTATCTAATCATTGTTTAGAACATGGTGATGCCCCTATCAAATGTGACCAGTCTGGTAGTGGCAAAAGGAAAAGATAGTTGACTGTAGATGTAGTTTACTGTACTGGAGCTAAGTGGTCCATCCATTGTGTGCTTATCCTGCTTTCCATAGTATGAGGCAACTAGGATTATTAGTACTCCCTTCCTAGATGGGATGACTCTCCATCACAAGGTTATCCTCAGCATTTGATCAGACTTCCTTCCCTAAGTTTTAATTGACAATTAACCCTTTAACCCCTAAGAAGGACTCGCATCTAATTTCTCCTTACAATATCACCACTGAATCACACATTAATGTCATGAGAATAAAGGAAATGATCACCAACTAAAGAAACTCTTGATTGTTAGACAAATTCTCCCTTTCAGCACCTTAGTAAATGTACAGAGAAAAGTGTGGCGAATATGAATACTGATGATAGGGTGTAAAGGGTTAAGATTATATTATTAACGTCAAAAAACATTATCATTAATCATTATTATTGTTACTATTATTATTTATTGAAAGTGTTTCATATTTTTGCAGACGCGGACCATCTCTGTTGTTTCGGAGGAGACCAAAAAAAAGCTTGACCAGATGATCGCTCAAAACAAAGATCTGGAAGAAATTCTTGCAAAGACAAGATCGGACTACAACGCTAAGGTGAGTTTATGTTCATGTCCATTATATCAGAGAAGGGAAACCCGACATCATCATGCGTTCATTGTTCGTGTTTGCTCTAATTGTAGGTATCCGCCCTGCAAGCTGATATAAAGTCTTTAAAAACCAGCATAACAGAGAGTTCGAGAAATGAGCAAAAAGCTTTGGCCGATTGTCGAACTTTGCAGGAAGCCGTGAAGGAAATGAGCTCCCTCGAGTCTGTGGTGAAACAAAAAGATAGCAAAATAAAGGCGCTAGAATCAGAGGTACGTTTTTGCTTTCTCTCAATAGATTGAGTGTAGGAAGAGCTTTTCCCAACCTAACAAATAAAATTTGAGCTACGACAAAATTTTATTCACTCCTTACGTCTGGATTGGTAGCTTAGATGGTGTAGTGGTGCCCCTCTGGTGACATGCATGTAGGAAGTGTGGCTCCAAGTTGCGACATTTTTTGGGGTTACCTTTTACGATATCTTAAATTGCATTTTGCTTAAGAGTACCAACTCCTTTAGATAATTTACTTTCTATTAAAAGCACACCACATGGTTGCTTCATGTCAGGAATGGCAAGAAAAAAGTCAATCAGTGTTTTAATGAGTCAGGGAAGTCTTAAGGCTTGGGCTTGTGAAAAATCTGCATCATAGTCTTTACATGATAGCTGTTGTTTCGATTTTCCTTCCAAACTGATCTTTCCCTACACTCTTTTCTCTATACTATCTTTTGCTCAACCGGCTTTTCCTTTTCTTTCTCTTCTCACTTCCATTCTTCGTCTTTCTCCTCTCTTTTCGTTTCTACGTGGCTCGTGGCTCTCCTTAAGGAGTCTACCCCTCTTTTCTATCCCCTCCCCCTTCCCCCCCCCACCAAATCCTTTCTTACCCCCTCTTGATTCCTTTAAACGTTGATTCAATGAATCTAACACCTTGTAACTGCGTCTGCTTTTCGTTTTTCTTTTTCCTCTGCCTCTCAAACAGATCAGCAAATATAAAGCGGATATCGATCAGCTTGGACAAGAATTTGAACAACAATCGAAAGACTTTGAAGGGGAGAAAAGAAGAGTTGTTGCAGAGGAGCGGGCCAAATGTGCAAGGGAGACCAGTGTTATGCGCTCAAAGCTGAAAAGCGTTACGCAGCAACTGATTGTGGTGAAGAACACTTTGGACAATATCAAGAGAGAACATCAAGATCTTAGGATAAGCTGTTTAAAACTCGGGACTGGCATAAAACCGGCTATACGCGGGGTGATTAAGCAGGTCAGTTTCATTTTCTGTAGCTCGTATGTTCCAAGACACCAAGTGAGGGTACCTTGTTTACATAGGGATGAATTTCTACCGCGAGGATTTCGCGTCCTGGGAGCAATTTCAGTTTTGAATGGAAATTCCATGTTTGTTTTCCTTACAGATTGTGCAGCGTATCGAAGGAATCGATGACAAGAATAAAGAATTGGTTACAAAGTACAAAAAGGAAATGGCTTTGAGGAAAAAGCTCCATAACGAACTCGTGGACTTAAAAGGCAACATCAGAGTATATTGCAGGGTAAGGCCTGTGATCAAGGAAGACGGAGGAGGAAAAATGGCTGCCAATGTTGTTTCTTTTGACGAAGATGACGATGGCGTTCTTGGTGTTTTCTCAAAGGGATCAACAAAACTGTTTGAGATGGACAAGGTGTTCACATCAGCGTCCACTCAACAACAGGTAATTTTTTTTTTATGCCGGTAGATGTCATATTTGATGAGTTGGACGCGACAACATACGTTCAAGCTTTAATTTTCAAATAGAAATCTTGCACCAGCGAACGATGACTGATGTCAAAGAAGGCAGTGATGGATTTTCCATCATCAAGGCAGCAGTTAAGCAGCAAAACCTACGAGCAAAAATTCGCATAAAGAAGTGTTGAGACAGTTTGTGCGTATTAGAAAATATTACTCGGAAACCTTTATGTTCGTCATTTGCACTCCATGTCAAATCCTCGCTGTACTTAACTATGTGCGATTCCTGTTTGGTCATTAATACCATCCAAATATTTTATTAAATTAAAGTAAAATTTGTGCAATCTCGGTAAACTACTCTTACTAATGAAGTAGAGATATATTTAGCCAATAGACACTTAATTAACCTACAATCCGCCTTTCTCTTTTTAGGTGTTTGAAGAGGTTAAGGCACTCATAGTTTCTTGTATAGACGGTTATAATGTTTGTATCTTCGCCTACGGGCAAACAGGAAGCGGGAAAACCTTTACAATGGAGGTAATCAGCCTTAATTGTTGTGCAATAATGTTTATTAGAGGAAAAGGTAGTTAAACAATCGTCGTATTTTGGCCTCACTTAAATAACCCGAGCGAGCACTCACGGTTTTTGAGGATACAACGAGACTTGAAACAACTTAGATTAAGTGTAGTGAGGGGAGAGCCTCCTTAAGCCCCTGTGTGATCAACTATTGAAGAAAAAATTTTCCTCTCTCTGGTGAATTAAATTAGATGGTAAAAATGTGCTTATTCTTCGTTTATCCTCCCCAAAACCAAGGAGAAAATTGCGAAATAACCCATGTTCTTGTTTTTCCCAGGGCCCCTCATCCAATCCTGGTATCAACCAGCGTGCGCTCAAGCTTTTGTTCGAAGAGACACGTGACCGCGGAGTGGACTGGAACTACACCATCAACGTATCTGTGATCGAGATTTATAATGAAATGATCCGTGATCTACTGGGTGATGATCCGTCCGCTAAACTTGAAGTGAAACAAGGAAAAGATGGTCTTTTTGTACCTGGACTCACCGAAATTCAAGTGAACAACGTTGATGAACTGAATGAGGTATGCATCATTTACTGAGTGATTAATTGACTGATCATTCGATTGTTTGATTGACAGATTTTTGAGTGATTAATTGATTGGTTAACTGAGTTATTGATTGTTTGATTCGTTTGAATGTTGCTTGACAGGTTTTTGCCATTGGGAAGACCAACAGGTCTACCGCAATCACAGATATGAACGAGCATTCCTCTCGTTCGCATGCTCTCCTCTGTGTGACGGTGACCGGTTTCAACAAAACTACAGGACATAAGACAATCGGTAGGAAAAGCCGTATACCGGCGCTTAACCTTTTCACGTCCAGGATTTAAATATCAATTCTTTGCAGTGTCCGCCATGACGGACTTTGTGAATGTTTATCTCAGACAGTTAAGTGTTCAATTAACCAGTATCCCTTAGTTGATATTTGTCTTTCGTCTCATTACCTTCCACCTTAATGCTTGAAAAAAAGACTGGTATTGTAAGCAGGTATTTCTTATCTAACTTTCTTGAGGATGTAGGGATTCAGTGGAAGTCAAATATGTCAGATTCAAGCGGTATTAACTGATATTAAAAATACAATCCTAAATTCTGTTGCCTATTTCTTGGTTTTGATGTTGAGGAGGGGCGTGTATGAAAGACTGACGATTATTCCTTCAAGATGGGAAAATAATTCTCAGTGTTCGAGACAAAACTTTGGCATATTCTGTACTCTTAACGAACTTCAGCTGTTGTCTCAAGGAAATCCTTGTTTTGACCCGGACAGTGTATTTTCCATTACGGGGTTTCGAGGAGTCAGGGAAAATTACTTGAGTTTCCCTATTCTGAAGAATTACATTTACGAGACAAGAGGGTGTTTTAGAGGCAAGGCATCTCAGAGGATGTATCATGTTTTTCATTTTTATTGTACAGAAAATGAGAAAAAATTGACCGTGCAGTTTCTCTTTTTTTTTATTTTACATTGTCTCAGGAAAGCTTAACTTGGTGGACTTAGCAGGAAGTGAGAGAGTGTCGAAGAGTGGATCTGAAGGGGCCCGGATGAAAGAGGCTCAAAGTATAAACAAGTCTTTGTCCTCTTTGGGTGATGTGATCCACTCGCTCAAGAACAAGAGTTCTCATGTACCCTACAGGAATTCAAAGCTGACGTATCTTCTTCAAGAATCTCTGGGTAAGTCACCTTTAATCCGCTATTGGGCGACAAGCTCGTATTCGTCTGATATTTCGGAGATTTGTCTTGAGACCTTGTTTTACTGCTTCACGACCGATGTTTTTTTTTCGCGTGGTCACGAGACACGCTCAACCTCGTCTTAGGGAACATAGCATTCAGACGTCGAGCATGCGCAAGGAGATCAATTTTGGTCGGTCGTGCGCCAATTTTTGCGTATTGTTTGTAAGGAAACATAAGTAACAACAAAATATGCTGAAAAAAATTGAAACTTTCATAGAAATCTCAGGAAACAAAGAAGTGGAATAAGGGAAACTTGAGATTTAATGAACGCATAACTTATTTCGGGTGTCAAGTTGATTTAAAATGTCAGCTTAAGAAACCAATTGGACTAGTTAAGGAGCCAGAACCTGCTTCTCTATCCTTTTAATTTTTATTTTAAAATATGGCTTCGGGCCCGCGAAGTTGCCGGCTCTTTCGAGAAACGGGCTATTGAGGCGGGTGGAAGAGAGAATCTGGAAACGAGTTTGCCAATGCTTTCGTGCTCCCTAAGAGCGCATGTTGTTTGACGAAAGCGACCACGGAGAAGATTAAAGGCTGTGTTCTGCTGTTGATCAGCCAACACTTATCGCTTAAATCATTTGGTTTGCAGGAGGAGATTCCAAAACTTTGATGGTGGTTCAGGTTTCGCCTGTGGAAAAGAATGTGGGTGAAACAGTCTGCAGTTTGAATTTTGCCCGGCGTGTCAGAACAGTGGAGCTTGGCCAAGCCACGAAACGAACCGTGAAAAGTTGATGATCGGACCCAAAACATTTTCTTACGAAAAAGTGTCTCTCGATTTACCGGCCTGTTATCACTAGAAGAAATTTTTGCAATGTAGTTCTTTAGCTTGCCGTCTACAAAAGATCGTAGAGGTCTTGAATTATTCGTTACATAGGACTTAAGTAACTCATAGCACAGATTTCTTCAACAATGTTACCGGTGCAACTAAAAGTCTTTCCTGGTGTGAATATTTTCATAAATAGTGCATTTTAAATATCAATGTTTGATAACTCCAACACTCGTCTCCCGGGCAGTCTCGTTATGAGTGTTACACAACACAACCTTGCAAGTTGCGTTACAAGTCAAAGCGGCGGCTGTGACAAAGACTACTTATTTGTTGAATCGGGGTTAACTGCTTTGTTTTTCGTTTACTCGAAAAAGCATTTTGTGCCGTCACTTTTTACAGTTCTTTGAACTTAATAAATTTTTCTCTCCTCTACTGAGACAGAAATTGACCTGAGAAAAAGTACACTGTAAATCTAATGTGTGCAGTTGAACAGAAACTAATTCAAGGGTAATTCCATCTTTAACGTATTTTGAGCTGTTGAAATAGAAATGATTAATAACTTTGTACATTTGGAAACATTTTCTATAAGGTATTAAGCAAATGTAGATGTACTTGATTTTAGAGAAATTGTTGATCCCTATGCGAATTTTGCAATTTTGTGAATTTTTCATAAAGCGCTGCTTTGTACATTTGAAAGCTTTTTTCTATACAAAGAACAAAAAATATTTTGACACGATGAATTCTCGAATTTGTACGGATATTTTTACTCATGGCTAGGTAATTTCTAACGTTTTGTGATGAATTCAGCACGTCCGTTTGTAAATGTTTTGAATTATTCGACAGTGTGTCAACTATTTATTAAGTCTTGCACGTTGCAATAAAGGTATGACAAATTTTGCTCGTCCTCTCCTTATTGTGTGGATACCCTTACGTTCTGCTGTCTAGCAGCATTTTTCGCGATGGAAAAGGTGCAGTTTGCTCATCAAAACCTGTTGCTGTTCTTATGCTACTCTGTTTATCCCTAGAGCGCTCGTATCTAAACAGTTTAAAAAGTTGTATTTGCTGTTACCGGTTTCGAAGCCAGAAGAGCACTACTAGTTATCTCTTTGTCATCCCTTTCCGGAAGTATCGTCCGAAAATGTACCTGTCACTGTATTTCTGTGGTAGGTTTAAGTAAGTTGAACTTCAAGAATTTTTGCCGAGTTCGTTTCTCACCTTTTTTGGTTTAGACAGAACCACAGAAAGTTTAATGGATAAAGGGGGTAAGTTTCTAAAGAAACTGTGGTGCTGCGGCGGTGGGAGGGTATACCAGGGTAATTTGGTGTTATCAACAAAGTTGATAACGTAAATTGGCCACTGTAAAGAGTTTCGGGCGTTAGCCCCTCGTCAACGTCAGCTTTGAAACTCTTTACGGTGGCCAATTTACGTTATCAACTCAGTTGATAAAGCCAAGTTACTCAAATTACATAGAAAGTTTAACCCGCTTAAGTCGTCAAGAATGACTCCAGCAAGCCGAGATATCAAAAGGAAGTAATCATAAAGTAGCCAACTTTATAAACTGTGTTGTTCCATACTCGGTGTTCCGAGCAGATAGATTGTCTTTTAAGACAAAAATGCCGGGATCAATTGTAAATAAAGACCAAAACTATCAAGAGACATTTTAGCACGGTTGAGTTCACTTACTAAGGAGTCAAATAATTTAATTTTTAGAGGAAATGGACAAAAACAAAACGAAAACAAAAACAAGAAAAGGAAAGAGGAAGAAAAAAATTACAAGCGCTGTCGTAGTTAAAAGCCTGAGCCAGCAGACTCTATTGCCAGCAACAGGACACAAAATCATATGCGTTTGAGCAGTCCCCAGATCCATGGCAACAACTCCCGCTCAAACTTCAGAAAATGGCTGGTCTGTGTTTTTGTAAGTTTTGAGCGATTACGATTTGCCAAAACCGAAAAAGAATGCGGAATCTACAAATGTAATACCATACTAAAGAAGAAAAAAGTAATTCGCTGCACGGAAAATCTATCGCCATGCCTCAGGGAAAACTTCGTGGAGGGTTGCGCGGCGAGGTACAATCTACCGTAAGAGAGAACTACGGTAGTAAAGCTGTGACTTCTAACTTTAAAAGCCGAGTCGTTCATCCGAGAAATCCCAAACTTGTGAAGGGAAGCCCTGAAGATGATAAGGTAAAACTTCAGAAGAAAAATTTACCTGGTTTATTATTGCTTTGGCCAAGTAATTTTTCCGAATCGTACTACACTATGTGTAAAACAACCAGACAAGTGTATCTCTGTGCTGAGAGTTGATCGCAATCCATCAGCAAGCTTTTAGTACGTTGTAAATAGAGTTTTGAAAATTGCAATAAGTGTGATTTCAATTTTAGGATCTATGCATCTCTGTAGCGTTAACTAGCCGGATGAATCTGTTTGCAAGGCAAGCGAACAGCAAACATGTTCTACTGTCTGCAAAAGTCAGCTGAGTAGACTATACTGAGTTTCGAAATTTGTAATGCTCATATTATGAAAGATTATGGTAAAATTGATTTCCTTTTGCTAAGAATCAAGTATTTTCCTCATTTTTTCTAGATCAAGAAGGTACAACGCTAAAGAGACGCAAAAAATGTACACCAAACTAGATCTACAGTATACAGTCGCAAAAATTCCTTCTTTGGGGATAGCAATACTGATCACAATTATGATTTTTTTTCATATACTCAGCAAGCTCCTTCTGCTTACATGGCTGAGATGCAGCTCACCACAGATGAAAGATTTAAGCTCACATATGAGATGAGGGTGCCTCAAATTATTGAGTTACTAGACATGTCAGAACAGACTCTTCAGAAGGTAGATGGTTGCTTACTCTTTGACTTTGCTTTTGACAACTGTACTGTACTGTACGAAGTTATCATCCATCAAAGTTGGTTTCCTTCACAGAAAACAAAAATAGTAACTGATTAATTGATTAATTAATGGTTTATTGTGATCAATGCTGGACTTGCATTGTCTCTGATGTTAAACTCTATCATGTTGTTGAATTGTCAGTCTCTACCACCAACAACAGTCCCTTTCAGGACTACCCCAACCTGGATGAACACAAAATTAACCATCACTCCTAAAATCAAATCATTTACCACAATTTAAATAAGATGACTGAATTCATCAAATATTAGAATAATGAAGACGAAAACACCAAGTATGATCTTGTTTTTTTTCTTTTTAATAATTTTACCCCTGTAAGATAAAATGTGGTCAACAATTCTTGTGCATTTTTACAAAAATTTTGTGGTCTCCTATATATATTTTTGCTAGTATGGAAGGACTTGAAGTAATTGATTATTTGCTTCTGTCTACAGTTGTAATGACAGGGCACAGAATTCATCAAGCTTTCTTCAAAAACTGTTATTTTTTCTCCGTAGTTCACTACTATGGATATTGAAGAGCCTCTGTTTCAGCCGTTTCCTTCAGATATTGTGTTCCAAAATTTCAACCCATTTGAGACATATCAGGTTCCATTGCAGTTGAGGAACAATGATAAGGTGAAGAAGATTCCTAAGAAAATCAGAGAAAAACCTCTTACTAAATAGACTCGTGATGTAAGATGTAACAGAAGAGGAAACATTTTGACAGACAATAGATCACCACAGCTACAAACACATGAAAAGTAGTTGTAAAAGTAAAGTTTTAAGAAAAAGGATGGGTTTTGATGGTCTTCAATTCTTTAGGGGTGTTGTTGCTCTGCAATACCACTGCAGAGATATAACCAACAGAATAATCAATCCACCTGAGGTCATGTTACTCTTCATTTTAATTAATACTCAGAGACAGAGAGAAAGAACTGATAACCTGTATAGCTTCCTCTTAAGGAAAAGTAGGAATACTCCATGAAAATCTACAATAAGGACATTGGATGAAGTAGGTTTGGGCTGATTTGGAGCTGTGCAGGGCTAACTTTTTTGTTGAGTGTGGTGACTCAACCTTGGGGAAGATCAAGTTTACACAGAGTTTAAATTGGTTGGGATTGGATTTTATGTCTGCTGTATAATGTAATGTCTATTTAAGTAAGTGTTGATTGAACTGAACAGAATATGATATCAGGGACAGTGACAAATATTGTGGTGTATTTTTTTAAACTTTGTAGGTTGCTCGTCTTGTTAAAGTGACCCAAACAGATTCTCCATACTTCAAGATCATCAGCCCTCATGATGTGGGACACAAAGTAGCTCCTGGAATGGATACTGTCTTCATCATTCAATTCACCCCTGATGAGAAAAAGGTATTAGGTGGAGTAGTGTGTTCATTTGATAGCTTTGTGAATTGAAAGACATTATACTCAACTCTAGGTTTGGCCTTATTCTTTCAACAGGACTATACCCATGAGCTTATTTGCATCACTGAAAGGGAGAAATTCTTGGTGCCAGTAAAAGCAATTGGGGCAAGAGCCATCCTTGACTTTCCAGATGAGATCAGCTTTGGAACTTGTCCTGTAAAGGTATATGCTTGAAGCATTTTGATTGTTGTTTCTTAATTTACTATTTATCAGACTGACAACAAGCAACTGTACATTTGGGTGTTGCATGAATGTACTTGATGCTGTTGCCCATTGCTGTTGGGGTATTGAATAATGAAATCCACAAGTTGCTTAGATGGCTAATGACTGCTGCTTGAAAATTCAAAATTGAGATAAAACAATTTTAGTGGCATGTTCATTATAACCAACTTTGTGGACGCAAATGTGTGCTGTATTGGTGATACTCTGATACTCATTACAAAGAAAGTTTACAAGAACATCTAAATTTCTTGGTACCACTTATCATGTTATTGTTGTATCTTCTCAGTATGCCACCACAAGGACTCTCCTTGTACGAAACATTGGCAACAGCGATGCAAAGTTTCAGCTGTTAGTACAGGAGCCATTCTTTGTTACACCTGACAGTGGTCGGCTGGCTATCGGGGACAGCATGCAGATTCATGTAGATTTCAAGGCCTTGCAGACAGGAGACCATGGTAGTCATATGATTCTTCAATATGAAACAGGTAAATTCAATTTGTAAAAATATTTAAAATTTCTATTGTCATAAGGATAATTGTCAAGTTTACTGCAACATGTTATTAGAGTCTGACATGAATTTCTTTTGTTAAAATTTGATACAGGAGAAGAAATCTATATCAGTTTGTATGGAGCTGCAATTGATTACAATATCCGACTGGATAAAAGTACAGTCAAAATGGAAAACGCTTTCATATCATGTGCCTCACAAAGGTGGGTTACGTTATACTTGAGATGACTGACTAGTATATAATAATGTATTTCTATTCATTCAGTTTCTATTCTTTGCTACTTCCATTTGAAAAAATGGTTAGTAACTTATTCTATGTAATCATTCTGTAAACTTTAGACTCTAAGATCAGTAATCATATTCTCCATACGTTTCTCTATACATTTCCTATTACATTTCCTCCAAGGAGACTTTGTTGAACAATCAAGGGTTTCTTTAGTTGGTGATCATTTCCTTTATTCTTGTGACCCTAATGTTTGATTCAGGAGTGGTATTGTGAGGAGAAATTAGATGCTGGTCACTATTAGAGGTCAAAGGGTTAAAGTTATCTGTCTGTTTCTTCTCTACTCAGGTCTTGTTCTCTCCAGGCTTCCTGTAGATTTGAAAAAATAAAACCTTTTTTTTGTCTTTTATGCCAAATTGATTAAGTAGCTTCATGATCAGTGATGCACAATTGAAATATCTACTGGTACTGACCTAATACCATCTTCTCAATCTCTAGGACAGTCACTCTCTCCAACAGAAGTGATATTATTGTCCAGTTCAAGTGGACAAACTTTGCAACATTAAGGGAAGAAATGCAACATAAGGATAGGTAGGCTTTGAATTTCTCTCTGTAAGATTTACTTTCTGTGCAGTATTGAAGGGACTTTGATCTTTTTATGCTCATCCTAACCCTAAGCATCTACATGTACTTTTAGATAGAAGACTATAAAAGATGATTATGAATGGTGTGATTTTTGAAGCAAAGCTCTACAAATACTGAGCTAAGAGAAACTCTTTGGAAAAAGAAGGCACCAAATGAATATACTTGGTGCATGAAAATACCACTAGGAACTGTGTAAGTCAATCCTGACAGAAACACAGCTCCAAACAGGAATGTGTCATAGCTGATAAACACTAGAATGCCAAAACATTTTCAACCCTCTCAGAGCCAGCTACTATAAGCAAACTTCCTCTTTGTCAGTAAATATAGTTAAGTCAAATTGCACTTATTTCTATCAAAAAACATAATAATTAACTGTTAGGAATATTTGGCTGGACTGTTAATACTTATATTCCCGAGATCTCAATAGCAATTCTCCTTACTGTCTGCCATTCAATTCTTATGATTTTGTGAATTTGGTATTGAGTCAACCAATAATCCTTCAATTGATCGTTTTCTTTATTCTCATCACTTTTCGGCTTGTAAGAAGAAATTCTGTCTTGGTCACTCATGGGAGTTAAAGGGTCTGGGTGAACTGCTCTCAATGTTTGTTTTGTAGGTTTTACATGGACCTTGAGAGTGAGGAAAATGTGGAAAAGGATGAGTTCTTTGAAGAATGCCTCAGTGATCCTACTCTTCGAGATCAAATGTCTATCTTGACAAGAAAATTCAAAAACAAGATGCAGGTAATATGGAACAGGTCACAGAAACAACTAATAACTATTGATCACTTTTATGGGCAAGACTTAAGTTATGCTTGAAGGCTTTAGTTTCTTCTCAAGTTTCTTATTCTGTTATTTTTCCTTTTAAAATGTGACAGGCAATTGCTGATGACAAACTACTTTACGGAGACTCAATTGTCACTATTGACCCAGTGGTAAGGAATGCTATAGCCATTCATTATATAAGACCAGCTGCATATGTGGGATAAAGTGCTACCATAAAAGCACAGAAAATTACTCAATTGTTGATCATATACACCATCATGCTCTCAACATTGCTAAGTTAAACAATTTAGTTTTTTGAGCCAGGACCTTTTTTAAGATCAGGAAAAAATGTTTTGTACAAATCAATGTCTTTGATAATTTGTTTTATAGGAAGGAGAGATCTGGCCCAATTCTCAAGCAGAAATCAGCATTATCTTCAAACCTCAAGAGGCCTGCAAGTAAGAGTGTGAAAATAATGCTTGGAACTACAAATAAGACATCTTGTTTTATTTATATGAACATCTTGCAAATATTCAAAGGTCAGGGGTTTATGTACATGCTTTTTATAAAAATGAGTGGCTAACTCATTGTGGGTGCTTTCTGTAAGCTGTATACTGCTCCCTTGAAACTTGAATATCCAAATCTTTGGGGTCCATGGTTAAAATAATTTTTTGTCACTGCATAGAGCAGTTATGAATACGGTGATTACTTTTTTTAATTAGTAGTTAGCATATTGAGTTGACCTCTAAGTGTAGAGGATCATCAATTGACATTGACTGACAAGAGCTAGTATTTTGTATCAAGTTTTATCTCAGTTGTTGTCAGTACTATACTTAGTATTTGTACTGAGAGCCTTAAATTGACAGTGTGGTTTTTTTTTGTAGCTATGCCAGAACTATATACTGTGATGTTACAGGCAGAGAATCAAGGTTGCCTTTAAGAATTAGAGGTGATGGAATAGGCCCTCAAGTGCACTTCTCTTTGGATACACTAGACATTGGCAGTGTATTCATTAATTCTCAGCATTCTTATGAGGTAAAGAGATACACTTTTTGAAAGTATTTTAAACTCCCATGAGTGACCAAGACAGAATTTCTCCTTATGATATCAATACAATATTAACCAAACAAGTATTATGAAAATAAAGAATATTATCAATTGAGGGATTATTGGTTGATCTAATAACAAATTCTCTGAAATAACGTTATAAGAATTGTATGGCATACAGTGAGGAGATTGCTAATGAGATCTTGGGAGTGATAGGACTAATTTGTGTTTATAAGAGGAATATAATTTGATGTTTTTCTTATCCACTGCAGGTTATTTTGTGTAACATGGGGGATATTGATGCTGTATTTAAACTCCTTCCTTCCAACACCCAATTTGGTCCACAGTTTTCATTCCTTCCTGCCCAAGGAATTGTCATTCCTGGAGGATACCAGGCCATTCAGGTAAGAGATCTTGTATAACTCCTTCACAAAGAATACACTCAGTTAAAGGTGATTCCTCAGAAAAAGAGTTATCAAACAATTTTTTTTAAAACTTTCCTTAGATGTTTCCTACCAATGTCTGTTTTGAAAAATACAATTTGAAAGATAGGTCACCCACTTAGGTTTAAGATATGATGAGCCAAACTCACCCCACCTATGCCTGCTCTGGCACTAAACATGCACACCATTTGATCAGATCACAGTAAATTTTGAGGAAGCTGGAAGTAAGGGTGTATAAAGACACATTAAAAAAATTTGATGGTAGAAAATTTCAAGCGTATGGAGCAATTTGATAATTCTATAATTTGTGAGAGTTGTTATTGTTAAGATCATAATTTGCATTATCATGTAACAGGCTTTGTGCACGCTTTTAGCCATATCTTTTTTCCCTCTGAATTTTTTTAAATTTCTCCAGTTTAAAGGGAATCATTTGCACAACAAAATTATGCAATAAAAGATATAGGTCACTATGGTCATTCACGAGCCAAAGACTATTGTACCTCTTTACCTGGTCCATTTATTAAAAGACCATACTGTATTCTTGGAATGCGCACACGCTTATTCACCTATTATGCGATTTTTATGTGCAGTACATGATGTGCAGTGCAATACTGAGGAATCATCTTAAGACTGTGTATAAAGTCTTTAGCTGTCAAAGTCTTTCTATTGATTTAAAAGCATTGTGAGTCATATTACTGTTCATTCTTTTATTTACTAGAGGGATCAATGAAGGCACTGTATGCTAGAGTTAAATGTCTCATCTATGAACACAACAAACTAATTCCTGCACCTGAGAGCCACTTATGACCAAGAAGTTTTGGTCAAGAGACAGTTGTCTTGACAATTTGCTTCTCCTTCCCCCCCCCCCTTTATTTCTCCGTAAAAAGTTATTTGATTCTTGCCAATATAAAGATGTTATTTGTTAAGCCAAAAACATGTTTCTTAATTTACTTAGATTCACTTCTGCTCACCCATACTTGGTGATGTCAACGAAGTGTTTGAATTTGCTGTGGAAGGGTCGCCTGAGAAACTCGAATTAAAGATCTTGTAAGTCACTGGGATATTTTTGTGTCTGTTCCTTGGTCTTAGTGTCTCACTAAGTGATTGACTGGATATTTCGTGTTTGCTCTCTTGTTAGGGGATCAGTGATTGGCCCCACTTTCCATTTTAATATACCAAAACTGAAATTTGGAGTAGTTTCATATGGTAAGTTGAGAGGAATTAACATTGGTTCTTTACTCTTGTTGTTTGTTGTTGATATTGTTTCTTTTTTGTTCCAATGTTCACCAGACAGGCACTTAAATGATCGAGAAACATGATCAGGAGCTAATTATAACTTTTTTTTTGATGTTCTTGTCATCCTTTTCTTGTAGGTTTTGTGAACACTCGTGAGTGTACACTGGTCAATACTTCACTCATACCCATGGCATTCAATGTACGTGTTCCCGCTGATGGTTTGATAAATGAGGAAACACGAAGCCGGGATAGTTTGATTGATAGTAACATTAGTGACACTGGTAGCACCATAATGCCATCTCCAAAGGAGTTTGATATTACACCGTCTCGTGGCACTATTTCTCCTCAGGGAGAGCTTGATATTAAGGTGATTAGAATATTATAATATTGTAGAGGCATTTTCTGTAATGTCCTCTTTGATGTTGTTGTCTGGATGGGGCTGTTTGTTCCAGGCACTCTGTTTTTTTTGGCCATAAGTAAAAAGCAGGGTTAGGAAGGAAAGAATGAAAGGCTTCTTTGTTTGCCTGCATGATTTAATTTTCTCACTTTAATCTCCCCATGATTAAGGAAATTGAAGTGTCTCTAATTACTCTGAGCAGCATATGTTAGTTTGTGGCCTTTCCCTACATCTAGGCAGTTTGGAAAGCTGCAAAACTCTAGAACAAAAATTTATCTTTCAAATTGGCACTCTTAATCCCCACAGTATCAACAAGCGCTTTTCATTCAACTAATTTATTCTTTTCACCATATTCCTACCAGAATTGTAGCCACACTGCCTGCATATAAACACGCACACAACCCACAATTCCTCCATTTGCTCCAAAGAAGGGTTAACACTCCAAACATCAGCTTTGAAACTCTTTACAGTGGCCAATTTACCCTATCAGCTCAGTTGATAATACTAAATGAATTTTGTCAGTGGCATGAATTTGTAACACAGTTTATAACTTACAAGAAAAAAGAGATTCTTGGATACATAGAATAAGTTTTGGTACATGAACAGGGTAGAGAAACAGCAGTCCATTATGAGGTTTGAACCCTTGACAGCCTGTCCATCATTTGGATGCAATATTTGGAAACCAATTTTCATCCTAATTTCACAGGTGGACTTTGTGTCAACCTCTGTCAAAAAGTATGAAATTGCTTTGGTAGTTGATGTGGATGGAGTTGGAGAGGAGATTCTGTCACTTCCAATAATAGCCAAGTATGACCATTTTATATTTGTTGTAATGTTTTTTCCCTTTAAAGGTTAGGTACACTATTTTTCATCAGGTATTTCTGTCTTTGAACACTGGCCTACTAAGTTTTCAAAAGGAAAGACTACAGATACCACATGGTTGTCTCTATGCTCCTCCATGATGACAGCCCAAAACATTTCAAAAAACACAAGTTTATTCTATTAAACATAAAATTACATCTTTTAATCAAATTGAAGCACTGAGGTGAAATCATTCCTCTTTGGGAAACCTTCATGCATGTGGAATGAAATTCTTAGACTTAAACTCTGATCACAGATGAAGATTTCTTAAATCCTGTCGCACTTTTTAATAAGGAAATATTGATGACTGCTCTTTGTGTTGACAGATGCGTGGTCCCACCCATTACTGTCTCTACACCACTCTTGGATTATGGTCGTTGTTTTCTCCATCACCCCTATGAGCTTCTTGTCAATCTGGTGAACGAGTCTGATCTGCCTGCCAAATATGAATTGTTGTCACAGGTATTTACTTTTATACATGTAAATTTTCTCATGGGTACATTCAACATAGAAGTTTTCTAGTGTTGTTTTTGTTGAGATTTTTTGACATGTTGGATTGATTTTCTTCGTTATAATAACAGGTTGTGGAAGATGTGACACCAATCCTGTATACAAGTCCTGAACCAAAGGTTAGAGTTTAAGAAACGGCAAAAAATGGTTTCCGGCAGAAATTTCAATCACGAGCAGCAATCATTAGTTTCTGCAAAATACAGATACTAGCCAATCTAGAAATTTTATGTGCGATGTGATAATACTTGCAACCTCTGATGCAATAAAGCTGGACTGAACTTACACATCAGATAGAAAAGAACAAGAGATGTTACAATGTAGATTTATCTTCTTTTCCTGATCGTTTCTAGTGTAACTGTTGGCTGCTGGTTGTAAGTTAACCAATTAAAGTATCATTGAATTTCTTGTTCAAAAGATGGGCTTGGTGGATAGGTCTACTAGTGTTTCCACAATTATTGTTTGTGTTTTATGGTTTCAGGGAATTATCCAGCCTCATTCTGTGAAAGAAGTTCCTCTTCATATTACAGCAGAGTGCCTGGAGGAAGTTACCACTGTGGCTTACTTCATGATATTTGGGAGCAGTGAGGCTCCACTGGTAAGGATGACACTGTAAAGATTACTAGTGGATGTAATTTTTTAGACACGTGTAACCTACAATGGTAGCTAAGAAAGGCTAGAGCATTAGTGGAAGCGTCTCTAGTGCTTTATAAACTTTCCAAGTGCTTCGTATCTCGATGAACGCACGGCTGTCACATGAAGTAATTGCTTTAAAGCACTTTCAAAGAAATAGTCTAAATGATTCATTTAGAGACGTTCGAGCAGGTGGGCTTTAATGCTATATACAAGTCGTCAGCGTGCACAAAAGGAATATAAAGCACACTCAAGCTTTGAATTGGATGATACAAATTAACTAAACATTTATTTTAAAGGGGGTAAGTTTTAAAGAAAACTGTGGTACTGCGTCGGTGGGGTGTTATAAGATAGTTTGGGTTAAAAAACTGAGTTGACAATGTCAGAGCTCTGACGAAGGGCTGACGCTCGAAACGTCAGCTTTAGAAACTACTTACGGTGGCCTAGTTACATCATCAACTTACTTGATAGAATCAAATGATCTAATTATTTTGCAATTCTACTTATGTTCCAGGGAGTTCAGATCCAGTGTGTGGGTGAGGGACCAGTCATACATGTTGTTCCAGCTCATGTTGATTATGGGACCATCCCAGTTTTAACAGACATCTCCAAGATTGTTCAGCTTTCCAATGAGTCCCTGATTCCAGCGCAGTTTTCTTGCAGTATGGTAAGTATTGTACATGTTCATCCTCAAATGTCTTTGAAGCAGTTGAAGTTAACATTTTCTTTTCATTTCCTTGATTTTTAGGTTCGTCCCAATTCGCTGTTTTCTGTTGAGCCAGCCCAGGGTGTTATTCCACCTGAAAATACTCTGCAACTTAAAGTCACCGCAAATGTTGATGATACAGTCAAGTAAGAATTCTACCTTGTTATGTTAGAGTGCATTTCGATTGATTGTCGTGAAACAAAATCAAAGTAATTACAACAACCAATCGTAAGGATGGAGAGTACCCGATAGAGCCAATCATAAGAAAGGAGAGTACCCAATAGAGCCAATCATAAGAAAGGAGAGTACCCAATAGAGCCAATCATAAGAAAGGAGAGTACCCGATGGAGCCAATCATAAGAAAGGAGAGTACCCGATAGAGCCAATCATAAGGAAGGAGAGTACCCGATAAAGCCAATGAGAACTCAAAGTGTAAACAAGCAAACCGCTTAAAGCGCGGGAAAACGCGAATGACAGAGTCGCGATTGTTTTGATTTTTTCATTTGATTGGTTGAGAGAGCAGCGGGAGTTTTCTGGACCAATCACAAAGCAAAGAAAAGTAAAACTAGTACAATCCGGGATAAGTAAAATTACTCTTAGAAATGTACTCCTTTGGTTAGGACCTCAAATTCTTCATACTTGTGACTTATCTGTGTTGTCGTCTTTTCCATGCGTGTTGCAAAACCAAAATCAAAACCAAAGTAATCATAACTGCCTATCAGAGCATAACACAAAATAACAATGGGTTATTAATAAGAACTCAAAAATGAAGAAACGTAAATTATTCAAAGCACTTATGCCTATTAGATGCGTGAAGTGGTTTACAGTGAAGTAAAACTGAAGCAATCTCTGATTACTTTACTATAGTTTAGTCGCTATAACAAGAGTTGCTTTGAAGCTATCACTGGCTGTTGTCTTTCCACTAATGGATCATCCATTCCCACGAATATTTTTGTCAGGTTTCAGGACAAATTGTCAATCAACATTAGTGACAGTCAGAACCAAACAGTCAGCCTCATGGCCTACGGCTCTGGCACAACCATCGTCAGTGATCCTCCCCTAGCTCCAGCCGTTAAACTTGGTCCACAGTTCAGTTGCCAGCCTGTCAAGAGATGGTTCCAACTGACAAACAGCGGAAGGAGGCCTCAACAGATTTATTGGACCACTGAAGGTTTCCTCCCGTACAGGACTAAGAAGAAGCCTGAGTACAATCCGGAAGACATGAGATACCAGGTAATAAGCTAGAAAGGTTTTAAGCTGCGAGCTAAATGGAGAATATTGAATACAAATTCCTTTACAGTGACACATTCACCCTGATATCACTAGAAATCAAGTTCTAATTACTCAGATTGTGTCAGAGAAAGTGTAAAAACCCGTAGCGAGTGGGAGAACCAACGACCAAAAATTCATTGTTGTAGAAGTACTCATAAGTAGATAGCTTGGTTTCATCGCACATTACAGAAAACCGGAAGTTAATGTATGAAGACAAGCCACTTGTGCCAGGAAATTAATGAATTATGTGCCACTGGAGTTATTGTAGCATATGGTTATACTCATCAAATTGCTAATACAACGGTTCATGTTGGTTTAACAGGGCCAACCACCACCTGTTGATCCGCCTAAGCCTGTGTTTCAGTTAACACCCGACAGATTGGTACTACATCCTGGAGTTTTTAGATCATCATGCCAAAAAGGCATGTAAAACTGGAAGGATATTGCCATGAACTTGATGCCCTCCCAGGTCTTCCCCATCTCCTTTATTTCCTTCTCAACTGTCCGTCGCCAATCTTGGGGCGACCCTGCTTGCGTTTCCCTTCTGGCGTCCAATGCATTTTTGCAATGGAAAGCTACATAACCGATCTGCTATGGAATTTTTATAGTAACATGTTTTTTAGGAGGCAGATGCTACTTGCCATTTTGGACGTTATGAAAAATTTGCTTCTTCTCTCATTCATCGCATTTATTTGTCGGTAGTTCATTTTTACAGAGACAAGTATTGTTTTGGTCATAGATTATGTAGCTAGATCTCTGTGCTCATCCTGAAAATGGGTTTGTACATGATAATGGAAACGTTATGGCAACAAGCTCTTTATTTTTGTATTTTTTTAGTCCACAAATTGTAAAGGAGCGCATGTTCTGTCATGCTATCATTGGCACTAGTACTGGTAAGGAACGTATCATGAGGGTGGATATTAGTGCAGAGTTTATCAGCCCACTGCTGTCTTTTTCTCAAAGGGAGATAAATTTCTGTGTCATGAAGGTAAGCCAGTTGAACTTAAAACAGAATTGTTACCATTCCATGGGAAGGATTGTTTGCTTTTGTGTTCTTGATGTTTTTGTGTTCTGTAACAATTATCGCCCATGTTTTAAGTGGTAGATAGGTGCATAAATGCCCGCGCGGATGAATTGCAAACCTAGACCTGAGGAGAAACTGAACGTTGCAAACTCACCCAACAACGAGGCCGCCTCCACATAGAGCCATCAAAGGAACTATTATGCCTTGGAAAGTTATTCTCACCAAACAAAAATAGCAGAATTTCAAAACTTCTTGTTTTTAGCGGAGTGAATTCGCTCTCAGCTCTCTCTGCTAAATGTTGATGAAGGTAATTTTTGTTATATGGATTACATTTTAACATAGAAATTACTATTTCATTATTTGTTTCTTTTTTCTTTTTTTACCTGCAGCACCCTGAGAGCACTTTGGAAGTAGAGACCAAGCAAGTCATGATGCACAACGTGTCATCCCTCCCGCTCACAGTCGTGTTACAAGCTTCCTATCCCTTTCAGTTGCTTGTGGAGGATCCACGTTGGGCACCTGTTAATGTTAAATCATCTCAATCGGTGAGACAACGTGCATTTATAAGAGAACATTTTTTTCAGTATTTACTTTTATAAAATACATTTTGAATGATAAAGTAGTGTGCAGCACGGTACCAACTCAAACTTTAAAAAACTTGCCCTAGCCTCCCCTGCGTTTCGTGTGACGGTAACGGAGTTTATCGGAGAGTTTTCAAGGTTGCTTTCAATGAGGAACAATCAGGATGTATTCGCAAGGCATGAATAAGGAGTTGTACGTGAGTGGCAAAGGGATTACATGTACTAAATCGTGACACATCTGAGGCTCACAGATTTGAGCTCTGTTGTATTTAGCTTTGGCTTTTGTGTAGCATCGGAAGACATGCAGGTTAATGCCATTTACAAACGTTTGGGTAATTATTTCCGAAGTTATTGTTTTCCATTTTCAGGAAGTGTCACTGGGCGTTGGTGAGAATATACCCGTGCTGATTCAGTTCGATCCTTCTTACAAGGATGACTTTGTGACCAGAACCGCTGAGAGTCAATTAGAGGTGTCATTCAAAGAACATCCACAAAAGGTGAAGAGCTTTGTGTCCAATGATTGGGTCTTTACTCCTGTAACACCTTTATTTTTATAACGGAATGCTTTACAAGTGACAAATAGTGAATTACGCAAGGCTTCACTCTCACATCTAAGGTGGTTTAAGACTAGCCATTGATCTTTCAGTTTGATCATGAGGGTGACAGTAGTCTTGAAAAGGACTTTTGACGGTCGTATTAACTGAAGTTTCACCTTCACCCGTGCGATCTAACAACACGATCAGCTTATCATTTAACTTGATTTCATTTACCCTTTCACTCTAACAAACTTACCTTAACAACAGAACTCAATGCTATAGCGAAGTATTAAAAAGCACACCCAATGCTCTTTCGAAGGGCGTATCCTCAACAAGGCAGTATTGGATTTTTGCTGTTGTGGTTTATTTATCTCTCGATAATCAACAAAGTATGAACAAATTTCAGGAGTTTCAGTAAAAGCCGGAGACCAGCGGTCTTCTGCCACCTGTAAAAACCTTGAGCCTGCGAGGGGTAGGCTCTCGTCTTTTGGTTTTTGCCTTACGGCACAGCTGCCCATTACACTATTGGCAGCCGCTTATGGAAAAATTTATCGAAACCCCCGAAATTTAGCTATGGGCTTTTTTCAGAAGCTTACAACGTTTGCGTGTGGCTTTGTGTATTTCGTAAAAAAGGCTGTGGTTATTCATTGTGGTGAAAAACAATGGTCGGATTCTATTTGTTGCTTATTATTTGATTGTTCAGTACTAATACTGTGCTACTTCTTCCAGGACTTTGTGAGTCTGAAAGGAGAAGTGTTCTTCCCTAATCTTACATTTGAGATGGAAAAGGTATGTTAATTAACCTTTTTTTGATGACAGAGGCACTTTGTTATTTTTGGGTGGCACTTATGCTCCAAATCTGTGCGTACTTCTTCTACTACCTACCATATATACTGAGCTAATGGAAACTGTTGAAACTGATTTACCTCGTAGGTTGACTTTGGCTGTATATTGAATGACACAGAAGTGACCCAAGTAGTGAAAGTCACTAATCACAGTCCAATGGATGTCAAGTATCAGTGGAGCTTTGTTGATTCAGCTATTCAGTTTGAAAACAAAGAGGAAGATGAAGGTATGTGAGGCTCGATGAAAATTTCCCAACGTCTCGATCAGAATTTAGATTATGACACAAGTGCTATGCAACTCGTAAAGATTTCCTGGCGCACTTTATGTTAGCATGCGTTGCAGGCCTTTCGTTCTCCTCTTATTCTCGCGGGAAAAGCGTGAGCGGAGCGCTGGGATGCGAGGGCATGGAGAGAAAGCGAGCTGAAAAGAGCGGACGAGAGGATCCTCCTGCGACTCTTGTTTAGTAAAGGGATAACGGAGGAGAAAGCTTCATGAGCCATATTTTAAAATATAGAGTAAGAAATATAATTTCAGCTTCTAAATGCCTACTTTTTAGGAATTGTAGTCGAGGTTGATGATGACAGCCAAGAGGATAGTGAAGAAAAACCGGAAGATGTTGACAACGTGATGATCGAAGTAACAGGTGATCATACCCCCGAGTCACCTCGGCTTGTAGACTTCACAGGATCACCAGTAATGAGCAGACCTTCTACTGCTTCAGAACAAAGGCCACAGGATGCAAGCCCAGCCAATCAGCTGGCAGTGCCGTGGAGACAGACTGAACTGCTTGATATTGGAATTGAAGAGGTTGGTTTTCTAATATCTGCCACTTTTCTGATCGAATAAAGTGAACACAGAGGGATATTCTTGCGGGCAAAACCCTTAGTTAAAAATTGAAAGGTGTTTTAGATTACATTGTTTCTTGTTTTATTCTCTGTCAGATTTTTGACATCTTACCACTGTATAGCACCCTTCATCCGCATGAGACGCAGAAAATACAGTTCACCTTTTATGGTCATGCCAACATTAGTTCTCAGGCTGTTGCCCGCTGTACTGTGTACGGAGGACCTGAATACGACATTGCACTTCTGGGTCAAGCGTCCCTAGTGCAGTATTTCTTCGATCGGCAGATTGTCGACTATGGAAAACAGGTACAGCAAATACATTTTGAATAATCCCATTCGTGAAAGCTGTGTTTTAAGAATTGGAATGTCAAGTTAAGGACTCTGACAGTGTAAAAACAAATTCATATATTATCGTCAGTCGAGGAAAGTTTGATTTAAAGGAATTTGAGTGAGGCAAATCTGAAACACGTATCAGTGCGAACAGACTCTCCTTCTCTCACACAACGCAACAACATTTTTTTTCTTGCATCTCTTATTATTTTTTCATTTTATGCAGTTATCTAAACTACTTTGTTTTTGTAGCTGTTTGACCAAGCAGCGGTTGCAGAGATCGTTCTCCACAATACTGGTAAAGTAGGCCTCGATTTTGTGGTCCTCAACGTGGACAGTGGAAATAAGCTCCTTCCAGGCGCCCCAAATGTTTCCCCAATTCAAGGGCATATTAAGGCCCTCAGTAACCAAACACTTACCATCAAATATCTACCTGGTGTGCCAGAGAAGTTTGAGAAGACATTTCAGGTAAAAAAAATTTACTCTTGAGGTATTCACGTATTCTTTGAAAACAGTAAAAGTACTATGTTGGGCTTCAGATTTTTCACGTGTCTTTTACTTGATGAACCCAGTGGAACAGATATTGTAGCGAATGTCAGTGACACTAGTAACTTATATGTTGGAGGGTCCATAAAATGAAAACTTTTATGAAGCGGACAACCGCGGGACTCTCGTTTGTCTCTTCTTAAATTAGTTATGATAAGTCGCGAATTAGTGAGCTTAATTTTGTTATCCGCTACTGCTTAACGTAGTTATTTGCGGGCGGTTTTTTTTTTCGTTAAGTATTGAAAAAATATTGGGACAAGGGCTACTTTCCACTTAATTTAGGGTGTTCACTTGATGTGAAGTCCGCCTAAAATGTGTTTGTTTATTCTTGAATACATAACTTGATCCTAGTTTCAAGCCGGGTTTAGAGTAAATTGTTGAACAATAGCGTGATAATGTACATGGTTACGACTATATTTCCTAATCTGTTAACCCTTTCATCCCTAAAAGTGACTGGTATCTAATTTCTCCTCGTAATATCACCCCTGAACGCCAACGAAAGAAGCTTATGATTATTAAACAAATTCTCCTTGTAAACATCTTGGGAAATGTATAGAACAGTATGGAGAATATGCACACTGATGTTAGTGACGAAGCTAACATTTCCTTTTCGTTGAACGTAATCCTTTCTACTTTTCATTTGTTTTGTTGAACAGGTTAGAGTTGCTCACTTTGAACCTAACAAAATTACCCTGTCAGGGGTGGGTGTGTTTCCCCGTGTCGTGTTTGACCTCCCCCATGACAAAGAAGACGTCAGATACGAGGAGCTGACCCAGCAAGCACGCGAGAACTTGGAACGAGAAAAGTCAAACCTATCAGAAAAGAGTGTAGATGACGTACCGTTCGGAGCTCTCGCAAATGTAAGTACAGTCAGAAAAAAATGTATCTTTATGTGCTTTTTTCTTGAGCAAAAAGGGACTTTGTTACCTGAGTATACAGGTACCCTATGGAAAAAAGACCTCCATCAGTCTCTACCTTTCTTCAACATTTTCCTATTAAATCTTTGATTACTTTTTTTAATTAACCCCGCCTTGACCATTAAACCCCATGAGGGTGACTGGCACCTTAGTTCTCCTCATCGTCACTGCTGAGTCACACCTAAAGGTCATGAAAATAAAGGAAATTATCAGGAAGCTCCTGATGGTTGAACATATTCTTCCTGTCAGAACAATAGAAAATTCATGGACAACATTATGGAGAATATGCATGTGTTGCGATGTGTTGATATGAGGAGGAAGGCTAGTCCGGCTAGTCCGGCTCGGACTAACGGTTACCGTGATCTCGGCCCTCGGAACTCGAATATTCCATTCACGAACCCTTCAGCTGAGTCACAGGGATAAAAATTGAAATATCGTACTTTTTTATCTTGATAGCCGAGTTGAAATCTCCCTTAAGAATTGTACTGAGCTCTTAGCTCCCTTTCTATAAGAAGAGATGATAAAATTCGTCTCGTTAACTAATCCAGCCTCGTTCGCTGGTCTAATACGGACAGACCCTGATTGAAAACTTTCCTCGATTAGTGTGGAATACTTATCTTCTAGAGAAAGCTTTTTGTCCGCCAATTGTTAGACGTTATAGCTGAACTGTAGGTATCATTTTTGTGATCATTCTTTCTCAGTCTGTCGGCGACATCGGAGTACAGATGGAGGTCGAACGACTGTTAGTGAAACAATTCGCTGTAGAGCAACAGGAATCAACAAGAAACGTCTCTTTTGTGCATACCTCCGGTTCCCACAGAACTGCAACAAAGAAACAACGACCCAAGTATGTTTTGTCATGAGTTGCATCACGCAGAGCATATAGAAAATGATACCCTTTCATTTCCACAACCCCTGTCCACATCAAATAAATTGCGTGTTCTTATGCGATTACTTTCATGCGTAAAATTAGTCGCTATTTCAGTAAATACTTAGAAGTTTAAAACTAGTCAGGTGTTTGTCGCGATAGAAATGAATGAACCATTAACTTAGGAGCAATTGTACTCCTCTGGATTCAATTATTCTCTTGCTAGCGATTCATTCTTGAAGTTCGCAACGATTAATTCGAAAAAGATTCCCCCATTCCCCCCCAACTCGTGCAGGATCAATACTACTAAAAGGTCTTTTAGGTTAATTTTAGCTTTCTGGAGACGGACTGCCTTAGTCGTGTGATGAAGGGTTGATATAACAACGTACTGTTATTTTTTCAGAGCTCAGCTGATCAGTTATTTCCTGGATTTCGGATATGTAGTTTATGGCACAGTTCGATCACATGTAGTCCGTGTCACCAACAACGGACACTTCCCGGTGTCTTTTGCACCTGACAAGTCAGTTCTGTCGGGCAGCGGATTTGGAGTGGAATTGGACCGAGTGCGTAACCTTCCCGGTGAACCAGATAACGAAAGTATGGAATTCATGGTGACCTTTGACCCTAGAGCGGCTGGACTTCCCATGGGTCCAGTTGATCTGCACGTGCCCTTTAACGTGCTCAATGGTCCTACGTTTGGGTTGAGGATTAAAGCTGTGGTGACAATGCCGGACATGACAGTATCTACAGATTCGCTAGATTTTGGCGTGGTGGAGTGTGGGAACAGTAAGGTCATGACGATACAGCTACACAATAGCCAACAAGTCAGGCGAGTATCGACACCACAAGATGTTGTTGTGTATTTAAATGTGTAGTTCAAATCGTCTCTTCTGGTCAGATGTTCAATAAGAGAACAGAAAAAGTGAAAAATTCCAAAATAGGGAGATTTTGCTTCATAACAGAATATCTGGAAAATAAAGACCGTTCTCGTACCTGTCCACTGAAGTATTATCAGAGATTTTGACTGCGCCATTGCTTAAACAATGCTTAATTTTATTTATTAAAGACGATGCAAGGCGTTACATGGTATCATTTCTTAGTTCTAAAAAGAGCAAAGACGCAGTAGTTGCCGTTATAAATGAGAGAAACGGAAAACGGAAAAAAATTTCTTATTAATTTTTGTCCTTTGCCATCTGCCGGTATTCTGAAGCCTCTCTACGTTATAGCTCACTTTCTATTCTGTTCTGTCTATTCAAATATTACAGGAAAAATAATCGTTTTTAGAGGAAAAATTTCCATTTGAATTTGTATGAGATGTTGTTCTTAATCTGTGCGATAAAATTTCTTTTCCGTAGGTGTGACTGGTCATCTGAACCTCCGGAAGAAAAAAAGAAAAAGGTAGATATATAGTAGTATGGCTGCCAAAATTTGATTTGTAGATAACGCCATATTTCATGTTTTGCTACACAGTCCGACAAGATGATTCCACTTCATCTACGCAAAAAGCTTCGCACAGAAAAGCCTAAACCAAAACACTTTGAAGTGATGCCGCCCATCGGTTCCCTAATGCCTGGTCAGCGGATTAATGTCCAAGTCAAATTCATGCCCAGTGAAGAGGTTAGAGGCTGCTGTTGAAACTGTTTTCTAGGGATTTATTCTTGCATTGCTTTATTCTGTTACTTGTCTTACGCACGTATTAATTTGTTCTTGAATGGTCTTACTTTCGCTTGCTCTTTCTGCAACAGATTTCTTACAGCAATCGTCTTGTTATCCGGATCGCCCAAAGTTCTAGCCGTCACATGATCAGCGTGACCGGTCAGGGAAATGAGCCCAAGTTAGACTTCAGTTCCACTCTGATCGAGTTCGGCCCAGTCCTTCCTCATTCATCTGGGGACGAGAAGGAAGTAATCGTGCGAAATCCTTCATCGTTTCCTGTTGAAATTTACTCTTTGGAGTTTGACAAGCAGTACTTGGAGGAGGAGAAGGTATAAACAAGAATATCAGCGTGATTTTGAATGAGAACGATGAAAATGATCGTTTTTCCGAAGTTAAACACATCTGCGGTGAAAGTACGATTAGTGTTTACGCTATGGCTTTGACGGCAATATTAAATTTATTTCAAACTTACGCCATCGTGAGGTGCCTTAACTTCTACCACATCGCTAAGAAAAAATCTCAAGAAGATTGGACTGGGACAAGAAACTTTACGAGCTGATAATTTTAACCTTTTTTCACCAATGATAAGGCTTCATTTCAACGACGCCGCAAGTATTATCCATACTTGTTGCTTTCTGACGAAGTTGGGATTAAAGTCAGGCTACAACTTCAAACAATATTAAGGTGGACTATTCATCGATTTCAATTTAATTGACTAAATCGTTTGGAACTTCACTCTGTAATGTAACGTAAAATACCCTTAAGAACTTAAAAATGTACTAATGAATAAATTGCTTGAAATTTACTAATGATTAGTTTTTGTGTATTTGCAGATGCTTCGCACGATGAAAGGCTACGATGAATACAACACCATTCTGCTTCCCCCGCGCCAACCTGGGGACAAGCTTCCTCAAGAAATCACAGATGCCTACAATGAACAGCAAAGAAAGAAGGAGGCGGAAGAAAAGGAGAAAGCAGAGGCAGCGGCATCTGCGGCAGCCGCTCAGGCGGAGAGGGCCGTAGAGGAAGGAGTGGAAGGTGTGCCTCCTATCATTGCTACACAGCTGGCTTCAGCTTCCGGTGAACGGGAGGGTGGCAGGTCTGGTAGTGATGTGGGCGAGGGAGCTAAAGATGGTAAGGGAGTGAGCAATAGGATTACTGAAATATGAATCTTAAGGTGTGTTAGTAGAAGACCTCTCCTCACTTAGTATCTTATTTGTTTACGTCTTTATAGACAGCAGTAGCCTCGGTGTTGGCGAACTGGAAATCACACCCGTGTCCGCTTCCATCGCTCGCTACCTTGGCATCGACTTGACAGCAGAGGGCAGGGCAGCCCGTAACAGACGAGGAATTGCTTTAGTGGTGCACGGAGCACCTCTCTCTGGAAAGACAGCCACGGCGGTGTCACTGGCTAAGACTTATGGAGCAGCGCTACTGACAGTAGATGCAGTGGTTATAGAGGCTATATCAAATGGAAACACCTCTGCAGGTGAGTTATGATGGGCTTGTGCAGGAGTTTGCTTATCCGGGATAAAGTGATGAAAATGGCAACAAAATGAGTCTTAAGATCGACGAAAGGTTGGCGGGCAAGTAAGGACTACTTACACTGCTGTTACACAGGTTTCTAACATGGATCTTTTTTTTTAAAATGTTTTGAATATAACCATTGATATATCGATGGACATTCTTATTTTCCAAATATCGCGGACGATCGCAAACGAAACACCTTCAACATATGGAAATCCATCTTGTCCTTGTGCCAGGCAGTTAACTCTCAAAGTGCTTCTCTCTTTCCAAGATATGAGTACTAAAATAAAACGGGGGAACGTGATGAAATCCTGGGCCAGGGTACCTATTATGCACTTACACCAAGGGGAGTTTTAATGCCTCTAGTGGCTTGTTCCTTGAGAAACCGGCTTAAGTTCGCGCGGGATGACTCACTCCGATACTTATCTCTCTTGATTATGATATTTTGCCCGCTCTTGCAGCTCAAAGAGCCAAAGAGTTGTGTGCATCAGCTGCTCGAGCGGCTAAGGAAGCGGAACAGACTGCTGAATTACAGCTGAACCAACCCACGGTGGCACTGAGTGTAGAGGCAGTAGCTGCCCTGGGTGCGGCCACTGGTCCCTCGGTTTCCACTGCTGGCTCTGTCACCGGAGCCCAATCGTTTCTTGGGAAGGATCGTAAGACGTCCACCATAGCTGGTGGCCCCCGTGGAGGAGGTGTTGGGAAGAATATTCCTCAGCTTCAGCAATCGCCCCCAGGGACTCCACCCCAGGCTGCACCTTTAGGCCGGAAGCTGAGTGTCAGTGCTAGCGTCGCCGGTGAAGACGGACTTTACAGCTGCTTGCTTCCTGAGGATCTTCTTGTCGAACTGCTGGCGGAGCGATTTCAGGTTGGTTTGAGAGGATAAACACTGTTTTGATATCTAATTAGACAGTTGGAAAAATGGCGTCAGGAGGTTAGTGTGCGAGTTCGTGAACAACTTTTTAACTGTTGCAAGTTTATCTATTTATCTATTTATCTATTTATCCATGTCTCGAAATTACAAATAATCGCACAACACTCAAGCTCGCTCTCTTACTCACATGACATCCAATTGATCTTAGTGCATAACAATGAAGATTCCCAGTTAGATAAAGAGGGAAAGTGAACAAGAAGGCGATCATTATTATTATTATCAAGGCTAACAACTTCTTTCTGTGTACGAAATTTAGACCTTAAGACACGTTACCATCTCCGTCAGATGCAATCTTTCAGAGTATTAGAATGTTCTGCTGAGCCCTTTACCAACTATTTCAAAGGCAGCTCGTTGGCGAATAAAGCTTTTTAAAAAAGACATTAATTGTTTTTAGTTGAGTGACTGTCAGAAAGGAATCGTAGTGGATGGCTTGGAGTCGCTGTTCAGTCCAAACATGATGGGTACAGCAAATGCTATTCTCCGTGCTTTCAATAACCGCAAATACATCTTCTTTGTGACACTGATGTTGGATCAGGCCAAGCTAAAGGCTGTGGAAGAAAAGAAGAAAGAAGAGCAAGGTAAGTGAATCTATAATAAACAACAAAATGAAATAAGTTTCGTTGAGAAGTATGGCTTGGCAAAGTTAGGCTATGCTGTGTTTAGACTGCAGCTTCGTTTGAAGTCATCAACGTGCACTTTAGACATTGCTTTCAAGCCAAATCAGTTAAATATTATTGAATATTATTAATCCTCATTGGGCCTCCGTCTGTTTGTTGTTACATCTTTCTATTTTCATAGTCGCGTGGCGGTGTTTTACTCTTTGGCAAGTTTTTCGAACAATATGCACGTCAAATGCTGCGACAGTGGATCTACTGGTTGCTATACATGCACTTTTGAGGAAACTATGTTTGTTCAACTTTTTATAGTGAGGATGAAACTGTATTTTATCCGACGGATAGCTTAGGTATCATATACAAGGGGAATAGAAGATCGTTAAGGGAAAGTCACCAGTGTAAATGAGGTTTAAATTTCACATTTGATTTTGCTTTCTTCAGCCAAGCTTGAAAAACAAAAGGAGGAAGAAGAGAAACGGCGATTGGAGGAGATGTCTGAAGACGAATATGATGCTCTAACGGAAGAAGAGAAAGCTGAGGTTGATAGGAAACACTTGGAGCAAAAGAAAGAGAGAAGAAAACGAGAGCTAGAAAGACAGGAGAGGGAGAAGAAAGAAAGAGAACTGCAAGCTTTGATGGAGGAAAAAAGACTCGAGGAGGAGCGGTTAGTGATTACTAAACTGTTTTCTTTAACATGGAAGACAAATGTGATAGCTTGGCCCGGTACCTCCTGAGATCTGATTAGTAATTCTCCCTATTAGTTGCTATACATTTCTTTGTAAATAAGTAGAGAGATTTTAGCGTCAAATAAAGCTAACACTAATGCTAATTTTGTTAAATGTTTTGCCTGACGTGTAGTGTGGCTTTTGTCAAAACAAGCATTTGTGATCAGTTTAGTAATTGTGGTTTTACGACCCTCAATAGAAAAGCTCTCTATTATTCTAATATTTTGTTTTTGCCGTATCTTTCTTTCAGTGGCAATCAAAAAGGTAAACGCCGAGGAGCTCAACAAGCAGGAGGTGCTGGAGCTAAGAAAGGTCATGATGGAAAGGAAAAGAAACCTGAGAAAAGCAGTGATAAGCTAACGCCTAATCGCACCACTGGTCTGTCTACACAAGCACAGCCCTTCGACACGCGCACGGGCGCCCCGTCGGTGATTTCCGAGCGTTCCGACAGCAGTGATGTTACCGACGACAAGAAGCGACTAAGTATCGCCAAAGTACAGAAACATCGCCAGTCATCGGCCATCATGAACCCTCCGTTGATCCCGCAAGTTGAGGAATCAAAACCACCGACTGAGGAAGAGGAGAGGGAGAAGGAGCTTACTAAAAAGTAGGTGGCGTTAGGTACTAATAAGACTTACTCTAACTGTTTTTGTAAAGAGCATTCAACGGCAATTTAACGATTCTACCATTTAGTCCCCACAACCGCGTTCCAAATTACATCATACTTAATTCTCTTCACTGAAAAGTAAGGCTGACTTGAAGATGATTTTGACTTGACCTTTTAACTTCCACGATTTGACTAAAGATTCTCTCCTCTCGCTGATCTTTTCCTTGTAAGTTAAATTTAAAATTGAGAATTGAGAATTTGAGGTCACATCAAGATCACGCACGTAACCTGAAAAGTGGGCCAGTTCTTATTATCTGTTTCCTGAATAAAGTATTTTAAAATGTAAGACGGATAAACATTAAAAGCTCTTAAAGTTAGTTGTAGAACATCTTACGAGGTATACCCTCTGATTTTTAAAAAGAATCGCAGCACATACTTCGTAGTCGCGAGTTGAGATCGTTTACCAGTGTGGAGTTTATTGGACATTTCATTTGTTCTTCATGATTCGTTCTTTTAGGAAAAATTAAATTTTCAGTTCATGTTGATTAGAGATTTTTACCTTGGCCCTCGACAAACAGCGATCTTCATTACGATTGTAGGGGGGTTTGCAGCCGATATTGTTAAAACGTCAAACAATGATTCTCTCTTTTTAAGTGTGATAGGGTGTCATTGAAAAAAGAACAAATTACCAGCACACTAAACTTTTTTTTGACGGTATCGTAGATTTAATGCATTCGAGACCAGTTTCCGAGACATTGATGGCTTGCTGCAAAACTGGGATCGATCTACGGGTACTGTGGCGCGTGCAGACACTCCCAAGTCTGAGAACTTTGAGGACTTTCTTCCGGCGCCTGGATCGACCAGGCGAGGTCGAGACAAGAAAGAGAAAGAACTTAGAGAACGAGAGAAGGAGAGAGAAAAAGAAAAAGCTAAGGAGGTGTGTGATATATACAAGCTAGGTGATCTGAATCTTAGTCCTTAACATTTCACTCCCAAGATCTCATTGGTAATTCTTCCTACTATCTGCGATAAAATTCTTACGGTGCTGGTTTGGAGAATTTGGTATAAGATCAACTGATAATCCCCTGATTGATGTTTTTCTTTATTCTCATCACTTGTCTGCCTGACGTTATATTGATATCGTAAGGAGAAATTCTTTCTTGGTCACTCATGGGAGTCAAAGGGTAAATAGAAGGGAAAACTCTCCCAGACTCAATACAACGTAAAAAAAATCATTTGGAATTTCACGGTACATTTTGGATAAAACTGTTGAGGAAAGAACTGCCGAGTGATGATTACGCGGTTGGGTTTCTGGTAAAACTGCGAACCAACTAACTAACTATCTTTTCTTAAATCGCATGGAAAATGTACGTTTTGTCAAATTTCGTGCTGCTCTGTTTGTGTATGAATGTTGGAATACCATGAGCTTGCTAAAGAAAGTCGTTTAGAGGGAAGATGGTTTACTTGTAATCGTCTGACACATGTTGTAATCTTGATGGATCCAACGGTAAGCCAGCTGATTTTCTTTATTTTCGTCAAGTAAGAAAACTATTGAGAGTTTCATTTTACCAACTCGATGCTGCTGTTCCCAGCATATTTTCGCGCAAGGCCTTTTCATCTAAAACAGATCTGTCTTAATCTTGACTTCTACATGTTGCTTTGCCGTCAGATTTCGGACTCTCCGATGTCAGCGGTCAGCGGTGATCATGATGATGACGAAGATGGCGGTAAAAAGGACGGGGTGGGTGTACCACAGCTTATTGTGGACACAGGAAACCCAACAGAGTCACAGGCTGAACAGACACTAGCGAAAGGAATTTTGCCAACGGTTGAAGAGGTATCCCAATAAAGATTGGTTAAGATTACTTGGTGTTCGTTCGCACACTTATGCACACAGTGGAACTTGTAAAAGTTTTGCTGTCGCTTTAATCACGCTCTGTCACCTTTGCTCCTCTGTTCACAATAGATCGTACGTTGTGCTATATTCAAACTGTCTATTTCTCGCGTTTCTATGGGTCACAGCAACACTACCTTTGCGTTCACCGGCGCGTTTGGTTGAACTGGTTTTTCAAGTTTGGTGAAGTTATCAGAAAGCCAATTCTTCAACTAAATACGAAAAAATTTCGTATTGAGTCACGCAACCAAACATTTAACCTGCAATAATGGCCCATTCTTCTCCATTTTTGTCTTCGACGGAAGTGCACAACAGGGAAACAAGAAGTCGACGCAATCGTAACCTATTCGGAAAGAAAAAAAAGTAGCAAAAGGGAACATTCAGAATAAATAGGTACTTCTATTGGTTTTTGTTTCCTCCTCAGTGATCATGTGACTGTACTCATTTTAGGTAATGGACGGTCTGGGTCTAGGACCCCATGGTCCTCCTATCCCACCCCCGGCCACTTTTGCCGTAGTGCCGTATCCTGTACGGAGACGTCCACCCCTGGGATTAGATCCCCCTTCTCATTATGTGTTCGTGGCGTCGGGGCCAGATGATCCTAATGCCCCTCAGGAGGATAAGACGAAAGAAGCTGAACCAGAAGTAGAGAAAACACCTGAGAAACCACCGGTTAGTGCGTTATTATTATTATTATTATTATTATTATTATTACTATTATTATTATATTTTTTATTGTTGTTATTACTATTATTATAATTTCACTTTGATTGTTATGATTACTGTCATTATTATTGTTATTATGTATACTGTTATTTAATATTTATTGATCTTTTCACGTACACGTTCAAACGAGCCTAGCGCTCCTCGGAGGGGTGTGCTTAAGTAAAGTATTGTTATTTTTTTGTTGTTGTTATTATTACTTATAGCCCATGATCCATAAATTAGATCGCAAGGCAGATAAAGTGGATTCGAGACCGAATTGTCTGTTTAACTCTCTGTGAAAAAATGACTAAGATGAAGCAAAATTGCATTTGTTTTCCTTTGACAAGTTGCTCCCAGTGAGTTTTTCAGTTGTGTGATAAAACTTTCCGAAAACGCCTAACTTAAAAATACGGGATTGCCGTTTCACATTCATTTAGAAAAGGTTTCGGTTCATAGAAACGCAAATGGCTCATAACCCGCTTCTTGCCTCGGTAGATTACAAATTTACGTATCAGTGATCATTAGCTTTTATTTCCATCATCTAACACTGATTTGTTCACAATACTGTTCGCTCCTCTAACGGTAGGAACATGGACGCAAGGGCCGCAAAGACAAGGATGATAGAGAGGGAGGTACAAAGTCCAGAAAGGAGAGAGGAAGTTCCGCCCGGAAGGGAAAAGCAGCACACGGGGCTCCCTCACCTCCCCCCAGTATCACCCCTGCAGAAGAAGACAAGAGGTTAGCTTTGCAGCAAACTATTTAAGTTAAAGCGTAGCTTGTTGACTATGCTGGTACCGAATTGCTTTAATACTTAAGTAAATGAATTTCTAACCCGACTTTCTGCTTCTTCCTCTTACAGTGAAACTGCTGCGGTGCCCAGCACCCCTCAACTCGTCAGCCACCGCTGGGTCATTCCTGCCAATGATACAGTGAGGTTGCGCATTCGTTTTCGGTCCGAGGAGCTGGGTCAGTTTGACCAGACATTGAACTTTGAGATCATGGGGACGCGCCGTCGTTATCAGCTGTTTTGCCGCGGCGTCTGCGCTTTTCCCGCCATCAGTCGCGAGCCGCGTGTGGTGTTCCCTCACCGCCGGAAGTACCGCAAACCGGAAGAGATCGTGCATAAGAAATACGTTCTAAGCAGTGAGACTTTTGAATTTGGTCCGTTGCTTTGTGGTAAGTCTGAGTGCTTTGGTCTTTTTCATAAGTTGTGGTAAAAATAAATTGAGTCAAAAAATTCCTTTTGTTACTTTTTCATATCTTGAAGCGTCTTGTCTTCTAGAATTCTGGAATATCTTTTTATACATGGTAATGTTCTAACCTTGAGGTTGCCCATTTAAATGGAATCACTCTACAGCCGAGATTCTACTTGAAGAATTGACGTTAAATTCCGTCAATGCTGGCTTCTTGCTTTTAAAGCCATTTATCTGCAAATAAGCTTCATGTATTGCCTTTTTTGACAGGAAAGACTCGAGACCGGTACAAGGAAGGCAAGTATCCAGAGAATATGGAAAAGATCGTGATCTGCAACACCTCTCCACTGGAAGCAGATGTCAACTTCTGTTTTCAGCAGGATAGCACAGCGGTTACCTTCATTATTGATCCACCTAACATGAAGTTGAAGCCGGGTGAGAGTCAGGTAGGGTAACCCATCCATTTATAAGGGCATGAAATAATTTCCTATAGAAAAGGAAAAAGGGATAAGGACAAGACTCCTTGGATGTAGATCCTGATTTTTGAAGTGGAAGGAAACCAGGCTTTGCCATTTTTGTTCTTGAATTCTTTCAAGGCTCACTGAAGAGGAAGTACACTCGTAAATGTAGGGAATATGCTGAAGATTCACAAGTTGAATCAACAAGAAATTTATTGTAGCGTAAAAACCTCCTGACCTTGTCATAGCGATGCCTGAGAAAACCCCCGTCCGGACAAAGACTTTATTCAATTGATTCGAAAGTCGAGAAATCCAAGACAATTAATAGCTTAGTAACGAAACAGAAATAAAAGTCACAAATTCTTAAAATCTGTAACGTAGCAAGTCACGCAGTCACACAAAGTTCTTCTCATAAATGTTCTCAGTGAAGAGCTGTTGAGGAATTACAAAAGTTTCCTATTGTTCACCTTACAGACGCAGGCGTTTTAAATACCTGTCACGAAAGGCAATAGTAAGCGGCACAATGATAAACAAAAAACCGATCCTTTTAGCCAATAATTGTACCAAATACAAGGTTAATGTGGTGCTAACCCAAGCTTCAAACCATGGTAGTATCTGTGCGAAGAGAGTTCACTGAACGGTGCGAGATCACTTACTGCTACTAGTCAATGCTCAACGTCTGTAAATAGTAAGAATTATTGTTGCTGTTGTAGGACCTCACTCTGTGGGCATATCCCAAGACACCAGGCTTCTTCGAAGATGCTGTGGTGTGCTGTATTCGAGAGAATCCTGAGCCGGTTGTGTTTAAGATTTCCTGTCATGGTGTTCGGCCCGAGCTGGAGTTGGATCGGAGACAACTGCAGTTTGATAGAGTTTTACTACACAGGTCTGTTTAAAAAATGATGGCGCTTCACAGTGTAGTACATGTTTACCCACCTTTTTTTTCCCTACATGAAACAAATGAAAAATGTTTTAGCAAAGTCAAATCGATTTAAAGTAATATTTGTTGAACGAGTCGGCGCAATTTCAAAGGCGAAATAGTCCTCGGTTTGTGAGTCTGTGCTGTGACCATTGTTGTGTTGCCCTTGTTAACTGAGTTGTTAGGAATTACATAATTACTTTACATAATACTCATGCAGTTATTGAAATGCTTTTTGCGATTATTTTAGCAAAACGTGGTTGAAAGGGAAGCACGAGTGCCCAAATTATATTTTGTGGTTTTTGGAACTAGCGTTTAGAATTTGTGCCCTGCTTTGTTGTGTTTGAGGGTTTTGACTCCATTGTCTGAGTGCTCCCCTCCTTGCTCAAAGATGAATATGAGAATTAGTCAGACTAAAACAAACTGAATTACTCACTCACTCATCCTCCGCGCGCTCTTTATGACCCCCGCATGCAGCAGCAATGAAAACATGCTTAATAACTCTTTTTTCGTTGTTCTATTTTCAGGAAAGACACAAAAACGATCTTCCTTCGTAACAGCACTCTGCTACCTGTGGCTTGGCGAGTGAATGGGATGGACAATCTGGGTGATGACTTTTCGTTGACTACTGAACATGGCATGATCGATGCTAAATCAGAGTTTGCTCTTCAGATGCACTTCAGAGCTGTTCGGCCAACCAACGTAAAAAAGATTGTGAGGCTGGAGGTACGTAACATTCTAATTACAAATTGAAAACTTTCAGGAAGTGAGCCTTTGGCACGCGTAACTGTAAGTCTTCAATTCGATAATATTTTAGATAAATCCGAAGAAGTGTGATGATATAATTTGATGTTGATAAACGAAGATATACTTGACTTGAATGAGGTAAGAGTAGAGGTCTGCTAGAGCTTATTCCGGACTCTATGGCTCGAGGTGACTAGGAGTATGCCCCTCCACCTGGATGGGACGTTAAGCTTTTGGAAATGCTCCCGTTAAAAATATCTCCATAACAGAAAAAAACTAGTTTATCACCGTTTATTCTATTACTTACGCATTCTAGTGCTCACGAAAAACAACAGTAACTCTCTCCACATACTTACTCTCCACAAGAATCACCTGTCAATCACGCTCAGTACTAGTTTCCATCAAAGCCAGTCCCTGCTTGCAGCCCGTAGGCCAGTTCTTCGCTGTAGCTGTAGTTACTGAGGTTTTAGTGCATTTTTATGAACTAAAATGTTTTGTATTTCAAAGGTTTCTGATGTAGAACAGATCATGGGCTTGGTGCAGGCAGAAAACATTCAAGTTCATGCAGAGTCTTATGATGTCGCTCTAGATATGAGTTTCCCTAAAGGTACGTAGGTTGACAAGGACATGTATGGGGAAACGTTTACCTGTGTTTTCATATGGGCAGTAAAGTAATAATGACGATAGACTGTCACGAAACGAAACCCAAAGGAATACCCATGAATATTTCATTTTAAGAAGTGTCAAAATATTCAACCGAGGACTGTCTTAACCCTTTACACCCAAACATCAGTATTTATATTCTTCATACTGTTCTCCATACATTTCCCAAGGAGCTGACAAGGAGAATTTATTCAACAATCAATAATTTTTTCTTTTGGTGATCATTTCCTTTATTCTCGTAACCTTAATGTGTTACTCAGGGGGGATATTGTCAAGAGAAACTAGATGCTATTCACTCTTAGGGGTTAAAGGGCTAAGCGTAACGGTCGGGAAAAGAAAACATTAAAGAAATTGTATTTACTGGAATGTCTTCGCCTTGTGGCCTTCATTTCATATTCGTTCTCAAAAAAATTTTGCTTTCCGTTGTCTTTTCAGGTGCAGACGGCGGTCTTGACTTTGGCGTTCTCAAAGTTTTGGATGAAACAAAGCAGACTTGTTCTCTAAAGAACAAAGGCAAGTTTGAAATCAACTTCAATTTCGCGTATGAGCCAACAGAAGGTTCGCCAGCGGACGTAGCACAGCTGTTTACAGTGATACCCAACAAGGGTCCCCTACTACCTACCGATCGACCCACTCAAGTACAGGTCATCTTCAGATCCAAGAGCGAGATTACTATTAAAGACCAGCCTGTACTCAAATGCCAGGTAAACAATGTTTTCGCTTATCGTTGAACGATATTGTAGATATTTCATGGCTTTGACCTTCTTATGCCCCCGTCTTTCATGAATTACTCCTGCCTCCCCAATTGTTATAATACCAAGCACAGTTATCGTTCTTTTAAAAAGTCAAACAATCAAAACAAAACCTAAAGCTAAAAAGAGTTCTTGAGAGGAATGGCATTATATTTTAGTTTTGCGTTATTAGTTTAGCCTAGAAATGGGGGAAACGGAGCTTTGGGCGGTTGTGTCTTTACTAAAAGCAATTTTCTTTTTTCGTTTGTTTTTGTTTTGTTCACTTATATGATTTGAAACTCAATATTTTCGTTAGCTTCTTTTCGATAAACAACTCACTTGTAATAATAAAATTTAGCGAGATCACACAGCGTTTTGGTATTCACTTGATTCGAAATTATAACAAAACCTTGTATGATTTCGCTTATTTTATTCTTAAAGAAAATTTTAAAACATTTCAAAAACTCACATTCAATTCCAATCGCCTCCCTTTATCTGTCAGATTGATATACTTCACGTGACTTTTCTATCCATATCTTCATTGGTTCTTTCAGATCGTAGAGCCTCACCTTGGCGAAGGTGGCGAGGTGATCGCCAGCATTCCCATAAAACTTAGCGTGCGCTCTGTCTATAGCAAGTACGCCGTATCGCCGGTCAGTGACATTAACTTTGGAGCCATGCTAATCAACACTAAGAAAACCCGGGTGTTCACTATCGAGAACAAGGGAGAGTTTGAATTCCGGTACTCAGTCCTAAAGATGATCAACACGGTGGCACAAGGACGCCAGAAACTGGGGCCACCCGCGAAAAGGGCCAAATCACGTGATGGGTCGAGTTCGGGAAGATCTCAACAAGACAAACCGTCTAAACCAAAGAGAGCAGATTCAGTACGAGGGTATGTAAGATAACTTATATGACAGTACACAAGCAAGAATTTCAGCATGCTCATTGGCTGACAACACGTCGTTCAACCGCAACCTGCGCAAAAATATTAAATCGATTGCAGGATGTTGAGATATACTGTAAATTGTTCAAAAGAAGCCAAGTAATTTCATTGTTATTTGATATGAATGAGCACTCGGAACCAAATTGCATAAGGAAGTCGTTTGATAAACTGTATGTATTCATTCTACCAGTTGAGCATCTGTGACCTTCTACTGTTTTCTGCATCACACTTTTCAGTTTACAATCCTTGTCCGTGCAGTGTTGAAATAAATGCAGTTTTCTCTTTTTTTTTTCCACAGAGCCGAGTTGACCACAGGGGCACCAAACATTCGCCTTCAGCTTGGAATGTTTACAGTCTACCCAGCTGTCGGAAGCGTGCAGGCCGGTAGTTCTGTGCAAGTAACGGTGGATATGATCGCTGAAAATCCAGGCTTCTCAGAAGAGGTTGGTAAGATTTTTCCCCACGCGCGCGCAGTGCCTTGAGATGTCTCCATTACGTCATTTGTTTTGCGCGAGCGCGACGGATTTTAAACGAAGTCAATTGTGGCGTAAGCACTTGATTGTGCGTCAGTTTGTCGATAACTTTCTGCACTCACTTGAACGTCAAGCCAACGGCTGCTAGTTTTGCACGGGGACAGGAATTTGCCTTTACAGCTTCTTGTAGAATCGATTTCATATTCTCACAAAGTTTATTTCCCCCAACGGTTTGTCTTTTTTTTATTTCAGGACATTGCCATTGACATCTCAGACCGCCCGCCGTCCGACCAACCACAGGGAATACCTTATAAACTGATTGGAGAAGCATGCATTCCCGGGATCACCACAATCGCCCCCGACACAGTTGGCTCTATATTCGAAGAACACTTAATCGTCAAACAATTGAATTTATTCCAGTACCTGACGCACGACCTCGCGAGTGGCTCTGGAGTGTATGGAGAGGACGAGAACAAGTTTATATTTTACAACACTATTGTTGGACGAAAAGCCAAAGCGAGGTTTAGAATTGGTAATCCGAACAAGGTACGTGGAAAGTGATCGTGGTTTGCAGTGGTTTTACCTCATTGTGCTTTTTGATTGCTCTAGGAAAGTGAGACCACTTTCCTTACCAATCAGATACAAAAAGTGAAATCAATCTTAGTTGGCAACGTATGTCTTTCCGAGTTTGAGTGTTGTTTACCTTTGGTCGTCGTTAATATTTTTGTTTTTGAGAAGGTCTTTAATGCTTCTATGCTTCGATTATTGTTATTTCTTGCAACATTTCAAAACTTTTTTTGTTTAATAGTTTTGAAATCTTGGCATGCACATCTCATTTGCCTGAAACCCTCCCTTACTCAAGCCATAACGTGAGTCCAAGTTAATTCTCGCTTCAAGCGATAGCTTTAAGGTCGTTTTTGAACATCCTTTTTAGGAGAATTAAGTTCCTTAACTTTTAATGACGAGCGGTGTGATCTTTATTTTCTCAACACTTCAGGTGCCATGCGATTTGGTTCTCTCCGTGAAACCGCAGTCCATGAAACCATCTGCTCGTTGGCACGACGTCTATGAGATTGAACCCCAGCGTGCCTCGATCCCAGCTCACAGCTATGTGTACGCGACTGTGACCTTCAGTCCTCCGTCCATGCAAACCTACAACGCTACTCTTGAAGCAGCCGTAGATGGGATGCCTAGCGCTATGTCAAAGTACCGCAACCTAACGTTCGACATCCAGGGTGAAGGAAACCTTCCTAGAATCACCGTGGTTCGACCCACTGCTCGAAACAAGAAAGGTGCTCCAGTCCTTTTGTTCCGACGCCTTTTACTGGGACGTACTCAAGTGCTCTCGCTCTCGCTAAAGAACGAAGGCACATTGATGGCCCGAGCGAATATCGATTTGAAAGACCCCGAAGGTGTGTACAAGATTTCATGTGTGGAAGGTACCAAAGCTATGAAGCCACTTGACGACGGTGAAGACGACGTAGATCCGAAGTCGCGAGTTCACACCTTGTCTGTGGTAGTCCCCATGGGTAAGACGGCAGATTTTGCGATCGAGTTCAACCCCTCCCTGGTGGGGCGTTCGCTGGGCGAGATTAGGCTGTCAGTAATGGATAATCCTTATGAAGAAAGTACAGTTCAACTAATTGGAGAAGGTTATGAAGATGAAGTGACCATAGATAATATACGGTCCTTTGTTCAGACTGAGGAACTGGCGGCTGAGACGGAGATCGACGACGACACTCCAGGTATTATTGGGAAATGAGCTGATAGGTTTTCGTTTTTAGTTGTAAAACTTGATTCGCTTCTTACTTTGTGGTTTCAGAAGAAACAGTGCTCTTAAAACGTGTGATTAGCCTTTAAATTCATGTCGCAGACCTTAAACATTCATCAAACGCTGGTCATCACTAGCATTATCTTTGTTGTTGACGTTTTTTAACTTTTTATGACACGTATTGCATAGATACGGCCTACAAAAGGTACTATTATCCTTTTAGTTACGTTTCCTTCTTTCATTTATATTATTCGTAGCATCACGAGAAAACCACGTCAAATTTGGGGATTGTGCCGTGGGTGTGTCCAAACAGCTGTCATTCACACTGACAAACCATTCTTCCTCGGACCCAGTGCGCTTCACGTGGTCCCCGCCGCCTGAGGTGACATTTTCTCCGTGCACAGGACACTTACAGCCAAACTGTGCAAAGGATGTCACAGTAACCTTCTGTTCTAACGAGCCAAAGACATATTCAGCGACAAACATTCCTTGTAAAGTCACTAAGATCAAGCTAGGAGAGGCGCAGGATAAAGTACGTCTTAAAATAGAAAAATGGATTGTATGGTAAAACGTGTAAATTATCTAAATGTCATTTTAGGCTCTTTGTAGAAGGTAGAATTCGTCACAAATTTCGGTGATCTCATTTAATTTTGTGGAAAGATTCGTGGCTTTGTCTTCGACAGAACAAAATTAAGAATAAAAGAGAGCGAAAGATGATGGTGCTGCTCTTCGACAATGCTAGTTTTAAGATGTTTTATGATGATCAAACCATTTTGTAAGTGGCAGCTTTAAGCCTCAGTTTTTCTGGCAGCGACACTCGATAGATTTGATGACTTGATTATCTTCATGATCTTCGAGTTTAATTTAATTTTTATTTTTAACTTGTTACCAGTCTAAACTATGCCGGAAAAAAAGCAAAGGGATGTGGAGTTGACTTAATATTTGATTTTTCCCCGACAATTTGTTGTTTGGATGTTCATCAATGTAACAGAGTGCGTTTGAGTTGCTTACTTAATTTCCTTTTCTTTAGGCGGTGGACTGGGACGATCGCATGCGCACTGTAAAGTGGATAGACGTGGCACCTGGTGAAGACCCTTCCACTGGCGTGAGGAAGTCCCCCCGGCCTTCTAAGAAGAAAGTCATTGAAGTTGAAGCTGAGCCTCCATATACAGCGCTAGAAAACAGCACCAAAGACGTGGAACTGTTGCTTACTGCCGTGTGTGACTTTGCTAAATACCGCTGTAAAGTCGAGAACATACACTTCAAAGATACACTGATGTTTCAGTCTCGTGTGTACAGGTGAGCTGTGAGGTATTTGTAGATCATCTCCGTGAAACACACCTTCCTTGTAATGTTTTTCAGACACAATCTTTAGATTCTATTGGGTGTGTTTTCGTACCGTTCAAGGTGAAGTGTTCTAGATGTGAAGTTAGTAACTCATTTCTTTGATACCTAACTAAGAAAAAGCTTTTCCACTTATAAAAAAACTTGCTGTAAAGGTAAAGAAAAATATCTTCTCAGTTTTACAGTCTCAAACAAAGGTGATGTGCAGCTCGATTACAAGTGGCATTTTCAGCCAGTGGAAAAACCAAAGACTGTCAGCCTAGCCGAGCCGCCCGAGGTAGGACCCGAGAGACCCGAAAGCTCCGCTGGACAATCCACCGGTCAGCGAACCGTTCGCCCCTCCACTTCAACAGGGGGCTCATCAGTGCACCCTCCTAGACGTGTACCTCCAACCACTCAAAGACCTGGGTCCTCCATGGGTGGGCGGCCGTCAAGCGCCCTGGCTCTTGCCTACGAGGCAGGCAGTGTAGTGAGCGAAGGAGGAAGCGATGTGTTCCCTTTTGTGATTGAGCCAGAAAGTGGAAGCATCCCTGCAGGGAAGAAGGGTAGCTTTGTTGTGAAGTTCTCACCGTTAGATGTGTCCGAGTATGATGCTCTGGTGACCTTCAGGTAATACTGTGGTGCGATGCTGTAGCACACAGACTCATCAAAAAATAAACAAACAAGCAAGAAAACTCTCTTAAGGAAAAAAAAAATCCTGACGTTTTTTGAAAAAAGAAAAAAGTAACATACAAACTCGCATCAACGAAAACATGCAATTCGTTTAAATGGTAACATGATCTGTGAATATTTGTTCCTCTCCGCAATGCTATTTATTTTAAGAACTTGTTTGTTGGCACGCATGCCAAATTTTTGTTTGATGTAAAGGGGGGACGGGACATTAGAATCAGCGAAAAACTTAACCCACGTATGACGTCAGAGTAACTCAATGTAATAACAAGTTTCTCTTTAATATTTTCATCTTTGCAGTGCCAACAATCTCCCGCCAGACACAGGCGGCTTCTCCATTCCCGTTCGTGGAAGGAGCCTTCTTCCTTATTGTCACTTTGAATTGGAGGAGTCAGATTATGTTTCCGGGGGGAGAAGAAACCCCGAGTTAAGAGGTCCTGGTGGGGCTCCCCCCGGATCTACCTTAGATCCCACCACGAAAGTTATCGAGTTCAAGTCGTGCGGAGTTAAAGTTAAAAACATAAAGTAAGTTACCATTGAAATTTTCATTAACCTGCGACAAAGTAAAAAATGTAACAAACTAACTAATATTTCCTTCAATATGTTATCGCACTTCAAAGCCTGATTATTTAGATTTAAGAATAGAACTTCCAAACATGAGACCTTTTCTGGACTTGTTTTCAAACCTTGGAGGGGTTAAAAATTCAATTCTTTAATGCTTAAATTTAAATCTGTACTCAGAGTCAAATTTAGTCTTTGCCCAATTCTCAATTATAATGATTCAAGTACGTGTCAAAATCCCAATTCCGGTTACTTGAATCCAAATTTTACGGCCTAAAATTGGTCAAATCCCATGTTATTATGTTCGGAAGCCGAAAGAGGAAACTTGGTCAAAACTATCTGCGAAATGCGTGTAAGACACAGTCAGGATCAGTTGGTGTGTGTCTACTAATAATTGATATGTTCCCATAGACGTTTTAGCGTCATAAACCCATCCAACACAAGCTACAGTTTTGTGTGGACCAGTGAGGACACACTGGATGGCGCGCCCCCAGAAACGGTCAATTTCCGGTGCCTGACTCCCGAGGGGACCATACTGAGTGGGAAGAAGTACGAGATGGTGTTTGAGTACGTATCAGACTCGCTGGACCTGGTTGAATCATTTTGGCGGTTCTTTGTGCCTGAGTACAACTTCTCCATTCCATTTGTTATGGTGGGGCATACATTTGAGCCCGCGCTGTCATTTGACAGGTCTCACATAAACTTCAGGGAAATGCTGCTTGGTGAGTATGGCGTTTCTCGTGATTGTGATTTTTTTGTCATTTTGCGAAGTGTTTAAATATGTTCAGAGAGAAAGAAATTAGAAGATATCAGCACAGTTGGAAAACATGAAGGAGGCCATAATAAACTCAGAGGATACAATAATGGCGATGGGCGAAGAAGATTAAACCAGATTGCAGTTGACGAGCTAGAAAAATTTGCACGAAGTTTTACAACATGAACAACTCAGCTCGTGGCTGTAATTGATCACATCTATGATATCATCGCTTACAACTGTACTATTAGTGAAATATCGTGACCATCTCCGAACAATTTTGAGTTTATGGAGACTTGAACTTGGAATCTCTGTGAAAGAATAGTGTAAATTATATGACGAGATGAAATTGAACCACGGAAAGTACAAAACTTTATTGGGTAAGGAACGAGAAAAAGAAAAATTCTCGACTCGTATTACATTGTTGTGTCGTTGCAACAAGCTGGAGTCTATTTACGTTAAAGTAAATTTTTGTATCATGCTTTGCTGTTTCAGGTCACCCGGCAAAAGAAACTGTACAGTTAGTGAACGAGGAGAACATCCCATTCACTTTTTCATTCAGCGAATCGTCTTGTCACACAGAAGGATATGCGTCTAGTCTGTCTGTGGAGCCCATGTCTGGAACAGTCCTACCCAAGGCCAGGTATGAAATGTCTTCTCATCTTAATGAATTAGATTACAAAAAGTGCATGGAGTAAATCATATTTGCCCTAACCGGTGACTGAGTGATGCAGTTATCCTCGCATGCAAAGGACATTGTAATAGTTTGAAGAAGTAATGCCCGGAAAAAAGTGTGTGCGCTTTGACTTGGCTTGAATCCGTTCCTCTCATACTGGTTTGCGGTTTAACACTTTGTACCTTAACATTGATATACTCCGTATATGTATACTCCGCTTCAATGGTCTCTCTACATTTCTTGTGAAGCTGACAAGGAAAATTTGTTTATCAATATGAAGCTTCTTAAGTTTATGATCATTTCCTGTATTCTCGTAAATTTAAGTTATCCAGGGGTGATATTGTAAGAAGAAATTAAGTACTATGGGGGGTCAAAGGATCAAAATGTCTTATGATTGGCTATTGACAATGTGTAGTATACAAACAGTTATGTTAACACCTCAAACATTCACTGCTGTTGCATATTTTTTCAGGCTACCAATCGAAATCTCCTTTACAGCAACTGAACAGAAGGAAGTAAACTTCAATGTTCTGTGTCATGTGAAAAAGAAAACATCTCCTCTAACCTTGAATGTGAAGGCAGAGGGGTATGCCATGAATGCGCAGCTTGTTTGCGAAGATTCACAGGGAAACAAAGTGGAGCTTACATCTAAAGGAACAAACAGAATCAACTTAGGAACGGTTAGTTTTGTAAAGAAAAACATAACTGGCAAAGTATATTTTAAAACGAAACGTTAAATATCTGTTTGCTTTTGAAGCCGGAATAGCCTTCGACTTATTATTCATATCAATAGAAAGAGCTGATTATTTGAGTTGAGGATACAAGTGGGAAATTTCGGGGTGCAATAACTACGCCAAGTGCTTCGTTGATCGTTTGAAGGTGATTACACTGGTCGATGCACTCTTTTGTTGTCTTTCTCCTTTTCGTTCGCTCTCTTTTTTACTGTTATATCCTCAGGTCAAAACATTTCAAACCTTGTTAGAACATAAGAGCTGGTTATAGCAATGGAATTAACTTCATTGCACTTATCAGTACAATATGAATCTTACACCATTCTTTTAACGGATCTTAAGTGGCACTACTCTCTCGCTATATTAATATATGACTACCATCAATTTAAAGGAGACTCGAGGGTATAAGTATTGATTCGGTTAAAAAAGAAACCGCAAAAAAAGAAAAGAGGGTGGCTGAAGATGGTTTGAACAGATTGCTAGTAACGATTTACCTTTGTAGGTTGCACAAACCATCAGCTGGCTCCTTAAAGAAGTCGGTAGCAAATAATGAAATGAATTTGTTCTTTTTTACTCTCGTTTAAGGTTGAAATCAACGAAAAAGCCACCCGACAGTTGTTTGTCATCAACTCAGGGAAATTTAATTTTGACTTTTCGTGGGAGATCCATAACCGGACGAAGCTTAAGGGCCTCAGGGTTCTCGATGGGGAGAAGCTTGTATCAGTGACTCCTGAAAGTGGGACGGTGCCATGTAATACTCGTAAGAGATGTCAGTTAGCTTTCTGTCCACCTGGGAGACTTTCACTGACAGGATGCGATCTATTGTTAAAGGTATTGGTGATTCACTTTTGGCAGTTTGTAGAAAGGCATGTTGTGAATGTAGGTTTGCTCCTTGCTGGAGACATTGCTGTTTCGGGTTTACCTTTGAACTAAGCTATGGCTTTGCCAAATGCATCAGGCAATCTTTCTGGATAAGTGATATCGAATCATTTTACGACAGAAATGTGAAAATTGTTCTGATTTGACTTTGTGTTGAATTGAATTTATAGTGCTTCATGGAAATTTTTGTTTCATCTGTGGGAGTTAAAGTTTCATCTCTGAACTATATACAGCTTCTCTTAACTGCATTCTTACATGCAGATAACTTTTCTTTGTGTGCTTGTCTGTAGATCACCAATGGCCCAACGTTCACCATAAATCTAACAGGGACGGGTATACAGCCTGGACTCAACTTCTCTTTTGTGAGGCATGACTTTGGTCCGTGTTTCCTGTACCGTGCTGGTATGCCTCGGAAACGGACTACGTTGATCATTAAGAACGAAGATACAAAAGATATCAGGTAATGTGTTGATCTGTTTCACAACTATTGTTACATTTCACATTTGCCTTTGAGTCCAGTGTGACTTCACAAGAATCAACTTAGCAGATTAATTTAAGGAATAGTTGCGCAAATGATCTTGAATTAGAGTTTGTTGCTTTTTCTATCTACCTTTTACCAGGTTTTAATTTCACTATTTTCGTGAAAGTGATTGACAACAGTGGGTAAACTGCCTGGAAGCCCCATTTTATTTAAGAATATGGGAGGGATTCTGATTCCCTTCAGTTCACTCTTTCTAATTCGAAGAAGCTGTAGAAACATCCCACTTGATAATAAACAGACGCTGCAGATTTTACTCAGTGTTCATCCAAAGAATGTTTGCGAACATGGTATCTGACTATTCTTGGAAAATACGATTTAACTCGAACCACGTAATTCATGTCTGTAACACCTTACTATACTTTTCAGTATTGAGTGTCAATACGAGAATACTGCCCACCTTGAGGTCGCCTGTCTACCTGGAGTCCTGATACCAAACCAAGCCATGCAGGTAGATATTGTGTTTTATCCCCGGGAAGCCAGGAGATATCATGAGGTTATCCCGTTTGAGATCAACGGTCTGTCCACCATGAATGTCGAGATATTTGGCGAGGGAACCGACATGAAGGTAATTTGTTTTGCTCGATATAGTGCTCAGCATTGCCTTTTTGTCTCTGTAAAGAATATAGCGTGTTACCTGAAATAGTTTTGTTGCAAATTTGGTCTGTAAAAAATCTTCTTACGGCATCAGGGATACGCCAGAAAGTTGATACACCAATTTATTTGTTATTTTTTACGTTGATCAGGGAATTTGTTTCCTACCGTTTGTCCACCAAGCCCGCAGACAAGCTCTAACTACTTGCTAGGGTCACAGAACAGCTTGTTGTCCGGCACTAGCTACACATTTGCTACGCCTTAGAACTTTGAATCGAACTAGTTTAAGAGTAATACCAGACTGTAAACAAGAAGCAACGGAAAAGGCTCTCGAGGAACTACACAACGACTTTTGAATTGATATTTTGTCTCTTGCCAAACTACTTTAAACTCGAGAAAGAATAAGAATACAAAATATTGGTGGTTTAACGTAGGAAAAGACAAAAAAGGCGTTGATAAGCTAGGGAAGAACAAAACTTGCGAAGGATGTAGACAGTAAAAAAATAAATTGTAAATAACGAAATTGAAAAATTTTGGCTGGAGTGCTGGAACCGTGACAGTTCTTATTTGTTATTACTCGCAGGTAGAGGTCGCTAATCCTTCAGACAGAAAAGTAAACTTTGGCGCCTTGCGTGTCGGCCAAACAAATCAGCGGAGTGTAAAGTTAGTGAACCGCAGCCCTGCACCAATCACGTTCACCCTAGCCATCACACCAGCTGTAGTGGCGCTTCAACAAGCAAACATTCTCACTATTAGCCCCTCTACGGAAATCACTCTTAGGGCCAATGGCGGCACGTATGGCGTGGACCTGACTTTCAAACCGAAAACACGCATACCACAGTTTACTGAAGAGGTAAATTAAGTGCTCAATAGTTTTTTTACTTTTTGACAAAGACGCTATTCTGTTACGTTGTGTTATGTGCCTGTAGACTGTTTATTTTCCGCCAACGGCGGCTTGTGGTTATTTCTTTATTCCGCGTCGATCAAAAACACATTTCGTTTCTTGCTTCATGTAGCATACTATATCCGTCAGAATTAATAATGATCTTTCTGCATCATATGTTTCATCTATTCCTGTCTTTAAATACGTAAGTCAAACACCGCTTGAATTTTCCTTTGTCCTTGCACTGAAACGCTTCATGAGATAAGAATATAATTCAACACATCTCCGTTGAAAACAGTGAATATCTACTGGTGCTTTAGAATGATATTAAGATATTGGTCGATGCGTCGTTCAAAAACATTGGATTTTTCAAGTAAATATCCATTTATTCTTCACGCTGCAGGTGATGTTGGAGTGTGCCGGCATGTCCCAGCCCATCTTTGTGGTAACAGGCTCTTGTCAAGGAATAGAGATCACGTTGGACAGCGACTCGGTGCCGTTTGGCGCTGTAGTTCTCGGCAGTCGCAGCACGAGGAAGCTGATCATGCACAACACAGGAGACATCGGAGCAGCCTTTACTTGGAATGTAGAAAAGTTTCAACCTGATTTCTCCATCTCACCAGTTAAAGGTTACATTTCACCCGGAATGGAAGTGTCCTTCGAGATCGTGTTTCATCCCACTGTGGTGAATCATGATATAAGATACGAGGTATGAAGCACATCCGTTCGCGAACTTTCAGATAATTATAAGCATGAAAAATACGTATTATTTATTTGTTGATTTGAATAGAACAGGGTTAAATAACCATGATAACACCCATGATTTAACTTATAAACCATGAACAGCGATCATGTGATATGTAAGCTTTTCAAGTTCTCCTCAGCAGTCCATTTACCTTCAAAATCTTGTAGCTCACTCACAAATTAGATTTCAACTAATTATTTCATTAATTCGCCGACTCAGCTCAATACATTTTTTAGAAACCAATAATTTTGCACTTCTGTGATACCTGACCGTCGTGTGTTTTTTCAACAGAGTTTGCGTTGTGCCATTGAAGGTGGTAAAGCGCTGAAGCTCGTTTTGACGGGAAGCTGTATCCCACAGACACCCCTAAAGGAGGTAAAATACCCCAGCTTACTATGAAAGAGAAACTACTTTTACTATCGCTCTGAGGAATAAGCAGAAAACCCAAGGCTTGCGTTTTAAAATCTTTTGCTAGGTACCTAAAGGACACCTGGTTAGCTTAATTTGTGGAGCGCTGGATGATTGTGTGGGTTAGGGATGCCAGGCCTGACCAAAACTCAGGTTCTTTAAAATATGTACAAGAAGAATGTGTTGCCTTTGTCACCTACAACGATAAATGGGTAGACATGGATTGGGACTATAAGACTTTTAAACCTTGTCTTCAGCTAACTCACACGTAGTCTGAGGAGGGGACTTAATGAAACCATGCCCAAAAGGGCTTCTACTACCTTGTGTCGTATAATCCAACTTTCTCAAACACATAAAGAAACTAACATACGACCAAAGCTTTCCCTTACTATTGTTAACGTTGTGTTAACTTGCACTCTTTCCTATTAGATGCTTCACTTTGCGACCCATGTTCGCACTCGTGACACGCGCAATCTTGTCATACATAACCGGACAAACCAGTTATGGATGCTGCGGCCTGTGATTGACGGTGAATACTGGTCTGGTCCTGACACCATTACTGTGGAGCCACAACAGAGTAAAAACTATGAGTTAACCTACAGACCACTTACTATGACTCAGGAAGGAAAGAAACACTTGGTATGAGTAGTTCCGTTATCATTTTATTTCATCGTATCGCAGTGCTCTGCGTTACATTGTCGGCGCTGTGTGGCATTGATTGTAATTTCTGAATTTTTAGGGTTTTTTCTACATCACTCCCCGAGTCATTCAGCCTGTTCACTCTTGGACGATACCGAGTTTTATGCATTATCTAATACTGTAATTTGTCGATATTTAGAGGATTTGACCCATTCCATCAAAATCAATCTTCAGGGATTAGGAAGGCCGTGCGCCATGCGCGTATGGCGCATAAAGCTACGAAATGGCCCATTATAAAAATACTTACCGGGCCTGTGATGCGCCCTGACCGCACAAAGCTAGTGAAATATAAACTATTTTGTGAAAAGGATTTTAATTTGTAAAAGTTTCACTTTGGTGAGACATAAACAAGCGAAAAACTACGGTGCCTTCGCTCGTTTGATCACGCTCGCTTCATTATTGTTCCCAGATCCTGAACTCGGACTTTGCATGCAAACGAGGCTATTGCTCGGAGTTCCATGTGCTTTCGTTTTCAAGCAGAGTTCGAGCGTTTTCGTCGCTTTGAATGTATTTGCATCGATTAGCCTCATGCCTCCGAAAAAAATCTTGAGATTGGACAGCTCGCAGAGAACGTTGTCTACATTTTTCAACACAACAGCGGAGCAGAATCGTGATACTGTGAGCGAAAACGACCGTGAAACGGACGAAACAGATGGTTCATAGGTATAGACTGTAATACACAAGCAATAAACCGTTGTTAAATTTTTACTGGCCCATTATTTACCCTAATGGCCCAAACGTTTTATAAATGGCCCATAACTTTCCAATGATAGGGGCTATAGGCTCATTTGCCTGTTAAACCTTCCTAATCCCTGAATCTTCCTTACTGATTTTTTAAAACAAAGATTTGGCCTTAAAAAACAAAGATTTTTAAAACAAGGATTTGGCATTAAAATGCCTAATCTTTGTAAGCCGTGATGTGACGCACTCTAGGGGTGAGAAATAACTCTTGGACTTACGGCAGAACCAGGAACCCAAGTCATGAGCTCCTGGCAGAACCTTTGCTTATCAAAAGCTCCGTAGAATCCGAACTTTTTCGTGTTTCTGAAGAAAACTCCTGGCGGGATTATCTTTAAGTTGCATCTTTTTTAAATCTCATCGAGTAACGTGATTCAAGTATTTAAGGGTTGCATATTTCTGTTTCAGGGCTCTGTTTTTTTCGCTCTCCCGGATGGCAATGGTCTCCTATATAATGTGACTGGTAATGCAGAGGGTCCTAAGCCGGTTAACAACATACAGAGAGAGGTACCTTGTAAAACGTCCTACACTGAAATGCTCACTGTCACCAACTGGCTGCGAAGACCTCAGAGGTTCGTGAAACGGTTTCTCTTTCGTGAACCGTTTGATAAAGCTAAAGAATTCGTAATTTTAAAGGTTTAGTGATTCTCTAAAGGTGTGCTAGATACAGAAATCAGCGGTTGAAGTGAAATTGTTTTGATATAATTTTTCACTGAGCGCAACTTTAGTTGTAACGAGTTTAATTAGCTCCCTAAACTTTTAAAAGCTCTTCATCAATAACAAGAAACACAACTTGAAATTTCAATCATTTACAATTTTTATCTACCCATTTTAACCCTAGCAGTACGTTACACTGTATGGTAATCAAACATGACAAAGCTTTCACTCCCATTTCACACTATAACCAACCCACAAAATCTGACCTACAAGTATTGAATATGATGACAGCCTTGGAGTCGTTGAAACTCCCTTCAATTCCATTTTCCTTTTTTAAGGGAAATTCTTTTTATTGTCATGAAATTGTTTTGATCCATTCTTCATAAAGTATTGGTACTGAGAAAACTATTGGGATTAATAGTATTTGTAGTTGTGTTGTAGCTTTTTGCGGCACCTGTGCCTCACGTTCTGTGGGATTTTAATTCAGCACCATTGCATATATTGTTACGTTAGATTCCGCGTGATAATAGAGATGCTGAAACCTGACAGACCAGACAGCGCTACTACGCTAAAGGGACTGGACTACATCGATGTCCCGGGTCTCTCCAAACGAGAATACAGATTGAACTTCTTTGCTCACAAAGAGGGAACGTTCAGTGCAAAGGTAAGAAATTTTAGAGTCACTTTTTACTACTAAATTTTTATGGCTTCAAACCCGTGGACTTTTTTAATTGTTTTGGGGTATCTAGTGGAAAGTGCGGCATTCGTATGAGGTAAAAGGCCATGGTATTACTTTGCTTCCAAGTTTTTTTTTAGTTGAAAAGTTTTCAGAAACATGAATGCAACAAATTAACGCTTCCAGCTATTGTATCAGTTTTTCTTCATACTTTACCTTTTCTTTGCAATTTAATAGTGCATCTAACTGTAGTGAGGTGAACAAAGACTTTTTAAATGTAAGGAAATACTCTAAAAGGAAGTGCAGCACAATTTTTTTATCAAGGCGACGAGTTTTTCAGATGCTATAATGATAACCGTAATTTACTATAAGTGCGAGAGACTGGCCGGTAAAATATTTATCCCAATAATAGAATGTCTGCGGTTACTCGAATTTTAACGTCGTTGTTTTTCTTTGATTCTGTTGTTAATCTACGGATCTTCAACTTGCAGGTAATATTCAGGAATGAACAGGGCGGAGAATATCTGTTTTATTATGTGACTTTCAAGGCAGTGCCCCCTGGTGTAATGGCTACCATTGACTTGTCCACGCCCATACGTAAGAGCACGTCACATGTGGTGACGTTACACAATCCCCTCAGTACCCCTGTGACATTCAATTCTCAGTGCTCTGTGGCTGACATCCAGCTGCCGCCAAGTTTCACTGTTCCTCCTTTATCTGAGGTTAGTGCATGCCTTGTTTTAAGATACTTTATGGCCTAGATTTCTTGTGATTATAACAGCTTGTTGTACTTCAATTCCAGATATGGTGCTACATTCACTCTAGTCACCTTTCGAAGAGTGACTTTTGTACTTTTCAGAACTATTATCGTGAACGTACTTGTGGGTTTTTGTTTTGAATTTTATTTTTCATGTCTCCCCGATTATAAATGAAGAAATGTAAAATGGTTTCCGTGTTTACATAGCCAGATGTAAACACGTAAACGTCGTGGTTTCCTACGCTTATCTCGTGTTCTCCCAACCTCCCAAGTGTTTACATCAGGCTATGTAAACACGGAAACCATTTTACATTTCTTTTATAAAATAGCTAATGAAAGAGGAACGAAAACCGTGTTTACAAACGCTCATGTAAAATGGTTTTATGGCCAATCAGAGCGCGCGTACTATTTGAATTATTTTATAAAGTTTTTTATTTACCTCCGGACAGTCTTTCATGATTGAAGAAGAATTAAAATCATTTACGTAACTTTAATTAGCACCCATGTTACTTTCATTTTTTTTTTTTTCAATTTTAGGGATAAGGGCCGGAAAAAATCGTCTTCAACTCATTAGTTCTAATATACCAGTCTTCATTTGCAAACTGGTGTGTAAAAATGCATGGTGTTGTGGACAAAATTAGAGGTAGTTCGTATTTAAAAACCTGTACAACAAGCTTAAGCTGTGATCGAGTTTATCATTAGTTTCTTTTCGTCTGTTCACTCTAGGGCTCGTGTATGTTTGAGTACCTCCCGCTGAAGGCCGGTGAGTTAACAGGCCGACTCTCCTTCAGCAGTTCAGAGTTAGGCGTGTATCAGTATGACCTCAACCTAACCGCAACACCTGCCGGAACGGAGGCTCCTGTTCATTTCCGTGCAGGCTTGGGTACCAGTCAAAGTCAGACCTGTCGATTTGTAAACTTTGCCAAGTCTAAAGTCGAGTACAGCTGCAAGGTAGTAACATTTCTTCCACCTTTATTGCTAGCTGTTTTAATGGTTTTGAGCTAAGTCGAAGACCAGAATAAAAGCACTGGAATTGAGTTACACAGTTTGTCATGGAGTTTTGAGCCACAGATAATAATGATATCAATTTCTGTCGTGCTAATCTTTTCCATCATCAATATCCAACTTCCTTTTTGGTTGTTTCATCCCACTCAGCTGTTTTTCTTTTCTTTTTGATCTCAAGAGTATTTTGCAGCTCCCTCTCGTTGAAGGCAACTTTGCGCGTGGCTAAGTGGGATCAAAATCCTTTTTCGGCGTAGCTCTTAAATTTGATACTTAGAGGAATCAATTGTGGGAAGAGTTGTATGATTTCCTGTAGTTTTTCACTAATCGAGTTTACTCTCTCTTAAGGTGGACAACACTGATTTCCATGTTGAAAAGAATATCACGGCAGCCTCAGCGTCAAGTGGAGGCACAGAGGTCGGTGTGGAAGTGACCTATGAACCATCCCGTCTGGGTGATACTCGCGCTACTCTGACCGTTTTCTCTCCAGTAGGAGGAGAATACGTGTTCCCACTGTTTGGTCACTGCAGTCCTCCAAAACCCCAGGGTCCGTACTCGATCAAAGCGGGTGCAACAACTTCAATTCCGTTTAAGAACGTGTTTTCACACACTACGCAATTTGCCTTCTGTCTGGATAGTCCGTGTTTTAATGTGAAGGCGAGCGAGAGCGTCCGTGCTAAGAAGACCCATAATATTATCGTTGGTTTCGAGGGAAACCAAGGAGGTTCCAAGGCTCCGCGCATGGGCAGACTCATGGTCACGTGTCCGAGGAGCGCAGGTGGTGCTGGGAATGTTACTTGGACCTTCTACCTGAAGGGCCTCACTCCGTGAAATTAAACTGAGTTAAATTTCCGTTTTATTTGTACCAAGGAGTGTTATATTTTTTGGACATGGTGTAGTGCTTCAACTTGTAGATATCATTCCTTTCACAATAATGTTTACGCATGCGTTCGATGCATTTTCGTTAACGTCTTCTACAAATTTGTGTTTAATGTATAAATTTTGTGGCTGAGGTCATGTTTTTCATATTATAGCGGTTAGGAAGTTGCTTTGATATAAAGCAATGCCAAGAACTTTAAAATAATGATAATAAAGTTTTGTGTAAGTTTTGACGCGTCTGGGTGTTGTCAAACTTGCCCTTTTCTCCAGATCAGCAGATTCTTTTCTCCCCTTCCTTTTCGCATCCAATAAAATAGAGTTATTAGGAATGTGCGAAGTATTATTCTGTCTGTAATCATACGAGTGATTAGCGAAATCGGACGACCGCGAAGCGGGAGTTTGATTTGACAATTACGAGTATGATTACTGACCAAATTGGAAGACACAATGGCCTGTTACCAGTTAATTCTACCATTTTAATTTCAAAGAAAAATAAAATGTTTATATTCAGAGAGGGGCTTCTAATTCCAATTCATTAACACTTTATCATTAGAGTCTGACAAAAACACACTAGAAAATTCTTGCACTTTTGAAAATACCCAGCTTGAGATGATATGCCATTGCTGTGGTTGCTGTAATCAACTAAGTGATTGGTGGATTTATTTCAGTTTACTCAAAGGCATTGGCTGATGCAACAGTCCAATTACAACTCTACAAAATTATTAGTAGAAAACAGGACAGTTCATTCATTATGAAAAACTCCTGTGTTCATCCACTATGTAATATTCAGGTATAGAGTTATAATAAATTTACATAGTTGCAATGTCTTGCTAATAATATATCTGTTTCTACAGATGATATTCTTTTAATTATGAAGAAGTAATAATCTCTGTCTCTCAATTTTACCTAAAGATTCTGCTTACATAACATTTTTGTGGAGATTATTCCAAAGCTGCTATAGCGACGCATTTTACGAAGATAATTGGTTCGGGGCATTGGAATAGCTTGTTTATTTAAAGAACCCTGGAAAGTCTATGGAGGAATGTCAGATCGATTAACTAATTCAGAAGCAGAACCACGTAGGGATTTACAAACCATTAAGCCCTGTGATTGTATTGTTAGGTTCTGCGATTTTTCATGCGAATATGTTCTACTTAAGGCTCCACTCAAGTTGAGGACGTAATGCATCTACTCGTTATCTATACAGATCATTCAACGATGAGAGAAGTTCTATCGATGAGCTCTCCTAAGTTATGTATATCTCATGCTGTTGAAAGTCAGCATATTGACTTTTTAAGCAATTCCATAACACTTCAGTTTTCCCAGTGTGTGATATTCTTCCTCATTAACACTGGTTGTATCACTAAACCTCATTTGTCTAACCGGTAGATTATTCTTATCCGTGAGAATACCACTGTCTTCACGCCACACATTGTCATTTTTGTCACAGTTACAAAGAAGCTGGGAGTCTGCGCATGAGTTGGTCATTCCGCAAGTGATGCTCCGCCCCAATAATTCATCTGAGTGGAGGTCACGTGATACCCACCAGCCTATGCCTGTCATGAAAGAATTATGACACTCATACTGGATAAACTGTTCACAGTTTGAGGAGATTTTAGTGAGACTTGCCAGCTGAGACAGACTTGCTCCGGTGTAATGAATGTCCCGTACGTAATTGTTAGTACCTTTCACGCGTGTTCTTCTTTCAGTGTCGTGACTGATGGCTGTCACGCCAACCCCATTTTTGTCGCTCATGTCACAATAAACTGTAAATGGTGCCAGTCCTTCTGCGCCATCTGGATCAATGACATAAGTTCCACTTACACTGGTCTGTTGTCTGATAGCTGAACAAGACTTAAAATAGCATTTCAATCCCTCTCCAAAGTAACCATGGTTACACTTGCACGAATACGCACCAAGTTCAATTGCACAGGTAGCCGCGTGACGACAACCGTAGATGTTTCTTTCACACTCATTCAGATCTTTAAAGAAGACATTAGAGATGTAAGAAAGAAAAGGAGCCGTTAATTGAGGTAAAATACTCTACAACATAAGCTCTAGTAAAGAGTAATTCAATGGGATCTCAATGGTTTAAGCTTAGACTCTCTCCTCCATATGGCGATCCCTTAAATAACATCATAGCTCATGATTCAAAAGGGGGATCTTTGTATTAGCTTCATGGTTATAAAGTTTATTTCTCTCAGTAGATTATGCCGATTAATCTTTGAAAAACATTCGTTATTAAACTTGCTCTGTGAAATAGAGTTCCTGATGTTTATTTGAGAACGAAAACCCTTTTTTGTTCCTTTACCTTTTTTACAAGTAAACTGATGACAATCACTGCATTGCATGTCGTTCCATTCATAATTGTGTTTCACACCAAAAGCCTGTACACAATCCTCTTCTTTATAGTTATATGGTTGATTCTTGGCCCAAGCTGTAAAGTTTCCTTCTCCTCGATCGGCCCAGGTGAAGTTTCCCTCCACTGATTTGTCATTTAAGCCCAGCCATGTTTTTTCTCCATTGTGACGATGTGACGAGCGCAAGTCTCATCGGCGAAGAAATGAGCTTCTTAAAATAAGGATGTTAATAGTCATATTGAGAAATACTAATTTAAGGCAATAGTAAACTATCTGAAATGACCAGATTTCGCTCCCTGAAAACGAACATAAAAATACGCTTTAAACCGTTATTTTCTTTAGTAGGGAAGGTCATGGAGATTCATCGTCAGAAACTCTTGCAATGTTGAAAAACTCTTGCATACATACTGTTTGAAATTGAGGAAATGATTTACCTCAATCCATGTTGTGATTCCGTTGTGGTCTGGTGCCGAGTTTCCATGAGCTGTTGTGCTGTGATTGGTTGATGAAAGGACTGTTGGTGTTACATTGTAACTTCGGATGAAATGTAAAAACTGCAAGGAAATCCAAAAATACTCAGATCATGGAAGCTCTTGATCTGCGTGATACGATTGAGGGCCAACATCGCTACTCTCCCTGAATGGGATGCTGATTTGAATATAATCATGCACATGACATCATAAAAAGTTTAGGAAAATACGTTTATTCGTTTTTACCTGCACACAAGTAACGATGGGTTGCTATGCGCTTAAGAATTATTCACAGAATTTGCCTAAAGCAGGCCTCGTCGCCAAGTCAAATTATTTGCAATCACATAATCAATTTGAAAAATTTCATACATGGCAGGCGGACAATCCTTAAAACGAAGGAAAAAAACAGAAAAACCGTATGCCCTACGGCAACATTTGAAACATTAAACAAATAAATGACATCTTCACTACTGTCACCAATCACAACTGATCTTATCACCAGCTTTTCCCGGTTGAGTTAAAATTTGTGACTACTTTCCAAGTAGCCTTTCACCTACCTTGCAGTAAGCGTTGTTGTTTTCATCGATTGGTGGTTTTGTGTTTGGAAACAAAAAAGAGCCATGTTCAGCGAAGAATGGCTTGTGTAATTTGGAAAAAGCTAGCCAGTTCTGTAAAAAATTAATTTGGAAAGATGTGCACAGCGGTAATGAAATTTCATTGACTAAATCAGGGTTGGCTCGAATGTGCAACGCAAGCATTGAGTGTAAGGAGTAAACAGAGAAACAAAGAAGGCTTTGATTAGGTTACTTTTGTTGGCTCTTTTATTGGAAGTCAGACAAATCTGATGGAGTCGATTTTTAATTCAGTGTCAAAGATTGATTTTGCCTCAATAAGTTTTCTGAATGGTCTGGAGAACTTGCGCCACCTTCTAAGCCAATAACATGCAAAGTCTCAACAAATTGCGACTAGGTCACTTGTTTCCCGCGCTTAAAATGAGCAAGGTTCTTACATGCGTTGCCTTCCATTATTTTGCTCGCTCTGCGATATTTCATTTCGTTCAAAGTAGCCGTTTTAGTTTTTTGTTTTAAGACACTCGATCAAAGCGCGGTCTACTCAGTTTTAGTTAAAAATTGTTTATCAACCCGAGTTTTCATCAGGTTTTATTTAAGTGGAAAGGCATCCCAAGAATACACTATTCTGAATATTGTGCCTCCCATTTCTGTAAGCACCCTGCTTTTTTTACATGTGTTTTCTCTTGTCACTCTCATATCTAAGGCATCATAATCCAAAATAGCTATACCTACATTTTTTTCAAAAAATTAACGCATACCACACTAATGTCTTCATGTTTGCCATCAAAGTTCTACAATTCACGGAGACAAATTTTGGCAGAGCTCTTAGTTAAATCCTCGGTCCATAACAGCGGGGCGTCATATTCTTTCCCAGTCCTTAGTTGTTCTGCTGTCACAAGGAGCACAGGAGCCTCCTTAAACTTGTCCTCCAAATCACATAATCGAAAAATTGCGTTTAAAAAAAAGAAAGAAAGAAAGAAACATCTCAAAATCATTGGTGTGTACACTTTAGAACATTTGTGAGTTATTAATAGCTTTTGAAAATGCCTTTGATTACTCTGGGTCTATGTGCGTAAAAAAATTTTACCTAGTGAAGTGTGTAAGTTACAGTCCGCGTCAATCTCGTATATTCCTTGTTATTTTCGTTTTCAGCGGCGGATCCAGACCTTGAGCATAGGGAGGGGGGCGGTTTTTGGTCGCTTGCCATGCCGGCTTTTCTTCCTTTTGCTATTCTCTTTTTTTTTTTTTTTTTTTTTACCCAAAATAGCAAGGGAAGGGGGGGATAGCCGAGTCCCCCAGGCCCCTCCCCTAGATCCGCCGACGGTTTTGTCTTGATTTTTTTCTTCCTACTTTAGTGTGTAGTTTCTCTCAGCTAAGCTCATCGCGGAAAACCCACACAGACATTACAGCTTGACGGAGATTGCAAGGCAGACTTGAGGAACGGTTTAAGGCCCAACCATCCTACCTTTGGAAAATTCACATCTGCACAGTTTGTTCCAGACCACCATCCCTGCATCCTTATATGTCCCGTCATTCCGTGAAGCGGTGCTCCCTGGTTTATCAGGATAAAAGCGAAATGGCGGAAAAAGGACCGTCTCACAGCTTGGGTCAGACCACTTGGGAACTCGAAGGAGTTTTATTCGGCCACGCTCGATGGGAAAACCTGTTTTCATGTTTAAAGATAAAGATAAATAATAATGTTGGCTTTGAAGAAATTAAGATTACTTTTATTGCTGAGTTATTCGTTGCTTACTTATTTTCTTTTATTATCTTTGGTGATAATAAAAATCACAAAATGCCCACTGTAACTTAACAATTTGAGAGTTCATTAAACGGATTACTAAAAAGTGCAGTAAAATCAGAGATAAGAATGTAGGGCTGTGGGGGCTAGTTAGGGTAAACTCGTTTTCACTTCAAACCGATATACTGAAACATCATACTAGACCCACCACAAGTAATCTTAACAACCTTTATGTCCCAATCAGTTTTCTCTTTCTTATGAATTACTTGTGTAACCTCCTCTCTTACCTTCGCAGCTTCCTGTGTGATACATAAGATTATTCTCCAGTCCCTTGCAGTAGTTCAATTCATGCCAGCACTTGTTGTCGTACGTAGTTCCATTCGCAGTGCACACTGGGTCCTGATATGACGGGTAGTCTTTGAAACACTCACAGCAAGCTTCATGTGGCCTGTAAGTCTTACTGACTCCAAATGATGGACAGTGAACGCCAGGGCATGGATTTAAGTCTGAAAAGCGCGTTCAATAAATATTCATCTGATTATCTGAATTATGCAAGCTTCCATCCTTCGCATTTTTAATAGGTTTGTCAAATTTAAGAAGTCAAACACTCATTTTACGCATCTATCCAGAGACATTGAGGGGGTCTACTTGAGTACGTAAATTGATGCACAGTTAAGCCAGCCATAGGATTTCTTTCGGGGGTCGAGCATTAAACCGCAGACGAAAAATGAGTTGAAGTGTGTCTGCTGCTACTGACCCCAGAATATTCTCCGCCCTACGGATGAATGCTCCTCTTTTAACTTTTTGCTTAGGGTTTAAATTGTCAGTGCTCTGTTGATGACTTCAGCGCTATCCACTGGTCTGGCAGGTTCCAAACGCCTTAGACCACGTGGTATTAAGGATGAGACTGGCGAGAAATACTGCCAGCGATAGCGACATTTCGTTTTTCCTCAGCCAACTCTTCTTTAGATGGCAATGATCATCTAGATTTAGATGACAAAGCTCTCTTCAGCAACTACAGACCTATTTCTGTTCTACCGTGCTTTTCAAAGTTTTTGGAACGAATAATTTACAACCGTATTATAAATTATCTCAATGACTCCGATGTCTTATGTGATAATCAACATGGCTTTAGAAAAAATCGCTCTCCTAGCCTTGCGCTTATCGATTTGTGTGACAAAATTTCTTCTGCATTTGATAGAAAAGAACATGCCATTGGAGTATTCCTAGATCTTTCGAAAGCGTTCGATACGGTAAATCACGACATTCTTTTTGACAAACTCCATCATTATGGGATCCGTGGTCTGGCACTAGAATGGGTCAAGAGTTATTTTTCTGAGAGGACACAATTTGTCGAATTTAATAACGTTAGATCTGCCCCACAGGGGATTTCCTGTGGGGTGCCTCAAGGTTCTATTCTTGGTCCCTTATTTTTTATCCTGTATGTTAATGATTTGAACAATGCTTCCCTGCTTGATGCAATCTTGTTTGCTGATGATACAAACTTATTTATCTCCCATAATGATCCTGTTTACCTAATTAACACATTAAATAGAGAATTAAACAAATTGTCAACCTGGTTTGCAGCAAACCGGCTCTCCTTGAATTTAGCCAAGACTAATTTTATGGTATTCAAGCCTTGGCAAAAGAAGCAATCCTTTGAATTTCAAGTTTTCATTAATGAGCAGCCTATTCTTCGTGTTTCTGAGACCATGTTTTTGGATGTTTTATTAGATGACAATTTGACCTGGAAATCGCACATATCCTTAACAGCAAATAAATTATCCAAATCTATAGGTATTATTCATAAATCTAGGTTTTTTCTCTCTACTCACTCCCTTCGTACTTTATACAATTCTATGATCCTTCCATATTTGTATTATTGCAATTTAGCTGGGCTGGTACCTATAAGTCAAACCTTCAAAGAATTGTAACCTTACAGAAACGTGCGTTAAGAATAGTAAGCAATTCTACATACATTGCCCATACTGGCCCTATTTTTAAGGAACTTAAACTCTTAAAATTTCATGATATCCATTCGTTTCAATTAGGTACTTTTATGTTTTCATTCGTGAACTCTACACTCCCTTCCAAATTCAATAACTTTTTTTTACTGAATAGTCAAATCCACAATTATAATACTAGGAATGCTCAGTCCTTCCGCTTGCCACTGTGCAGAACGAACACCAGGAAGTTTTCAATTTACTTTCAAGGTCCAAACTTTTATAATTCGCTAAATTCTGACATAACTAGTTCTCCCTCCTCCGCTTCTTTTCAAAGAAAGCTTAAGGAATTTCTTCTCTCTAGGTATTAACTTCTGTAAGGCAGTAATTCTTAACTAACTTACTTAATATGTGTGTGCGTGTGTGCGTGTGTACGTGTGCGCGGTCAAAGTTAATTACCATAAGTCCATATTGTAATTCTAATATAAGATTAGTTATTTTAAGTGAGAAAGCCTGACTTGTTATAAGCCTCGTGGTTTCTTTCAGGTTTTCTCGCCATTTATTCTCTGTCATCAATTTTCTTCATTTTTTTTTCCCATCTGTAAATGTTGTATATGGCAAAATAAATATTGTATTGTATTGTATATTGTATCTCAGGAGTGACTGTAAACATAATAGTTTTCAATTGATATTTCCTTTCTGTAATTAATTTTATTTCTTTTGTATCACCTGTTAGTAAAAAGGTTTTTTCCTTTAGTATTGCATTTCAACTCGAAAATAAAGTTAACGCTCCTTCAACCATTCATTTCAAAAAAGTGAAAGAGAATTAAATTAATTTTTCATACATATACTTAATAGAACGGCCGTTCCTTATTAAGTGGAAACAATATTAAGGTCATGGGAACACTAAAAAACGAGTGAAGAAAAATGTCAGATGTAGGTAGGATCAAATATTTTCAGCGTAAGAACGACTTTCTTAAAAGTTAAGAAGTGGTCCGTTTGTAATCACGAATTCGTGAGACACGTCTGGTATCCACAAAATATTTCAATGCACGCACATGGAGAGAGCTTAACTTACTCTGAACAGTTAATTTTGCTGAGGCGTTTACTTGTTCCAGCAAATTCTCAGCTGAGCAGGTGTAAACTCCTTCATCTTCAGGCCTGACATCTCTCACTACCAACCCGCCACTGGACTATATTAGTTGACTACAAGCAAGAAACTATGAATTCACCCTTCAATGTTACGGCGAGCGAGGGCATCCGTGCTAAGATGAACCATAATGTTATCGTTGGTTCGAGGGAAACCAAGGAGGTTACAAGGCTCCACGCACGAGCAGACTCATGGTCACGTGTCCGAGGAGCGCAGGTGATGCTGGGAATGTCGCATGGACCTTCTACCCGAAGGGCCTCACTCCGTGAAATTTAACTGAGTTAAATTGCCGTTTCATTTGTTCAAAAGAGTGTTTTATTTTTTGGACCTGGTGAAGTGGTTCAACTTATAGATATCACTCATTTCAGAATTATGTTTACGCCTGCATTCGATGCACTTTCCTTAACGTCTTCTACAAATGTCTGTTTAATGTAAACATTTTGTGACTGAGGTCATGTTTTTTCATATTATAGCGATTATGAAGTTGCTTTGATATAGAGTCATGCCAAGAATTTTAAAATAATGATAATAAAGTTTTGTGTATAAGATACGTCTGGGTGTTGTCCAACTTGTCCTCTTCTCCAGATCTTTTGTAATATCACAACTCCGCGAGACCTCTGCAATTGCTGCGTCTCCTTAAAATACCCGTGAAATAGACCTAAAATTTCAGAAAACCCCGTGTGATTATAAACACTAGTTTTCAATCAATAGAACACTATTTCCGTGTGAAAATAGCTTCTTCTGAAAAGTTGACGCAAACCATCGTCGACTTCTTAAGGTTCATAAATTTCGAGAATTATCCCAACTTTGAAGTGTTTACTCTAAACTCTATAAATTACCAAGAAACTTAAAGAACAAGTTCCTCTCGGAAACAATTTCTGGACTCTAAGCACTCGTGTGAAACAGCTGAAATCTGGTGCCTGCGACTTCTCTTTAGCTCTCAAGTTAAAAGTTTTTATTTTGTTGTAACGAATAGCAGAAGATTCTTTCCTCCCCTTTCTTTTCGCGTCCGATAAATAGTTTTATTAGGAATATGCGGAGTCTTATTCGGTCCGTAATCATACGAGCGATTAGCAAAACCGGACGACCGAAAAGCGGGAATTTGATTTGACAATTACCAGTGTGATTATCGACCAAATTGAACGACACTACCACGGCCTGTTACCAACTAATTGTAACCGTCATAATTTCAGAGAAAAATAAAATGTTATTATTCAAAGAAGGGCTTCTAATTCCATCCTTTTAATTGTGAATACATTTTACCTAAAGATTCTGCTTACATAGCAGTTTTGTGGAGACTATTCCAACGCTGCTATAGCGACACATTTCACGAAGATAATTGGTTCAAGGCATTGGAAGAGTTAGTTTACTTAGAGAATCCCGGAAAGCCTATGAGGAAATGTCAGATCGATTTACTAATTCAGAAACAAAGCCACTTACAGATTTAGACCCTTTAATTGCTTTGTTAAGTTCTGCATTTTTCATGAGAATATGTTCTACTTAAGGCTCCACTCAAGTTGAGGACGTAATGCACCTACTCTTTATCTCTACAGATCATTCAACAATGTGAGAAATTCTATCAATTATTCAAACTGACAGAGGCTGGGCAATTGGCAAGAGTTGAATTCCCGTTCATTCTATCGCTAAGTCTCTCGTTTCAGTCTTTATAGCTAGCTTTAAGCAATATAGTACTAGACCCTGTGAGCAGGGTAACTGGGATACCTGGATGGTACTGGATCCTTGGAATCAATTGTAGCGATACTACGGGTGTCGGACTAGTATACTGAAATAGTGAGCTCAATTCTGGCCAAGGGCATACACCTATTTCAAAACATAGGCATGCTATGCATGCAAGAGTTATTTTCTGTAGGTTGGGTGGATTACTTGAAACATTGTAAGCAGTCTACATTCTTACAAAAGGAAAGAAGAGTATTAACGCGGAAGAGAACGAAAATGTAGAATTACCTCGCACACAGGTATTTTGTGATAGATTATGTGTGTTATGCGAATAAATGTAACCAAAAATAAACTGTATTGGTGCCACGGATACCTGTTAGTACAAAACACAGACAGCAGACTGCAGAGTGGGTACAAAATGCAGACTGAGAATCTGAAGAGTTTTTACGTCTGGCATATAATATCATGTCATCTTACAGCTTACCGAGCGTCACGCAATGGCTTTTCCGCGATCAACCTTCACGATTATTTGCACTATTGTGGAAAATTCCTGGCCCATTTCTTGCTGAAAATCGATCGTAATATAATTTCAAGCCTTCAATATAGTCCTCTTACTTTGCGCGCGAGTTGGTTGATGTGATGTCTGCACAGATTTTACCAATGTAATAAAAGTAGATAACGTAAATAACAGTAATGGTAAAGCAAGCTTAAACAGGATTTTGGATCACGTATTTATTAAAAAAGAATATCCATACAACTACAATGAAAACAAACATAAGATTCACCTTTCTGATCGTGAAATTAATACCATTCGCACTGTTTAGTGTGGATTGGCCGCGAACAATACGACTTGTGTATGCGTCTGTAAGTATTTTGAGCGTTTGCGCCATAATGCTCCAGGTGATCGTAATCCAAACACGTTGAAATACAAAACGACTGACAAAAGAGTTTTAAAAGCAAAAATCTCGTGGTTCATCATGTGACCCGGCCCTGTCCGTGCATGACAACGTCAATCATCATCAAGGTAACACGCGTGATCAGCACGTGAACACCTCATTGGATCACAGGTAGTTGTCATGGTGTTGAGGGCCCAATGACCTCTGGGTACTGTTGCGCAATTTTTCCATCTTGTGGAGGAAAAAAAAAAGACTACCAAAAAAAAAAGCCATTTTATAACTGGGCTACCACAGGTGTCCCAGTAATTAGAGACAAATGTCTTGATGAGGACCTCTCCTGAGTTATGTATATCTGATGTTGTTGAAAGTCAGCATACTGACTTTTTAAGCAATTCCATAACACTTTAGTTTCCCAGTGTGTGAAGTCCTACCTCGGGAGGACCGTTTGTATTATTAAATGTCATTTGTCTAACCGGTAGTTGATTCTTATCCGGAAGAATACCACTGTCTTCACGTGCATCCAGTTTTGTTCATATTCTTGAAAGATATGATGAACTTCAGTTTATGATACTAAGGACTCAATGAATATTTCCTCTTGTTCAGCTGTGAGATTTAACAATGCACTGTGAACTGGTGAATGGTAAGGGTTTCGTGGTAAGAAATTTCTTGTAGATTTCGCTCCCTGAAAACGAACATAAGGCAGTAATGAAATCTCATCGATTAAATAAGGGTTGGCTCAAATGTGCAACGCAAGCATTAAGTGCAAGGAATAAAGAGAGAAACAGGAAGGCGTGGATTAGGTTACTTTCGTTGGCTCTTTGATTGGAAGTCAGACAAATCTAATGGCGTCAATTTTTAATTCAGCGTCAAAGATTGGTTTTCCCTCAATAGGTTTTCTGAATGGTCTGGAGAACTTTCACCACCTTCGCGGTCAATCACATGCAAAGTCTCTACAAATTGAGACTAGGTTACTTGTTTCCTGCGCTTAAAATGAGAAGGGTCATTACATGTGTTGCTTTTCATTACTTTGTTCGCTCTGCGATATTTCATTTTGTTCAAACTAGCCGTTTTAGAAATTGTGGGAGATTATTCAGTTTTTCTTGCTTACTAAGCGCGAAATTTAAATATACTCGGATTGAACAGTCGAGTCGAATGAGAGAAATTGACGAGCGTGTGCGACTTTTTCCACTCTCCATTATTTTTTTAACTCCTTTGGTTGAATTGAAATACGGTAAGAGAGTGATACCCGTAAAACTACATGACGACGCGCGAGGCTTCGGACGTTATTACCAGGTTTAAATCACACGCTAGAGGAAGGAGAATATGAACCTTTTTGTGCACATCAAGAACAAAATCTCATTCACGCAGCGCGAAATTTAAATACACGCACATTAAACAATCGAGCAAATGACGATAGTCTTCTACATGATTCAATGGCGTGGTAGGCTTCGGACGTTAATACCAGGTTACACATGCTCTCATCACCTTTGCATCGTTCAGTGAGCCTCTAATTGAATATATCTTTCGCCAGTTTTAAGCAATATAAAGGAAACATGGTGACACCTCTTTACTTCAGATACGAAAGCTACAGTCGCCCCACCATCCACCCCACCGTGACTATTTGCATCCTAAAAAATCAACCAGAATCACCCCCACGGGGAGGATTTGTCTTATCATTAGTTTTGCCGATGGTTTAAATCTGCCGCTCGTATGATAATCGGAAATTTTGAAAAGTCCCGCGTGTATTTTAAAGCTGTTTCCGCCATTGTTCCAAAGTAGCCATATACGGTCATTGTTAATCGTTAAACAAAACCTGCTTAACTTTAAGCTGATCCGCTTTTCTTGATACGTAGCAACGATAGCTAGTTACTTGCTACAAGACAAAGTCTACAGAACACATACGAAAATTGAAGACTTAGATGTTGCCACTGACCCGTAGGGACCACATAGCTCACTGATACGGGATCGTACCTTATCTCGCACAATTCCTTGACACAGGCTCGGAATCCAGTTTTGTTCATATTCTTGAAAGATATGATGAACTTCAGTTTACGATACTAAGGACTCAATGAATATTTCCTCTTGTTCAGCTGTGAGATTTAACAATGTCCTGTGAACTGATGAATGGTGAGGGTTCGTGGTAAGAAATTTCCTGTAGATTTCGCTCCCTGAAAACGAACATAAGGCAGTAATAAAATCTCATCGATTAAATAAGGGTTGGCTCAAATGTGCAACGCAAGCATTAAGTGCAAGGAATAAAGAGAGAAACAGGAAGGCGTGGATTAGGTTACTTTCGTTGGCTCTTTGATTGGAAGTCAGACAAATCTAATGGCGTCTATTTTTAATTCCGCGTCAAAAATTGGTTTTCCCTTAATAGGTTTTCTGAATGGTCTGGAGAACTTTCACCACCTTCGCAGTCAATCGCATGCAAAGTCTCCACAAATTGAGACTAGGTCACTTGTTTCCCGCGCTTAAATTGAGAAGGGTCATTACATGTGTTGCCTTTCATTACTTTGTTCGCTCTGCGATATTTCATTTTGTTCAAACAAGCCGTTTTAGTTTTTGGTTTTACGACACTCAATCAAAGCGCGGTCTACTCTATATTACTTTTAGTTTAAAAATCTTCATCAACCTGAGTTTACATCAAGCTTTTTTTAAGTGGAAAGGCACCCAAAGAATACATTATTCTGAAGGTTGTACCTCCCATTCCTGAGCACACTGATTTTTTTAGGAGAGTTTGTATGTGTCACTCACTTACCTGAAGCATCATAATTCAAAACAGCTATAGTTACATTTTGTTAAAAAATAAACGTATACCGCATTAATGTCTTCATGTTTGCCATCAAAGTTCTGCAATTTGTGGCGACAAATTTTGGCAGAGCTCTTAGTTACATCCTCGTTCCGTAACAGCGCGGAGTCATATTCTTTCCCTGTCCTTAGATGACTAAAGAGCACAGAAGCCTCCTTAAACTTGTCCTGTAAATCACATAATTGAAAACATGCACTGAAAAAAAAACAGACACATTTCAAAATCATGAGTATGTACACTTTAGACCATATGTAAGTTATTACTAGCTCTTGAAAATGCGTTTCAGAGTTAATCCCTTTGATATCATAGTCTGACATTTTAAAGATTTGTCTGAGTCTATGGGCGTAAAAAATTTCTGCCAATATTCTTCAGAAGTGTTTAAATTACAGTCTACATCAATCTTGTATATTTCTTGTTATTTTTGTTTTGTTTTGATTTTTTTTCCTTCCTCCCTCGGTTTGTAGTTTCTCTCAGCTAAGCCTATCGTAGAAAACGCACATAGATATTCCAGCTACACTTTTCAATTATAAAAACTTCGTATTTATTGTAGAAAAGGGATAAAGTTAAGTGATGTCACTGTTTCCCTCGACGGGTTTTAACAATTTTTTCTCTTAGATATGAGCTTCAACGTGTCCCTGGTTGTTTTGTTCTTTCCTTCCGGGAAAATTTTGCACACAGTGTAATTCTGCACCTGTGTGAGAGAATATACTCTCTCCCGTTGTAGAGATCGTCGTCATCCACTCGAAGTTTCAGCAAAGAGTAAAAGAAGCAGCCAAGGTTCTTGGATGAACTTTAGTTTCCTTGCTAATTTGCGAAGTTCGTAGTCGGCCAGTTGGGCAAAACAGGAGCGCAATGCCTTGATTTGCTCTTGCTTTTAGTCAATCAGAGCGCGCTTTATATAGGTAACAAGGCTAACCCTTGTAATGACTAAACTATACCACCTTTGAACAGAAGCCCTATTTACGAGTAAGGCTATAGGGTCACCATAAACGAAGATTTTCGTTAACCAATACTCATGATAAGACGAAAAAACCTCTTTGTCTTTACTTAGCATGGGTCAATCAAAGCCGGTTACCGCCGCCTAATGCCCGTTACCCGGCGCCATCTGTCTTTCGAACAGGCCCTTGGGTTTGGGTTTGGGTTTCACCTTACGACCCCTGTTCCAGGCACAATCACTGATTGTACCATTAGCAGCCGCTCATGGAAAAGGATATTGAAACCTCTGAAAATAGGTGTTGTTACTGACCCGTTAGGACCACATAGCTCACTGATACGGGATGGCATCCTGTCTCGTACAACTCCTTGACACAGGCTCTAAATCGGCTAATATTCATGTTCTGAAATTTAGAGGGGAAGTTATTAATAAAGAAAACAAATTAATCACTAAATAAAAAGTTTTACTAAAAGCATTTGTATTACTGTGGTATGGCATATACTCCCAACATTACGAATGCTGGACTTCTTAGCAGTGGTTCTATGAGAGGCTCACGGGCCGTTGTGCTGCGATTGGTTGATAACATAATTTTATGTAAGCATTACAACGTCGAGTGCCCTGTTCAAACTATGAAGAAATAAGGCAAACTAAGGTCACAATTTCTCCCATCACCCGAGCTTATTCTGGAGTTCCCTTTTTGTTGATATAAAAGGCCTTAGAGCACAGCTGCTCACACGGAATGAGGAGTGAAAAGAAATGAAATAATGAGCACAGTATTACGCTTGGTCCGCCAAAACGACTTTGTTTTTGCTAGCGTTACCCAACAAGTAACAGTGGCTTCCCAAGCACCCAAGAGATCGGAAAAGATAAGATAAAAGAACATTCAAAATATGTCTTACAAAAATCTGGTGAAAATTTAGATTCAAATTGACAACAATTTCGCTGTAAAATTCGAACGCGTTATCGCAAAAAAAATTAAGAAGTCAACGAGTACGAGTAAGCTATAAAGACCAAAACTCAATTGATAAGAGTCACATAAACGTAAGAAAAAGATTTCACTCCCTGAAAACACTACGATGAATTTATAAATCATTTCCATGCTGATTTTTTTCACCAATTATTATGACTGATTTAATAGCTGAAAATACAAACTATTTATCAGAACAGCGAACAAAAGGCCATCCATTGAACAAATGTTATTTCCCACTAAGTTAATATAAATCGACACTTTCCACACAGCCTTCTAGTTACCTTACATTGGACGTTGTAATTTTAATCGGTTGGAAGTTTTCCGTTGGGAAACTTGACAGACCCATTTTCAGAAGGAAACACCAACAAATCCTGTAATCAAGATACCAATACTTTGGCTTAAATTTCCGTGAGGAGTACTTTCATGTTTTTCATGCATATACTCAGTCCAAATTAATTCATTTTGGAGTGAGTGCGTGGGTGGGTGCGCGTGTAATTGTCAAGTATTCATGATTTCGTCCGTTTTAATTCCATAGTTTGGTTACCCTTTTATTCTCTCGAACTTACCTTCATAATAAGGATCGTTTCTTCTCAAAAATAAAAGCTTTAAGTCTCTGGTTGAGTTCAACCCCACAAACTTCGTTGGAAACGCCAAGGTAAATTGCCATTGCATTGAAGTCTCCAAGTCCATTGAGAAGGGTGACAAATTTCTGAACGAAGTCCTACACTTGTAACTTCACGGCCAGTATCTACTAAGCTGAATGGTTCTCCAATCCCTCAAACAATGTCAAATCGTTGCCAATTACCGCAAAAGGAGCCCAGTGCTTGACGTCACTAAACTCTTCTGATTCTCGTAGGAACTTTTGGGCAAAACTGAGAGATTCACTTACACTTTTGCCATCTACTAGATATTGGTAAAAAGATTTCATGAGTTCGAAGGTGGCCTCGTCGTCGACAGTACCCAGAGACACCAAAAGAGACGAAGCACCAGATCCTAAAAAAGCTCGCGCAATTCCCACTACACCTTCAGCCTTGATTTCTCCACGGCCGCTATGACAACAAGTTAGTACAACTAGTCTAGCACGAACATTTGCTTGTAATACATCTGCCATTGTCAGGATGAAATCTTCCTCAGTGACAACCTCACTTGACCTCGTGGGATTAGGCGACAACGCAATTTCACCATTTTCAGTGGAACCATGAGCTGCAATGTGTATCAGGGCCACAGAGCTTAACCGTTCCAACACTTCGCGTTTTGTAGCTTCTTCTCCAGTAAGAGGTTTCACTTTGAGAATTCTTCCGATCATTTCCACTTCTTCCCTGGCATATGGGAGCCGCGAAAAATAATTTCCCTTCCAACAAAACTCGATCGACGGATCTCCAACAAGCAGTGCTCCACTGTCACAGTGGTAGTTTTTCGGACAATCCACAATCAACTTTAAACTGGTCAGCGATGGTGTTAGTCTAATTCTGAGATACTCACTTAAGAACTTACCGCGGTGGTCTTTAAATGCTGCATAAGGAAGCATGAAGAGTGGACCATCGGGCACAAATAATATCTCTTGGCTTGTAATATATTCTTTGATAGGAGCAATGAGAAACTTGTAAAAAGTCCGTAAACGACATTCACTCTCAACAGTTTCAACGCATGAACAACAACAACGCCACCATGCACTGACACTTACCATCTGAAAAAAATCTTTATCAACTTCAACTTGTGTAAATTGCACACTTCCCCCTTCTCCCAAAACCCAAAGGTTAATATCGTTGTGGCCAATGGACATAAAAACTACTGTTGTCGTTGTGTCGAGCAAAGTCTCGATATCCTTTACAAGAGAAACCTCATCAAAACAATGACGTAATTTCAAGAGATCTGCTAATGCTTGGGCTCGTCCTTGCTCTGCTGTAAAAAGAGCTTCCCTCACTTTTCCTTGTTTTAATTGTACTTTCCAAAAGGAAGTGTAGGCTTGATTATGAAGATCCCGCCAGGAAATTTTCCATTCATCTTTATCAAGAAGATGTTCTCTCATGCTATCAAACAATCTTACACTGGATTTATAGCAGCATTCACTCTCGCACAATTTTCCAAGATTAAGATAAGCATTTCCAAGGTTGGCGTATGCATGCCCTTCAGAGGGTCTATCACCTATTTCCATCGCAATGTTGAGCTGTTTTTTGTAGTAGTTTAAAGCCTTCTTGAAATCACCGAGCACACCATAGGCATTGCCGAGATTTGTATATGCACTCCCCTCTTCCGCGACGTCTTTAACTTCAAGGGCAAAAGTAAGATGCAGTTGGAAGTACTCGATAGCCTTTTGATAAACACCGAGGGAGAAAAATGCATTTCCAATATTAGCATATGCATTTCCTTCTCCAGCTCTGTCTCCCACATCTTTGGTGATGCTTAAGTGTCTCATGTGAAACTCTAGCGCTTTTTCTGGATCACCAAGAGAAAAATAATCATTTCCAAGATTGGCATATGCACGTCCTTCTCCAGCTTTGTCTCCTACTTCTTTAGCGATGGTTAGATGTCTATTGTGATACTCTAGCGCTCGTTCTCGATCACCAAGACTAAAATAATCATTTCCAATATTGGAATACGCATGTCCTTCTCCAGCTTTGTCTCCCACTTCGCTGGCGATGCTAAGATGTTTGTTGTGATACTCTAGCGCTCGTTCTAGATCACCAAGAGAAGAGTGATTATTACCGAGATTGGCGTATGCGCAGCCCTCTGCTACTTTGTCTCCCACCTCCTTGGCAATACCAAGAACTAGTTCCTGGTGCCATATGGCTTTTTTGAAATCGCCCAGGTTACTATAAGCAACACCAAGATTGGCGTATGCCTGACTTACCGCAGGTTTGTCTCCTAGTTCCTTAGCAATTTGCAAGTGTATCGTGTGGTATTCTTTAGCCTTGTTGAAGTCACCAAGAGAATTAAACACATTTCCAAGATTTGCAAATGCTCCACCTTCTCCAGCTCTATCCCCTGTCTCTTTGGTAATTTTAAGATGCAGATTATGGTATTCTAAGGCTACCTTGTAATCACCTAACTTCTGATGAGCAATGCCCAGATTGGCATAAGCACGTCCTTCTCCATCTTTGTCTCCTACTTCTTTGGCAATTTTCAGATAGAGGCTATGGTATGATATGGCTTTTGCGAAGTCACCAAGGGAACAGTAGGCATTACCTAAATTGCCATAAGCGCGTCCTTTTCCAGCTTTATCGCCTAGTTCTGTAACAATTCTCAAGTGTAGCTCGTGATATTCTACAGCTCTTCTAAGGTCACCCAAAGAGTATAAAGCATTGCCTAGATTGGAATATGCACTAGCCTCCCCATGTCTATCTCCCACAAGTTTCGCAATCTTGAGATGCTTTTTGAGAAGTTCTATTGCGTCCTCAAATTTACCCAGATTCTGATAGACGGTTCCCATATTGCCATAGGCGGTCCCTTCTCCTGATTTGTCTTCAATCTCTTTAGAGATGCGAAGATGTAGTTCGTGGTAGTTCATAGCTTTTTCATAATCACAAAGATGATAAAACGAAAGGCCGAGATTAGAATAAGCGCGTCCTTTTCCAGCTTTGTCTCCGACTTTTGTAGCAATGTCGAGATGATGATCGTGATACTCAATGGCTCTTTTAAAATCACCCAAGTTACGATAACCAACGCCCAGATTTTCACATGCAACCCCTTCCCCAGTTCTGTCTCCTACTTCTTTAGCAATGCTAAGATGTCTATGGTGATATTCCACCGCTTTCTTGAAATCACAGAGAGCTAAAAACACATTTCCTAGATTGGCATTTGCGCGTCCTTCACCAGCTCTGTTTCCCACTTCCTTGGAAATTTTTAGATCACGTTGGTGGTACTCAATGGCCGTGTGGTAATTACAGTCGGAGCTATGAGCGATGCCGAGATTAGCATATGCACCTCCCTCTCTAGCTCTGTCACACAGTTCCTTGGCAATAGAGAGTTGTTGCTTATGACATTCAATGGCTTTCGCAGAGTAACCTAGAGATAAATATACGCTGCCAAGCTTGCTATAAGCATCTCCTTCCCCAACTCTGTCTCCAACTTCTCTCGTAATATCTAGACACCACAAGTAACATTTACTCGCTTTTTCAAAATCACTCTGAGATGTATACGTATCTCCGAGATTAAAATATGCTTCCGCTTCCCCAGCTTTGTCCCCACCTTCTACAGTAATGCCTAGGGCCAAATTGTGATAAGTGAGAGCTTCTTCAAACTTGCCCAAATTGTGATAAGCGATTCCCAAGTTAGCGTACACATGGCCCTCCCCAGCTTTATCTTCCATTTCTTTAGTAACCCTCAGATGACGGAGGTGATAATATATGGACGATTCAAAATCGTTGTCCGAGTCATAAGCACTTGCAAGATTAGCATAGGCTTGTCCTTCACCTGCTCTGTCTGCCAACTCCCTGACGATATTGAGATGTTCCTTGTGATATTTAATAGCTGTACTAATGTCACCTTGATGCAGATATGCATTACCAAGATTGGAATACGCTCGTCCCTCTCTAGCTTTATTTTTCAGTTTTGTTGCAATGCTTAACTGAAACGATAGGCACTCGATAGCTTTCTCTGAATCACCAAGAGATGAATAAGCATTGCCAAGATTCGCATATGCACGTGCCACTCCAGCTTTGTTACCCAATTTCTTGGCAATATCAAGGGAACGTTCAAGGTACTCAACAGCTTTCATAAAATCACCCTTATTAAAGCATTCATTTGCACGACTGTTATAGGCACGACCAAGAAGTCTGTCTTGTTGTTGTCTGTTGTCTTTATCCATATGTTGCATCTGTATTTGTGAAAAATACTGTTTTAATGTGAAATATTGATATGTTGAATAGGATAAAGGGACAATAAAGGTGAATTAGTCACGATTTATCTGCGACAAGAATTTTTTCCAGAGTCATATTCGTTTATTGGACCAGATTATCGATGAACAGACTGCTCGGTTGTAGGTCTTCCCCATACGTACATATGTTTGCCAAAACATGGCAAACATAAACAACTCTGACTCGTGGGTTTATTGTGCCCCAAAGACAATGGGCTTTTTTTCTCGTCTCCCGAAGTAAACAAGTGATTCTTGATTCTCAATAGAGCGAAATCTTAATATGATGAACTCGCTATCATATATTGATATTATCATTGTATATGCGTTATTGACCAAGCGCGAGGTCCTGATGGTTGGATATTAGCATCGTTCTTTTCTTCCGTTTTTAAGGACCTCGACTTCGTCTCAGGCCTTAAAAGTGCAAAAAAAGAACTCGGCCAATATCCAGCTATCATAACCTCATGCTTGATCAATAACACATATATAACAATAATCTCAAATTATGATGGCGAAATCACCATATTAAATAAGGTAAGGACTGAGCGAATCTCAACATCAGGCAGCGAACAGCACCTTTCACTGTGTTGGAAAAAAACGAAATTAAGCCCGACATTTAGTTCGGAAGTACAAAACTTTGGTGTTTCCATTATGATAATTAAAGTTAGGTCTGGCCTATACACATTTCCTCCAACGGAATAACAAAGAAACTGAAAACATGTCAATACACCATTCATATCATAATGTTTGCCAAAAGTGAATGTATAAAAGAGTCACTATTAAGAATGCTTTTAGAATAATTGTAGCCGATTGGCGACCCTCGACGAAGTGCTATGACTATTAATCACCAAGCGACAGCATGACACATTCCTTTCCTTTTTTCATGAGTGCTCTCATTTGTCATGCTCTTCTTAGGTGGAAACAATAAATGAAAAGGGCTCCGGAATCAATGAATCAGGAACCAAGCCCTATTGGAATACTCTTTGGCGACGTAACTTATCAAAACAGTAACATCACCACGCATGAGGTGATTCGAGGCTCCATTGATCGAACTCTTCTAACATGAAATCAAAAGTGAGAGTGGATAAAAACATTTGCCTGGGAAAGCCAAGAATGGTTACATGCTTCGCAAACGGTGACTGCGTTGGTTTTATATTATGTTTATTAATACTTTACACCCCCCTGGCATCATTGGGCATATTCTCCATTCTGTTCTCTGGAAATTACCTAAGTTCGAACAAGGAGAATTTGTAAAACCATCAAGAGCTTCGTTGGTTGCTGATTATTTCCTTTATTCTTGTGACTTTAACATATGATTCAGGGGTGATATTGTAAGGCGATATCAGAACCGCGCGAGGTCTGGGTGCAAACAAAGCGCGAGCTTTACAGCTTTCAACACGATAACAAAGCGTGAAATTGCGCCTAATACAGGCGCCGATGCGACTAGAATGTTTCATCATAACCTTTCCAAGAGATATAGTGAATTAAAAAAATTTGCAAAGATAAATTTGCGGCAAACTTCCTCGTTAAGTTTGTTTCCAAAACGCAGCACATGCATCTCGATCGATAACTAGACTCCATCTTGGATTCAGGTGAGCTTGAAGGTTGTATATCATCCATCCTAGTGTCCACTTTGTAGCACGTTCAAGATCTTTTCCCTAACTTAATTTTGGAGGGTCTATCTTGAACGCTGACATTGTGAAAAAAGGTTTTGTTTGTCTTTGAAAATGGCGACCAACTTATTGCTCATCAGCGAAAATACTTACAAACAGTTGGCGATCGAATATTATCAAGATCACAACGAACCTTCATTACTATGAACAGACCAAACTAAACGGCCTCGTCCTGAAATTTGTATTAGTTATTGCTCAGATCATGGTAATTATTATTATCATTATTATTACTATTATTATTATCGTCATTAGAAATCATAGGATATTGCTTGATTAGGCGAAGAGTGCTAAGGAAGGAGAAATTCCCCCAGTCAGCTGTAGCAGGAAATACCGTAGCCTTTAAAACCAAGAAGTAAAAATTTGAGAAAAGTTCTTTTACAACGGAAAACGCAAAAGAGATTCATGGGTGTAATGTGGTAAGCAAAGAGCAAAGGCCTTGTCGAGAAGGACCTAACGCGAGCAGAACTTATGAACAAATATGCACTTTTGTATAAAGAGATATAAGAAAGGAACACACACGTTCAATAGATACTTAGACTAATTGCGTCAGCTTGCGCACCGGTGTCACGATTAGAAAGGCTACGGGTGATAGCAAAATTATTGGCCTCTCCTCTCGTGATTTTTTTTAGCAGCTGTTGCTCAGTACCACGGGCAGAGGTGTCTACTAATGAAACACAACATGGGGAAAGACGTCTAACTCGCGACAAGTCGCTACTTCGTTTTGTAAAGTGTTGTAACACAAGTTGTTATATCGCTGGCAGCACCCATGGGCGATATGAGGCAAATCATGTGTTCTGATTGGCTAACGGAGTCGTTTAGAACTCGTTTGGCTAACGACCAGTTCGCTTATGGTTAGGTGGTCTCGCTATTGTTTCAGGTCAGTTGGCTGAAGTATCGTAGGTTATTTCGCTAACGTCATAGGTAATTTCACGGTTTCTTTCTGGTTTTGTTTTCTTCGAAATAGCGACAATGGAAATGTTGTACCGTAACAAATCGTCGAAACTCAAATAATTTTGAACTCAGAAGTTTAAAAACTCATCTGGAAGAAACATCTATCATTTTCATACATAGACTACCCTTAAAGAACGGTTAACGCGCTTGGAAAGAATGTTTGTTAATGTTTGTTTCCTGTCAATTCTGTAGAAAGGAGTGACGTCACTTGATCACGTAATAATACCTGTTCAGCTACTCATTGGGCACTGCTATCATACATAATATTAAACTAGAGCAATTGCAGTTTTCAAAAATGCATGGTAGCATTACTTCCTTGAGTGATACCGAGAGGTCATTTTTGGGGGTCCTGGCCCATGGACTATAATCAGTAGTAGTTAAATGAAAAGAAAAACTAACAACTGATGACTGGTAACTTTTCCAAACACCAACAAAGTTATTTTGGAAAATCAGTTTAAGAAAAATTATAAAACAAGTGAAATACTACAGTTGTACAAACACCTCAATTCGTCATCACTTCTCCGCTATTGCACCAGTAAACACAAAGAAAATTGAAACATTTTGAGTATATTTCATAAAAGAAATAGACCGCACATTCTTCGCTTTACCGACGCAATAACCCACTTAGGATAATGGGAGGACACTCGAAATTTTTTAAATCACTCCGGCTCATTATTTACAAACTTTTCTCGACTCCTTCAAACATTCCATGTGAGTCAATATGCCGGTGAACCATCAGAAAGCACGGTCTATTGCTTATATACCCCCTAACAGACATGCTCACCTTCTGCGCACTCTCCACGTCTGCATTTGAGTCTCTCTCAAACTTATCGATTTTCAAAGTCTTCTTTTCCCGACCAGGCAAGCCAAGTTAAGGTATGTAACGCGCCATGATCGTTGAGTGACGGTGAAGTAAAACATTATATTTGTGAATATTAACATGGCAAATACACGATTATGTCCATGGCTCATTTTCTTCATCAAGATCAAGACAACCAGCCAAGACAAGTGATTTTTCATTCCCTTCTATTG